ATTTTACAGAAGTGAGGGGATTTTATTTTTCTGTGGTTTGATCCCTTTAATGCCTCACAAAGCTCCCTCAAAGTTACTACATGAAAAGGTTATGAATTCTTTCTTTCTTTCTCCCTCTCATTTCTTTTTTTTCTTTCTTTTTTCCTGTTTTTTCTTCTCTCTCTCTACTCTTTTTCTCTCCCTATTTCTTTTTTCTTTCATGCTTGCTTTTTTCCTTCTTTCGTTCTTATTCTTTTTCTTTCTTTCTTTCTTTCTTTCTTTCTTTCTTTCTTTCTCCCCACTCATTTCTTTATCTGTTTCTCTCTTTTCCCCATTTTTTCTCTCTTCTCTTTCCCTATTTCTTTTTCTTTCTTTCTTTGTTTCTTTTTCTTCCTCCCCTGCTCATTTCTTTTTCTCTCTTTTTCCACTTTTTCTTTTTCTCTCTACTCTTTTTCACCGCCTATTTCTTTCTTTCTCTTTCTTTCTTTATTTCTTTCCATCTAATTTCCCCACCTCTCTCTCTTCTCTCTCTCTCTCTGTCTCTCCGTCTCTCTCCATCTCCATCTCTCTAACTTTCACTCCCTTTCCTCCCCACTTTTTCTTTTTCTCTCTCTACTCTCATTCTCTCCCTATTTCTTTCTTTCTTTCTTTCTTTTTCTTCTTTTTTTCTTTCCTTTTTTCTTTCTCCCCTGCTCATTTTCATCTCTCTTTTTCCATTTTCTCTCTCTCTCTCTCTCTCTCTCTCTCTCTCTCTCTCTCTCTCTCTCTCTCTCTGCTGTGCTCCATCTGGGTGTGTAGTCATGCGAATCGGCTGATTGCCGTGTTTCTCTCGTCAGCCGGGCAGATGGTGAAAGATCCTTAGATACCGTCCTGAGAAACCGCACACAAACACGGGAAACACAGCCTCGGCCGGATTATTAACCATCATTAGCGCTGCTGCGCCATCGCAGCCTTGAATTTAATGCCGTCTGAAGGAAAATGATGTGCACTTTGGGGGAAAGTTTGCTGAGGGCTTAATTTAGAATGTGGAAAAATTAAACTGGTCTCCATCGAGATGTTCGTCGCACTGTTGGCATGTTGTGGAAGTGACGCCGTTTGGAAGACACTGTGACATCAGGTTATTCACTCATCAACACCAGCTGCACTGAAGCCTGACTAACAGCCGTCACCTGCCTGACAGTGTCTGACAGATGGGCATTTAAGCGTTCTGAGGAGAAAGTGATGTCTGTTGTGACCTTTATAAGGCTGTGTTCACATTACAGGCCTGAAGTGGCACGAATCTAGATTTTTTGTCTCACTCTGACACCAATGTGATTTTTTTCTTAACAGCTGTATGAACACTTGTCCAAACTACATATTTGATAAGTGGGAGTGCGACACGACCCATGCTAAATTGATTTTTCGTTTTGATTGACATTTTACGTTTTAAAAATGTCTCACTTCTGCAGAGCTTTAAAGGGCCCACATCATAGTAAAACGTCATTTTAATTAAAATAACGTCGTATGTAAGCACTGTTGTTTCAAAACATACCATTCACTCCTCAGTCCATATATGGAAACTATGCTGAAAAAACTGCCTGTTTTGAATGTACAGTTTTTCTAATGTTATGAAAAACCGACACATCTACATATTTATCCATCTATTTAGCAGTTTAGCCCCGCCCACTCACTTATAAGGCATGCTTCTGCCCAGACTGCTTTTTGAATGAAGCACAATACAGACAGCCAATCAGAACAGAGCTCATTTACATATAATCAGTAGCAGCATGTTATTTCTAATGTATAACGACAGGAAAATGGTCATGTAGAAATGAGTTATGACTTTTTGGTTCGTAGCACCATACAGATGATATAATTGGACCTCAGAGACAAAAATAAAATACAGTATAACTGTAGCGTCTGGGCCCTTTAAGTACTGAGTTCTCCACCTGCTGAGGGACTTTCAACAACACAGACCCCCAAAATCACCACCCTGAGAAATTTATGAGCCACTTTAGGAAAAAGCTTCAGAGTGGCACCTTTATGTGCGAAGTGTTGGCCTCATCATCGGGAGATCACGAGTTTCATCCCCACACTGTAAAACGTGGTTTGATAGTCTAACCTAAAAACACACGACTTCACACGAGCACAAATACAGGCGACTCATAAGACAGTAAAGCTGGATTTCACGTCAAACAAAGATGATTTTTACAGTCTAAGAATAAAATAACCACTAAGACACCATCAGAGCACTCAGAGCCTGTTTACACTCAGCCGCTTCGTTATATATGTAAATGAGCTCCGTTCTGATTGGCTGCTCTGTAACTGTGCCTCATTCAAAAAGCAGTCCAGACTGAAACACTCCTTATAATCAGGGTTAATAGGCGGAGCTAAATTGCTGGAGTCCGAATAAGCGGATATAAAGAAATTTCTTTCTTTCTTTCTTTCTTTCTTTCTTTCTCCCCCACTCGTTTGTTTTTCTTTGTCTCTTTTCCCCCACTTTTTCTTTCTCTCTCTGCTCATTTTCTCTCCCTATTTCTCTTTCTTTCTTTCGTTGTTTCTTTCTTTCTTTCTCCCCAGTCATTTCTTTTTCCACTTTTTATCTCTCTACTCTTTCTTTCTTTCTTTCTTTCTTTCTTTCCCTATTTAATTTTCCACCTCCCTCTCTCCCTCTCTCTCTCCCTCCTGCTTCCTCTCTCTCTCTCTCTCTCTCTCTCTCTCTCTCTCTCTCTCTCTCTCTCTCTCTCGCTTGCTCGCTCGCTGGGCAGGATGACCCCAATCATTCATCACAGTGTTAGCCTATGTGGGCGTCTGTTAGCTGATGTATTAGCATTGGCAGTTAGTTTTCTCCTTCAGGCATGTTAAGCTGACCAGTGTGAGCAGCAGTTTGAAAAGATGCGGTGAAAACTCTGTGTTTTGGGTGAAGCTTGTGCTTCAGCCTCCCAGCCTGGAAGCATCGTATCGCATGAGGGATGATCTGGGTAGCTGTTTGGAAATGAGAATGACTAAATAGAGGAGCTGCCTGAGTAAAAATGAAATCTTAAAAAAAAAGAACTTAAAATAAATAAATAAATAAATAATAATAATAAAAAAGCCCAGTCATTTTAGCATCGGTGTATGCATAGGATCCCCACTCAATTTAGTAATAGGATGCATTCAGATACCTTCACTCTTAAAAAAGATGGTTCTTCATGGGTTCTTTAGTAAAGAAAAAGAAGTTCTATATAGAACCATGAACACTCTGAGAACCCTTTGCACGATTAAAGCGTTCTTTCAATTGTTAATTGTTGCTTCACATTGATGGAGAATGTGTTGTATGTGGTTTTATATAGAACCCTTTTCAAAAAGGTTCTGTATAGCACCAAAAAGGGTTCTCCTATTGTTACAGTCTTGACATCTTAACAATTACAGAACCCTTTTGGGTGCTAAATAGAACACTTTTCAAAAAAGTTCTATGTAGAATCAAATGAAACACACTCTACCAATCTAAAGAAGCATTTCATGATGCAAAGAACCCTTTAATCATGCAAAGGGTACTCTGGGTGCTCATGGTTCTATATAGAACTATTTTCTCTACTAAAGAACCCTTGAAGAAGTGTTTAGTTCTAATCACTAACAGTGGTTTCCACAAAAGATGGATATTGAGACAGAGATGTAAATGTAGATGGAGGTTTAAATTTACAAACACATTCGTTTTTTTGATTTTTCTATACTAGTAAGTGGCCATGAGGCCATAATGAGTGCAGTCAGATCAGCTTGTGTGCTTCACTGTAAACTTCACTCACCACGGTCATCATCCAGTGTGGACAGCAGGTCAACGGCAACTTGATGATGAAATGTGTGCTGCAGATCCTTTTATGGCACTAATGATAGATATGGGTCGCTCTCTCTCTCTCTCTCTGTGTATGTGTCTCTCTCTCTTTCTTTCTCTGCTCTCTCCCTGCTTTCTCTCTCTCCCTCTCCCTCTGTCTGTCTGTCTCTCTCTCTCTGCTGTCTCTCTGTTTCCCTCTCCCTCTTTGCTGTCTTTCTCTCTCTCTCTCTCTCTCTCTCTCTCTCTCTCTCTCTCTCTCTGTTTCTCTCTCTCTCTGTCTCTCTCTCTCTCTCAGCCACATTTTCCCAGGTTATCAGACCCTGCTGGGACAGTATCTGCTCTGTTTTTGTGCAGCTTTGTTCCGTCTGTCGGAGCTCAGTGACTGACGTTTACCTGCCTTCATAAAAATGACCGTTTTAAACTCATAGAGCTGCTTTTTTGTTGTTAATAGAGGTTATTTGATTATGAAGAGTTATTTCTTTGCCATTCTTTATCTGTGTCTGAATGAGCTCTGGAGAACGTTGTTGTTGTTGTTTTGTTGTTGTTTGTCTTCGTCTTCTTCTTCTCCCTTTTTTCCACATGCTTCTCCTCCTTTTCAGTTTCTCCTCCTCCTTCTCCTTATCTTTCTTCTTCTTCTTTTTCTCATTGTCTGTCTTCTTATTCTCCTTTTCCCTCTCCTTCTCTCCATTGTCTTTCTCTTTCTCCATCTTCTCATTTTCTTTCTCTTTTTTTCTCATTGTCATTCTCTTTGTTCTTCTCATTGTCCTTCTTTTTTTTCTTCTCATTGTTCTTCTCTGTCTCCTTCTTCTTCTTCTCATTGTCCTTCTACTTCTTTTTCCATTGTCCTTGTCTTTCTGCTTCTTGTTGAAACTGAAATGTTACTCAGAACATAATCGTTCGTAGGGCATCTTTCGTACAAGTAGAAGTGTAAAGTACTTTACAGAGCAGTGATAAAATTAAATAACATAACTAATGAAAAGAAACTAATGTAATAACATAATGAATTGATATTATTACAGAAATTGAGACAATAACATAAATAACACCAAAAACAGGGTAGAACTGTAAATAAAAGCCAAATTTAAAAGATCTGATGTGGAATGATTTTTAAAAGAATGTACAGAGCTCACCAAGTAATAAGCATATATCAGTGAAGAGTGCGGCTCTTTCAGAGGAGAGATGTACTAACTTTTTCTGTTGAATATTAATACTATCCTTGTCCTCATTCTAGGAGGCTGGTACAGATGAGGAAGAGGAGGATGAGGATGAAGATGAGGAGGAGGAGGAGGATGGTAGGCAGTCATCCAGTGCGCCGGAGGAAGAGTCCAGCAGAGCAGATCTGCTGGCCGCCCGCCTGAGAGCCGCGGCCCAGCGCTTCCTCAGGAACGTGGGCCGGATCCTGGCCGTCACACTGCTGGCTCTGGCTGGTAAGAGAAATAAGAAATATACACATATGGAGGAATGACCCGGAGGAGCTCTTCAGGTCAGCTTCTCAGAGTCAGAGCAGTCAGAGCGCAGCAAAGAACACAAATCTCACATCAGCATCCAGGCAGGACGAGGTTTTGATGTCCATGCTCTATCCTAAAAGTGATAGTTCAGCAAAAAATCAAATATGCTGAACCCCCCACCACCACCATCCGCTCACCCAAGACATGTTCAGTGTCTGAAGTTTGCTTCTTTAGTGTTATATTGGAGCTAAAAGGTGTCCTGCACATATTAGGAACCCAGCAGTTTTACTCTATGGGGAAAAGGTAAATTACCGTTATCACTTCCTGTGGTAAACCAAATTTTTCCAAACCAGATACATTTTCTTGTGTACGTTTTCCCTTCAAGTGGCACTGGATCCCTTGAATTAAAGGGTCTGTGAAGAGTTGAAATGTGATTATTTCTACATACGTGCCACGTGCAAGCAGACTCTACTGCCACCGAAATGATGTTGCGTGGAAGTAAATCCAACTTCAGCACTGTATCAACACCAGTCACTCAGCCTAAAAGTGCCAAAGAAACTTAACTGCCACGTTTCATGAAGCTGGCTGCTTTGTGTGGGTTATTTTGGTGAGGTTGCCAGTCTCATGATGTCAGCAATAGCTGTACTTTGGCTTGTTAATGACCACGGAATTCAGAGGATCCAGCAACATTCGGCTGAAAAAATGTATGTATATTAAAATGTATCAGTTTCAGAACATTTCTGTTTACAAGAGGCTGCGATAACAGCGATTTAGGAAAAATGTATTCATTTAAGCCACTAGAGAAAACCTGCCTTGGCCTAGAGTCCCTAAACTGGGCATGACACTGACTGCAGAATGACGACATGACTTGAGAGATCTATTGTTCGAACTGCCTAAATCAACACCTTCTTCGATCTGTGTCTAGTTGTTTAGCTTGTCGGGACCAAGGGCTGTGAATGAAAAAGAAATCTTTTAATACCAGCTAAACACTTTCACTAATAACTGTTCTAAGTTCTCAAAAGATGTAAAAAAGGAAAGAGTCTTCAGACGCTGAGTTTGTGGAGGAGGGAAAAAGGCTTCTTCTTTATTTCAGCATCAAGTGGCACAGGGTCTCGAGAGACCCCAACTGAGCAAATACAGTGTTCAAAACAACAGTTTATAAACCATTTATCTGGGGTAGTTTGATGTTCATTCTCTAATAGGTGCATCTCTTCGTCCATCAATTTGGCCATTGCATGTTGTGCTCCTAAAAGCTGGTTTCATCTGGTTTTTACCAGTCTGCTTTACTTTACCGACCCTTTGTGAGAGAATCAATATTATCTGCTAGCCAATACTACCTATTTGGTTATTGATTAAAATACCTATTCTATTTGGTTGCTGATTAAGGGAATGTTTATTCAAAATCTCAGTCAAGCTTTTGATCATTTTTAAGAGTAACAGCTTGACACAGCTTTTTTGCCCACTTTAATGGAATAATTTACCCTGAAATGCTGCCATTAAGGAAGAACGGTAATGGGAACCAGTTAGCATTGGAATAGATCATTGTTGGCTTTCGTTTACTGTTTTTTCAGTGAACTGCTTTTTTTTTTTAAAGTTACTTGGAACACACATCCATCTCCCTCCAAGACTCCTCATTCCCTCTCACATTCAGTGCCTTATGAGGATCATAAGAACAAGGGTTCTTCTTGGTTTCTGTATTACCATTAAAAACTGTTGTGTGTTTTGTGTTGCTTTCCTCAGGGATCACCTTGCCCTCCGCCTTCTCTGCCCTCTACTTCCTGCTGTTCATCGGTGTGTGTACCTGGTGGGCCTGCCACTTTCCCATCAGCCAACTGGGCTTCAATGCGCTGTGTGTGATGGTCAGCTTCTTCACGGCGGGCCACCTTGTGTGTCTATACCTGTACCAGAGTACTTTTGCCCAGAGCATCTTCACCCCGGACAGTCTGTGGGCCAGGTACGCTTCCGCATTGCCGTCTGCATCCAGACACATAACTACAGTTCAGGGCACAGATCCAGCATGCTGCACTCACAAACCTGAATGTTGGGTTTGTTTGCTGTACCCAAGTATGATTATTGGTCATCTCTGCAATATCCTCTTCCATTCGCACTGGTTTGTTTGGCCTGTCAGGTCTTTTTCTGGAGCAGTATAAAGACACAGTTACAGTTACGTAGTTGGTGGGTGGAGAATGATGCTGTATGTTGGAGAAAGTTGGTGTTTATTAGCGAACGATGGTGCTTTGTGGAGAAAGAGTGTATTTGGGAGTGTTTGGTCAAGAACATGTGTTTGATGGTGAGCACTGGCATTTGGTGGAGGACATTAGCTGTTGGTGGAGGGTGTTGGCCTTTGGAGGTGAACCCTGGCTATTGGTGCAGAACACTGGCTTTCATTGGCTGTGTTTACATGCAACGACATTTTGCCCGATCTGATTGAGTACATTCCAGTTCTAGATTAAGACTGAGGTGTTTATATGCTCCCTCTCAAAAGACAGCATGTTCTGAGACACATAAGCTGTCCCACTGTTGTCTTTTAAAGATCAAAGCATAAACTTCGTCTTCTGTTTCTGCTCTGCCATGTTGAACGGTGTGCATATATATATATATATATATATCATATATATATATATATATATATATAATATATATATATATATATATACATGTTGAACTTTTGCTATGATGTGACGAACATGATCAGAATGTACTTAAACTTTCAGATTGGGAATGTAATCAGATACAGGCGTTTACATGGCTATTATTCTTCTATTTAATGGATTATTTACAGGATTACCCAATCAGATAGGAATAGTATTCCAAATGGCCTCAGTTGGACTAGTCTGTTCTGACTGAGCTGTTTACATGGACGTATTCTATTCCGATTGAGATATTAGTCGGATTATGAACAGATTATTAGGCTGCATCTAAACGTGGCTATTGGAAATGATGGTGTTTGTTAGGAAAATGATAGTGTTGAATGTTAATGTTACTGCTTACTGGAGAAAGATATTGGAAGGAGACCATTGACATTTATTGGAAAACAGTGGCATTTGTTTAAGGACGTTCTTATTTTTCTTCTCCTTCTTCTCCTTCTTCTTGGTGTTTGGTGGAGAACATTGACGTTTGGTGGAGAACCTTAACATTTACTGGAGAATTTTAACATTTGGTTTAGAATATTGATGTTTGGTGGGGAACATTGGCATGTGGAGGAGAAAGTTGACTTTTGATGGGGAACATTAATGTTTAGTTAGAAACACTGGTATTTTTCTTCTTCACCTTCTTGGTGTTTGATGAGCATTGGCATTTGGTGGAGAACAATAACGTTTGATGGAGAACATTGGCATTTGGTGGAGAACAATAACGTTTGATGGAGAACATTGGCATTTGGTGGAGAACAATAACATTTGATGGAGAACATTGGCATTTGGTGGAGAACACTAACGTTTGTTGGAATATTGGCATTTGGTGGAGAACATTGATGTTTGATGGAGAACATTGGCATTTTGTGGACAGAACTGACATTTGGTGAAGAGCTCTGGCATTTGGTTTAGAATTTCGGCATTTGGTTTTGGATGTTGATGTTTTGTGAAGAACATTGGCATTTGGTGAAGAAACTTGGTATTTGACAAAGAACCTTGATGTTGGTTAAGGACATTGATTTTCTTCTTGGTGTTTGATGGAACATTGGCATTGGTAAAGAACACTGATGTTTAGTGGCAGACATTGGTATTTTGTGAAAAACACTGGCATTTAGTTTATAATGTTGATGTTCTGTGGAGAACATTGGCATTTGGTGACATTGGCAATTAGTATTTGATGGAGAACATTGATGTAGGTTAAGAACATTGGTATTCTTCCTCTTGGTGTTTGATGGAATATTGACATTGGGTGGAGAACATTGACGTTTGGTGGAGAACACTGAGGTTTGATAGGGAAACTGGCCGTAGTTGAAAACACTGGCATTCTTCTTTATTCTTGTTCTTCTTGATTTTTGATGGAGAACATTGGCGTATTGTGGAGAACACTCACATTTGGTCGAGAACATTACTGTTTGGTGGAGAACTTTGACATTTGGTTTAGAGCACTGACGTTTGTTGAAGAACTTTGGGTCAATATGTCAAAAATTATTGAACAAGACGGACCGGTTTCTGCTTCATTAGCCTTTAAAGCCACACTGGAGACCGACTGGCATGTTTTCACTGGGCTGTTGAGAGCGATGGTGGAGACATTTATAATCACCCCCTCATTCACTCGTCTGTTAAGAGTGATTTATAATCACCCCCTCATTCCTGTCTTCCTCCAGATCCTACCACTCACTTTAAATGAGTGGTGTCATCACTTTGCATTATGGGTATGTGTTATGTAAGTATGAGAAACGGGGGAATGTAGAGGTGGTGCGTGATGAATGTAGGAGGCTGTATTGTTTGTGAGCTCACAGCTCGGAGGGAGACGTGTGGAGCTTTAGAGTGAGTGTGTGAGCGAGTACAGGATGAAGGCTTTTGGCTAGGAATGCTGGAATGTTCTGGAATATTGGTTTTCTGGTGAGTTAGTGAAGGATTGAGGCAGTGGGGATGGTGCAGAGAGACATAACTATGGCATGACCTCTTTGCATTTCTGCTTGCTGGCAGTGCACTGTGCCAACCTGGCAACCTGGCACAGCACTGAGGAATAAACCTTAGAACTGGACACATCTGGAGGATATCTTTCTCCCACACACACACACACACACACACACACACACACACACACTCACACTCTTTTACTGGCTGTGTTTCCTGCTTAGTCAGGGTGCCAGCTGTGTGCATTCCTCCCATCCCACAAATCTCTCTTGACCTTTGCTCTGTCACGGAGATGATGATAGATAGCAGTTGCATTGCTGTAAAATGACCTGCCAAGTTTCAGGGGTTCACGCGCACCCACCCCCACTCAGTCAACCACTTAATAACCTGCGGTTTATATACAACAAGGGCTTAATCAAATTCTGGCCACTATTAAGTTCAAATTCTATATCATGATACCTTCCAAATACAGTCAACGTCAGAAATATTGGCAACCTTCATGCTTTTATTGTCAAAAAAATTTTGGAACAAAATAAAGGTTTCCTCTCATACATTTTCATAAAAATGCAGATTCTGAAAAAATTTGCACCCCAAATTTGAGTATTTGGTAGAGCCTCCCCTGGCGAGAACGACAGCACTCAACCCCTTTCTGTAGTGTTAAACAAGGTTGGAGAACACTTTTGGGGGGATCTTGGACCACTCTTCCATGTGGAACATTTCCAACTCATTGAGATTCTTGGGTTTTCACTTGTGAACTGCCCTTTTCAGTTGAGACCACAGATTTTCAACTGGTGACAAGTCTGGACACTGAGAGGTCCATTGCAAAACCTTGATTTTGTGTTGCTGCAACTATGTCTTTGTCGATTTTAGCGCGTGCTACAGGTCATTGTCTTGTCAAGCACTTTCCGGCTTAAATGTTATGGTGTTGAATGGAATTCATTATGCCACTGACCTTAACAAAAGCCCCTGGACCAGCAAAACAGCCCCAAAAGCATCAAAGAGCCTCCACTATATTTTACCGTAGGTATGAGGTGCCGGTTTTTGTACTCTGTCTATCAAACATGATGATGGTCTGCATGGCTGGACAGCTCAATTTTTGTGTCTTCTAACCACAACACACAATTCCCGTTGTAATTCCAATGTTGCTTGGCAAAGTTCAGGCGCTGGGATTTTGTCTCAGCCTCAGGAAGAGCTTCTTTTGTGAAACTTGTCCAAAAAGCTCCTGGTCATTGAGGTGGCATCTCACTGCTGACTTTGAAACTGTGAAACCACAAAATGCAACTAAACTTCGTGATCTTTGTGCTTCTCTTTGCCTTTCTTAGTATCCTCCTCACTGTGAGTGGGGTCAGTATGCAGATACGTCCCCTTCCAGGCAAATGTTCAACTGTTCCATGCTTTTGACACTGTGGCCCTGATTGTTTTTATTGGCAATTTCAACTTTTGTAGTAATTTCCCAATCTGTGCAGCTCAACAGCTTTTTCTCATTTAGGCTGAAAGCATTTGGGTTTTTCTCATGTTGTTACCTGTGTGTTACCTCATATTTATACCCCAGTGAAACAGGAAATGGTCATAGACAACAATAAAGTCCCTTACACGAAAAGCAATATCAAGAAACATTTTTCGCCAACGACACACATTCCTTTGGTGTTATTTATAGTATTCATCAAGGGTGCCAATAATTTTGCCAGATATGTTTTTGACAGAATAAACTATTCCAATGACACAACAGCAGCCAGGAATAAGCTTTATTGAATGAATAGTGAGCAGTTTTTCCAAACATTTGTGCAAAAATAGAATCATTGGATGTATGACCTGTATTTGATTAATGGTTAATCGGATGATATTTAAAGGGACCATAACATGGAAAATGGACTTTTCCTTTATTTTTTTCCTTTATTTGAAGTAAAAGAGTTTGACATACTATTAAGAGCTTGAAAGAAAATCTGGGTTCTTTAACCCCTTTTATAAAAAAAGGGGTCGTTTTTGATACTGAATTAAAATTTGATAAGCAAATAAATGCAGTGGTCAAGGCTAGTTTCTTCCATCTTAGGACAATCTCCAAATTAAAATCATTTCTTAATCCTTCAGATTTGGAAAACGTCATTCATGCCTTTGTGACATCTAGATTGGGATTACTGTAATACACTATATTTTGGAATTAACGAAGCATCTCTGGCTCGTTTACATCCGGGTCACAATGCTGCAGCCCGAATGTTAACTGGTACGAAGAAAAGAGAGCACATTACTCCAGTTTTAGCGTCCTTACACTGGCTCCCAGTGCATTACAGAGTCCAATGTAGAATGGCATTGATGGTTTTTAAAGCTCTGAATGGTCAGGCACCTGCATATGTTGTGGACTTTGTATATATGCGCCCTCAAGATCTTAAGATCTCCGTCCCAATCACTTTTAACTGTTCCACAGTCTCGTCTTAAACAGAAAGGGGATCGTGCTTTTGCTGTCGCCGCACCAAGACTTTGGAATGATCTCCCAAGTGACATCAGGCTTCATCTGTGACTGTTTTAAAACAAAGCTTAAAACACATTTTTATCAATTAGCATTCAGCAGTCGCTGAACTGTGGACTGAGGTCTACACACTGTTGTGTGAATGTATGGTGGTGATCGGAAGGTGGGAATCCTTTTTGTTTTATTGTAAAGCTCTTTGGTTTTAAATGTGCTATATAAATAAAATTTACTTACTATTAATTCCTTGTTTGTACAGCTGACACAGGAAAACGTTTTGATTTGCTCCTTTTTCGTGATGTCACAAAAACCAACACATTTTCATAAATCCTATTGACCTACGCTTCCTATAGACGTTTAGCTCATGATGAAATTATAAGGGATGTAGGAACAGCTTTTTAAGTGAAGCACAATACAGTCCAGCCGATTACGAAAGAGCTTATTTATATATATCAGTCTTAAAGGCACAGTAACAAAATCAGCCCATGAACAGACCTCAAAGAAAAAAAATAAAGCACAAGAATGCTGGATGTTAGCAGTTCAGCATTCAGAAAGTTAATGTTAGCACTGATAATGTTGATGATCCGTTCTCACTGAGTGTTAGCAAACTATGCTCAAATAAAATCTCACAAACTTAATATAGCTGGTTATGACTGGACTGTTTTGCTCTGTTTTCTTTTCTTAAAGTGATGCCAGAGAAAGTTTTACACAGTCCTGTAAATGTTAAGTGTCCTTTGAAAACGAATGGTGAATGGCGAATGGTGAGCAGTGAACGGTCAGGGTCTGGTACCCTCAGTGTACTGGTATAATCAATATATCACCCTCCACTGCTATACAAAAGTTTGTGCACCTTTGGATAAGTGACATATCTTGTTGTTTTTCTGATTTTCTGGAAATACGTTAACACGTCCTCTACTGTAGAGGTTCCCAGTCCCAGTCCTGGGGACCCCATGCTTGGCTGGTTGTATGTTTTCTCTGCTCTACACACTCAGCCTAGGCCTCGGGAACCGTATTAAGTAGTTAATGAGATAAATAGATAATGTGAAATAAATAGTATTTGTGCATTAGTGTTTGCAAATATATGTACTGTGTAGAGATTTTAACTTCTTTTTACTTAAAAAAAAAAAATCGACAAAGCATTAAAAAAACATGATTTGACCAAACTTTTACAAGAGACTGATTGCAAAGGACAGTTTAGAACACATTTGTTTAGGTTAACGTTCGCTTTGTTTATTGGGTCTCTTTTACTTTATATTTTATAATTGTTAATGCACTAATATGCTATTATTAATTTAGCTTTCCAATGTTCTGATCATCTTCTTGTATAAAGCACTTTGAATTATTGTACCTAAAATAAAAAATGCTACAAAAATAATATTTGTTTGTTTGTTTGTTTGTTTGTTTATGCTCTTCCTCCAGGCTCTTTGGCCTCAAGGACATAATAAAGCCTACGAACTGTTCCTCCTTCGGTGACCTCATCCTTAACACAGAGCATGACTGGCCAGTATACGTCAACCCTGGCATCCTCCTGCTCCTCTACATCACCGTGGCAACCGTTCTGAAGATCAGCAGCCATAGTTACACTGAGGTGTCTGCATGCACACTTTTTTAAAGCTGTTAATTAAGCAGTTTCTCTAAAGAGTCATGCAGAGTAAACACAAATACCATAGGGCACTACTGTAAAGTGAGGTTGGTGCTTATTATTGTTTTTGTTTGTTGCACAGACTATTGTGGGCGAAGCCAAGGTTACAGAAAGTGGAAATGGAGAGGAGGTGGAGCTAAGACCGTGGGCGGGCCGAAAAAGCCCTGGAGATGACACTAAGGTGGGTCTGAAGACGTATATATGCACGCATTTACATGTGTGTATCATCGCTGTCGTGCAAAAACCTTGTATCTCCAATTTTGTATTTTTTTCCTTTATCGTCTGCGCTTTGCATTGTGTGAACATTTTATGATGAATGCAACAACAGAAATGGTCTAAATTTATTTTTAAAATATTTACCTTTTTACCTCAACTTCCATTGTAAGATCAGAACGTTTCTTCCTTGTCCTGTGAAATTTTTCTATTTCGGTGGTGAAAGGTTTTGTTCACACAGCTATGATATGTTTCATACATGTTAGAATGCCATTACCAGAGGTGTGGACTCAAGTCATATGACTTGGACTCGAGTCATATGACTTGGACTCGAGTCTGACTCGAGTCACGAATTTGATGACTTTAGACTCGACTTGAGAAAATCGAGAAAGATTTGGAACTTGACCTCGACTTCAACACCAGTGACTCGGACTCAGCACAGCACTTAACCTCCAGTCTTACTGCAGAAACTAGTAGCAAAACAAAAGAAAAGCTCTTTCTATTTGAACGATTTTAACAGCCTCTGCAGGGAAAACAAGCACAACATTGACCACAAGGCTGAAGTTGACTTGTTATCCGCAAGCTCCAATAGGAATTTCCCGTTCCACCTTAAATGGTGCAGCTGGCGCTAGAGCGTAACTGCTGCACCGTTTAAGGTGGAACGGAAAATTCTAATAAGAAGCTGGCGAAAAAAAGTCCATTTCAGGGTTCCATCTAAAATATAAAACGACATGAGTTTTGTATTTTTGCTGGAAGAAAAAAAAATATTAATAAAAAATGAATATGCAGCCATACACTGTTAACATGCTGTCATTAAAAGGCTACAGTTCTGTTACCATTATTCAGTGTTATGGCCTTAAATTAGCTGAAGAATGTGTACTGACTTGTTTAGGACTCGAAGATTAGGACTTTTAACTTGAGACTCGACTTGGGACTCGACTTGGGACTCACCTGCACTGACTCGGGACGACTATCTTGACTTGGGACTTGAGTGTGAAGACTTACGACTTACTTGTTGCTTGCAACTTAGTGACTTGTTCCCACCTCTGGCCATTACTGACCCCAGCCAGGTCTGCTATCCTGTTTTCTCTTACAGCATCACGTCAGAATTGTGTTTTCTTAGCTCACTACCACAGCAGTAAATTAGAACAGCAGTAGTTTAGAATGGAAAGACCTGTAAAGTTCCATTAGAGGTTTTGTGCTTAGCCGATTTTCACCTCTGGCTGTGTGTCTGGTCATTTCACTGCTCTGGTGTGATTGTTATGGTTGATTGTAGATGGTTTACTGAGCCCTCTTTATATGGTGTGTAATTACGTTGCGTTTGTAATGGTGCTGCTTTTCTGTGTTTTATTTTTTACAGCAAATGCTGCTGGCCACGGGTGAAAGCCCGGGGCAGGAATCAGACCCGTCTAACACTAAAGAGCATGCCACTAACGGTTCCAGTCAGCATGAACTAGGTAGGAGAACCTTTATAAAGCAGCAGCACAGTGAGACTTGTATTTAGGACAGTAGTAAAGTCAGTGGCAGAGATGGCACGATACCACTTTTTCTTTTCCACTACCCCAGGTGAACACACTTTGTTTTAAGTGAGCTATTTTTAATTAAAGGACTTCACTTTAAAGTGGAATTCCAGTAATTTTTCAAAAAATCTTCATAGTTAAGTGGTTGAAATGTTTAATTGTAAGGCAAGACAAGGCTAGTTTATTTATATAGCACCTTTTATACACTGCGGTCATTCAAAGTGCATTCAGAGTTAGTTCAAATTGAAATGCTAAAGGTAACAAAGTAAAATGGAAATTTTCTCAGTGATTTTTTCCAATGAATGGTAGATCTTAAATTGGTCTGTAATTACGGAATAGAGTTGCTTATGGATTTTTCTTTTGTAGAGAAACATTCTAACATTCTAACTAATTCTAGCTTTCTTTACAGTGATGGTGATACAAATATATCCTTTTTTACTGTATGAAATGACCACTGAACCTGAACAAGTTTTGTATAGAATGTTGATGATGGTAAAATGGGGCTGTTTTGCCTTACAGTGCCTTGCATGTACCTCTGATAAAAGGTAAAAAAAAAAAATACAACTACAAATACAACAGGCTACAACCATCTTTCAAAACTGTCTGAGGCGTCAGGCAGTGCATTTGTAACCATTTCATGTAATAACTCTCTCTGAAGGAGCTTTCAGAGCATTAAACTCTTCAGATGTCTGGTTCCTATCACCACCACTGTGAACAATAGACCTTCACAGTCTATCTTCACATTTTTACTTGTGTTCAATAAATTTATCTAACTGTATTGGCAGATTATATTGCTTGTTTTAAGAAACAAGCTAAATCATCTGTCACTATAGTGAGATAATTATACTTCATAAAATTACTTAAAGCAGGTAATAAATGTCTAGAAATAAGCTAAATAATCTTATAAGTGCACAACCATCTCGAAATAGGAAATATTAGATATATCGACTAGAATTAAGATAATTTTATTTGACAAGATACTATTTTTTTGCAGCGCATTGTATTCTTATATTACAGTACACTGACAACCAACCCACTGTGGTGAGGAGTCTGTTTCTCAGGGTTCTTAAGCAAACCTCTGTGATGACAATCTCCAGGATTGCAAATACGCCAGTGAATAAATATTTATTTTGGAGCATTTTTAATCACAAATGTGGGAAAACCTGTCCTACCGTACAGCCCACGTTCACTCTCCAGTTCAGTTTTACTCTCTTTTTGATCGGTTACTTGACACATGACGAGCAGAGCTTTTCAGCTGAAGTCGAACATTTTTAATCTTGATCAAGTGAAAACTCAGGCGAGGCTGGTTGGTTGAATTATTGGTGCATTTAGGAACACAGCAATGATTTCGGGCAGTAGTCTTGTAGTGTTTTACCAAAAGTAAGCATGCATAAATTAAATAAGAGTGGCCCAAGAATTGAACCCAGGGGGACACCACAGGTCACTGGCACTGTGGTGTACCGGCTACCTCATTAAAAGTGCCATATGACGAGCGGAGCTTTTAAGCTGAAGTTGAACATTCTTAAACTTGATCGAGTGGAAACTCAGGTAAGCCTGTTTGGTTGAATTATTGGTGCAATTAGGAATGCAGCAGTTATTTCCGGGCAGTATCAGCCATTGTCTACAGAGCGACTGGAAGCTGTTTAATGTTACTATTTACTCTTCTGAATTAACGAACACAGAAGTGTGAAAATGTTCTGTTCTGACTTTTTCTGAAGTTTCTTCAGAACGGCACATTTCACATCAAACCACTTTTTTATATCTTAACCTTTTAATTATGCAGAAATTTTGAAAAAAATGTGGTATTCCCCTTTAAGATGATCATCTTAAAGCAGCTGAAACTACTCATTCACTCTACTAACCCACAGGAGGAACTACACAGCTAACAGCATCACAGCACAGTGTGAGTTGGCGCTGTTTCAGGATAGATTTGTTACAGGACTGAATCACTTTCTCTCTTTTTTTTCACACCTTTAGAGTTTTTAATGCTGAAATCAGCCCCTCAACACAGACATGCCATCTGTAGTCAGAAGTAAATGAATGTATTTGTGAGATTAGTGAAGGTCTGCAGTAAGGCTCTTGTACATGAAGTGTATGTGTGTGTCTCAGGGGTCGAAGGAGAGGCTCTGGAGAAGCAGGAGGAGGACAGCCCACTACGTTTAGTGGGGAAGATGATCATGCAGCAAAGTTACGTCTGTGCTCTCATCGCCATGATGGTAACAACATCCTCTTTCTGCTTTTCTGTGTAAAGTGAAACAATGCAGTTGATACATTCATTTTTCATTCATGAGTTTCGTTTTACATTTATGAAGATGTTTTTTTCTTTTTGTTCCTTTAAATAGTCGTTAGAAGCCCATCACTGTGGGCCTCTGGCCGGCATCTGAATTTTATATGGACTAAATTACTCTACGGGGATATTTAACGGTCGTCTTCTATGGCAAAAACTCCTGAGTTGTGCATTTGCAAAGAACTAAATATTTCTTGATTCTAACCAATAGCGATTAGACAGAAGCAGCAGAGGCAGTGTTTCTGACTGGGGTATCCACCCAAAACACAACATGATGACAGAGAATATGCACTTCAAACCATTTCCAAATCTCTACCTCAAGCTCAAGGGTTCAAGTAGAATCAAAACATTTTTTTTGTCTCGGTTCTTTCTGCCGTCCCTTAGTATTCACCTAAATAAGGCTGTGTGTCCACTCTATACGTTTATTCCTCAGCTGCCGGTACGTTTTACCTTTAATCCTATGGGAAGTGACCACAAGGTTATCAGAAAAGTGCTACTGCTTTTTTTTCATGAGTACAGAAAGGTCTGCAAGCATTGTTTTAAATCAACTTCTCCAAACTGAAAAGGCCATTAAAAAGTGAAGCATCTAAGATTGCATTTGGAAAAGGCTGCATGATTACATATTAAAGCTCGCAATTCCATTTGCACTGCATGTACTACAGTGGGCATCCAGTTTGTTAAAAAATATGAAACTTTTAGAGTATACCACTTAAATTTAATTAAGTTTAAAAACATTAAAGTTGTTAATGTCACGAAAGTTACAAAATCTACTGTATATAAGCAAAATGTTTTTGAAGTTTTAACCAGGCAGAGTACCTCAAAAAAACCTGATATTGTCAATACGCAGCAATGTTCTGTCTTCCGTGTTTAGAGAGAGAGAGAGAGAGAGAGAGAGAGAGTGAGAGAGAATGACAGGACTAGAACGGCACTTTGAGGCTACGTTCACATTACCAGGCTGAAGTAGCACAAATCTGATTTTTTGACCCAGATCTGATTTTTTCAGAGCTGTGTGAACGCACAAATCTCATCTTTTCAAATCAGATCTGAGCCTCTTTCGTATGTGGTCTTTGATCGGATTCATTCAGCGTTAATGTGGCAGCAGCGCTTGACTTTGCCAGTAAGAGTCAGTATAAACACCAGAAAAGCAACAATACATTATTGGGTGTGAATTACTTCACCCACATTAATGTGAACCATCAAGTGAGAAAGATCAGGTCTAAGCAAAAAATCAGAATTGAGTACTGAGGCTCCTGCTAGCATTTGTTCATTATTATCGTTATGCTAACGTATTTTGAGTGACCATTAGCGTTTCTAGGCAAAGTATTCCTTGCACACTCACGTCTATAACTTAATAGGAACTCATCATTGTTTTCAGTGTAGTTTTGAGCATTAAAGTATTAGGATGTGAACTTCCAAAGATGTTGAGGGATAAACTTCTGCTCTTCCATAAACGTTTTCCATCGCCCCCTGCAGGTGTGGAGTATAACCTACCACAGCTGGCTGACCTTCGTGCTGCTGCTGTGGGCGTGTCTGATCTGGATGCTGCGAGCGCGTCGCCGTTTCGCCATGCTCTGCTCGCCCTTCATCCTGCTGTACGGCCTGGGGCTCTGCGGCCTGCAGTACGTCTGGGCCATGGACCTGGAGCCCGAACTGCCCCAGCACATAGGCTCCATGAGCCTGAGGCAGATGGGTCTGGACCGAGCACACTACCCCTGTTTACGCCTTGGAGCCATGGTGAGGATAGTGGAACTCTGGGAAATGGAGTTACATAGCGATAGCAGCAGCAGTCAGATGAACCATCATGGCAGTATTAGAAGTCTGCAGTTATTGTTGTCTTGTTGTACTATTTAAATTTAATTACATAGCTAATTGCATTTGTACTTACACAATGACATTTGGTTTATATTCTGTATCGATAAGTTTAAATATGTAGTTCTGACTTATTTTTCTTTGTTTTGAGATCGAAAATAATGAAAACAACATTTTCGTGTCATCAGGAATCATCCAAAAAAAATGTATTGCCAATGTGGTGAATTAAGGAACTGTTTATTTAGGGAAAGGCAAAGAGTGGTTGTAGGATTTGTGTCATTCCAGAGACTTCGGATCTGTTTTAATCTTCTAAACCACGTGTTGGAATATATACGAAAAACCTGATTAATATATATGGTGATCTATTTTATTTTAAATATAGTTTTTGACTTAATTTGAAAACACCTGTTGTTCTTTACATTGTGTGTAAATTTCATTTTAAATGGACCAATAGAAACGACCCAAAATGACTTGGAAAAAATTCTGGTTCCATTGACTTACATTAAAAGTAAAGGAGGTTTTTTCCTTCTCCTGTGAAGTTATAATTTTGGAGATTTGAGATTTTCTTCCGACAGCAGCGATATCCTGCACTATGTGTATGATATATCAAAGTATGATACTAAGTATGATATACCAGAGATGTTTTTTCTCCTTTTCTTGCTCAGCTGCTGTTCACACTGACGTTTTGGCTGCTGTTAAGACACTCAGTAAAGGACATATTCTGCAGGAAGAAGCAGGCAGCTCCACTGCAGGAGGTCACCACTGGAGGTGAGAGAGGCCGGATCTGCACTGAAACCCTCCAGCACTCTAAAAAAAAAAAAAATGATCTATATAGAACCATGAACACTCAAAGAACCCTTTCCATGATCAATGGTTTCTTTGCATCATGAAATGGTCCTTCAGACTGACAGAGACTATGCTGTAGATGGTTCTATATGGAACTTACTTGAAAAGGGTTCTAAATAGCACCCAAAAGGGTTCTATTGTTACGATGTCAAGCTTGTAACAATAGAAGAACCCTTTTGGGTGCTATGTAGAACCCTAGTACATTCATGCATATTCTCTTTCATGATGCAAGGAACCCTTTAATCATTTAAATAGTTCTTTGAGTGTTCATGCTTCTATATGGAACCATATAGAACCATTTTCCTTTCTAAAGAACTAAAAAGTGTAGCTCACACTTAAAAACTTATGTTCCCACTTAGAGTATGTCAGTTGTTACATGTTTACTGTTATTTAACAGTGTTTACTGTTAATTAGCGTGTTATATACTGTATCTGTGCTTTGTGCCCTGTTATATAACCCTGGTTACGAACAATATTCATTTATTTTTTATTTTATTTCTCTTTTTTTGTTTATTTTTGTTAATTTGTTGTTATATAAGAGATTGTTATTATAAGAGACCAAGTACGGGTCTGAGTAGTGGTGGGGGCAGGCAGGGGGTATTAAATCTCGGGTCAGTATCAGAATGTGTTGGCGGTCCAGGCTGGTAAGCTAATATGGCAGCGTAGGGTTTTGAACCCTTCAGATTCCTTCCAGTGTGAAGGGAACTATTTCGGGCTGTAATGATAACTCGTTAAAAATAATAATCGATTAGATTTTACGTTCTCAATAAGTCGGCTTAGTGATTAGTAGGTCATTATAAACCCAAAGGTTTGGAATGTTTGTTAAATACATTTGTTGTTGGGAAGGTTATATATCAGGGAGAATTAAGTTGAAATAAAATTCACTTCCAGAATGCCTCGTATTTGAAACCCAGTGAGCAAATCTCAGCCAGAAAACTTATCAGAGTTACGGTAAACAGATTACAGCATACAGCCGTATTAAAAGTCTGTGCGCCCCTGATCAAATGACATGTTTTGTTGATAGCGCTATATAAATAAAATAAACCTTGACTTAGAAAATCCAGGTCCGAGCTCCCGTGACGCCGCCAGTGGTGACAGTGGCAAGGAAAAACTCCCTAAGAGTAAGAGTAAGAAAACTGGAGAGGAACCAAGACTCAAAAGGGGAATCATCCTCCTCTGGTCAACACCGGACAGCAAACAACAACAAAAGAGCAAAATGAGCAGAGAATAAGGTTTTAACATTAGTATAAAATATTAATGTACAGAATACAGAAAAGGGGAAAAGCAGGAGAAGCAGTGGCTCTGATTAAATAGTTTGAGTCTGTGCAGCAGCAGCATCAGGAGGGTCAGTTCATACAGGTGAGGTTTGCACAGCGTTGTACAGCAAGAAGCTCTGTGGTGGTCAAACTGGTTCAGGAGTCAGGCGAGCGGTGGGCACCAGATGAAAATTTAAGTGAAAATAAGTGAACACTTCCTCTCTAGAGAACACACTTCTGCACATTTTAATGCACCATTACTGTTACATCAAATGTGGCCTGTGCAAAAGTTATTTATATTTTATGTTTTGTTTTGTTTTATGTTAAACTGAGTAAATAAATAGAAATTGAGCACTGAAATTGTCAGAAAAGTACCATAAATGTGTTCTGTGTGGAGGATGTGTTCATTTATTTTCATTTAGAAAAGTGAAATTTGACTGGGGCTGTTTGTATACTGCAGTGTTATTTATTGTTTAATAACTTCTGGCTTACTTTTGAGCAATAAAGTATATCCATTTTTTGTCACGTATAAATATATTTTTCCTTTTTATGTGCACATAATAGTTGGAAAATGGTCAGTTAAACTAACATCTTTTTTCACTTCTTTCTCTCTGTGTCTCTCTCTCTCTCTCTCTCTCCATCTCTACAGAGAATGCGGGGCGTGATGACTCCATTCTAAAGCTGCTGGGCAGAGTGGTGATGAGCCTGTATGCCAAGTATTGGATCTATGTTTGTGGAGGGATGTTCATCATGGTTAGCTTCGCCGGAAAGCTTGTAGCCTACAAGATCATCTACATGCTGCTGTTTCTGCTCTGCATGTGCCTCTACCAGGTAAACACTGACCACCCCTGACCACCCCTGACCACCAGTGACCACACAGGTCCACACATGCTGGCTGTGTTGGTTTTCTAATGTGTAATATGTCCATGGTCGTACTTCCTGACGGCCACAGTAGTGTTTCATGCACTAGTGCTCACACATGGGGGTCGTTCCATAAGGCAGGTTTCTCAGTGATATTCTCTCCTGAATCAACTCATAAAGTATTTGAAAATTAGCTGATGGGTTAAATCAGATGCAGGTCCAGTTCTACAGGGCTGCAAAAGCAGGATAGTGTAGATGATTCTGACAACTGAAAGAGTACACGTATGTAATTATCATTATGTTTTGTTTAAATCGTATAAATAATGTGGTGAGACTCTTATTTCATTCTAAAGTTTTGTTTGGAAACAAAAGGGTTGAATTCTTGAGTCAGCCAATGTAAAATTATCCACTAAGGATTATTTTCCTGTGCTATCTAGGCAGATATAGCCAAGCGAGCTCTCCCATTGGCTAGGCCAGGGGTCGGCAACCCAAATGTTAAGAAGAGCCATTTTGTCCTGTCAGCAAAAATCAAAACAACTTGGGATTCATTGTGTCATTTTTGCGGTAAACACTAAACAAAAACTTAAAAAAAGACTTACTTTGTTCGGGAAAATTCAAATGAGAAGTTGGCAATTGAGAAACTGACTTTTTAGTATTTGACAGTTTCTCGTTGCAGATTAAACAGGAAACAGTATCAGGAAACCCGCTGGAGTGGTTATAAACGCAAATAAGTCTGTTAGTCTTCAAATGATCGATGTTCATCTTAAATCTTTTCGTAGCTACTAGCTAGGCGGGATTGTTGTCGTTGCTATGGTGACCAGCAGTCTGCGCACCAACCTTCAGGGTTAAAGGGTGAATTAGCCGTTAAACATTAACTCCAGTGTTTAAGACCGTTTATTGTTAAGACTGTTAGAACGATCATTTTCTGCAAAAGAGGGTAATTAGATAAAAATCTGATTCTGCTGTGGAGCCGCAACAGGACAGTAAAAGAGCCGCATGCTGCCAGCCCCTGAGCTGGGCCTTCAGGAGCTCAACTGAAGGCCTTACACATTGTGATGTGGAGGTGGCTTACAAGTAGGGTTTTGTCATCGATACATACACATAAAACTACAAAACGGCCACATAAACTGCTTTAACTTTAAATGCCAACACTAATATTACAACAGGGGTTAGTTATTTTTTGCTTGTTTGCATAATGTGTGTGTGCACCAATACGTACATCAGTAAAAACTACTACATTCTTTAGGTCTTAAACTGTGGACCGAATTCAGGCATAAATGATTGACCTCTCATTCTAGGTGTATTACTCCCTATGGAGGAGGCTCCTGAAGCCCTTCTGGTGGTTGGTAGTGGCCTACACCATGCTGGTGCTCATTGCTATCTACACCTTCCAGTTTGAGGACTTCCCAGGCTACTGGAGGAATTTCACCGGCTTCACAGAGGAACAGTACGTCATTTATTACATCACCAGGGTTGCTGATAACAGTTTATCTCATTGATTAGGTAGAAAGAAAAGATGCTCTCTCATGCTTTCTTCTGTATTTTTCTCTTTGTCGTCACTGCTATTCAAGGCTTCGCTACAATCTGTGTGACAAGTCATTTCTTCCTTTGCGGTGCGATGAAACAACAGAAGGCGTATTGCCCCCCTGCGCTTCCTATAGTGCAGTGGTTCCCAGTCCTGGTCCTGGAGGACCCCCTGCCCTGCGCATTTTAGTGTTTCCTCTGCTCCCAACACACCTGATCCAACTAATCAGCTCATTAACAAGCCCTTCATCATTTGAAGTGGGTGTGTGGGGAGCAGAGAAGACACTAACGCATGCAGAGCAGGCATTATTTGTTTACCTCTGTTTTACACCCGAAGTTCATGCTGTTGGGGCTGAATCAGAGGTCAGCAACCCAAATGTTAAAAAGAGCCATTTTGTCCTTTCAAAATCAAACCACCTCAGGAGCCCCAGTATTTTATGTCCATTTTACCATCTTGTCCGTAAATATGTCTCAGTATGTGCTGATGTACTAGTATAGACTGAAAAACATAATATAAATGAAAACACAGACTTACTTTGCTCTGCTTTAAGCTTCAGCTCAGCTATAGCTGCTTTTCTCACATCTCCAGCAGGAAACATTTCCACAAAAGTAGAACAGTTTCTTGTAAAATGTCTCTCAAAGTTCCACTTTTTACGAGGCTGAAGTCGCTTTTCATTCGTCAGCTTCTTTTTCAAATTTTCCTGTTCCACCTTAAATTGTGCCAGAATGTAACTGCTGCACCATTTAAGGTGGAACAGGGAAAATTCCGAATGAGAAGCGACTTCAGCTTCGCAACTTTTTAGTGTTTGACAGTTTCTCATTGCAGATTAAACATATCAGGAAACCAGCTGGAGTGATTATAAACACTAATAAGTCCATTTGTCTCCAAACTATCGATGTTTATCCTAAATATTTCTCCTTGCCTTGTCATTATAGCTACTAGCTAGGCGAGATTGTTGTCTGTGTTGCTATGTGACCAGTCATCTTCAGGGTTAAAGGTGAATTAGCAGTTCTACATTAACTCCAGCGTTTAAGACCAATTATTGTTAAAACTGTGTTGAACGATCAGCAGAGCTTTATTTTACTGCAAAGGAGGATTATTTTATTTTTACCTACAAATCTAATTCTGCTGTGGAGCCTCAACAGGGCACTAAAAGAGCTGCATGCAGCTCCGGAGCCACTTGTTGCCGACCGCTGGGCTAAATGAACACACAACTAGAAAACACACTAGAACATTTCCAGTTTTTTACAATATGAATAATGTTATTTACTCTTTAAAGACACAAACTGGCATTTTAAATTAAAAGTAAAATTGACTGTTTAAATAACATGAATCAAATATAGTGCAACATTGAAAGTACGAGGCGACAGGCTGTGTAGCACAATCAGTCATGTATAATTATACTACGACATGTTGCTGTAGGTGTAGCAGCAGCATTTACACAGTCTGATTCCAGTCTTGGCCAGTTCCTATTGTGTATCCTGATTTCGTCGTAATAAAACGTCATCAACGTAGTTGTCTAATCACCACAGCCCTAATTCACATCTTTAAAAAATCATTTTTGCTCTGATGACAGTGGTGGAGGTGCGTTTGCGTGCGACAGAGTGAACCATTACTGTGTGTACACCACAGAATGTGTTTGAGTAAGTGTTATAAAGTCTGGTAAGGTTCATTTACACAGGCTTATTGAACGAGTGGGTGTAAGTATCTGTGTACATATGAGGGAGCCTACGTTTGTGTGTGCGTGTCTGATGGTTTGGTTTCATGTGTATGTTACTGTTGGCGTTCACAGATGTGCATGGCTTAGACCATGTAGGGTGCTTTCCGCAGTGATCACAAGATTCTGGGAGCAGATTCAACACAATGGCTCAGATTCATGAATTTTCATGAATATGGCCCAATGTGTGTAGTGTTTACGGCGCTGTAGGCTACAGAGAGTGGCTGCTATTAGACAAAACAATGAAGCAACATGATTTACACTGATCAGGCATAACATTATGACCACCTCCTTGTTTCTACACTCATTGTCCATTTTATCAGCTCCACTTACTATATGGGTGCACTTTGTAGTTCTACAGTTACAGACTGTAGTCCATCTGTTTCTCTGATACTTTGTTAGCCCCCTTTTACCCTGTTCTTCAGTGGTCAGGACCCCCATGGACCCTCACAGGGCAGGTACTATTTGGGTGGTGGATCATTCTCAGCACTGCAGTAACACTGATGCTGATGTTAGTGTATGTTGTGCTGGTCTGAGTGGATCAGACACAGCAGTGCTGCTGGAGTTTTTAAACGCCTCAGTGTCACTGCTGGACTGAGAATAGTCCACCAACCAAAAATATCCAGCCAACAGCGTCCTGTGGGCAGCGTCCTGTGACCACTGATGAAGGACTAGAGGATGACCAACACAAACTGTGCAGCAGCAGATGAGCTATCGTCTCTGACTTTACATCTGCAAGGTGGACTGACAAGGTAGGAGTGTCTAATAGAGTGGACAGTGAGTGGACACAGTGTTTAAAAACTCCAGCAGCACTGCTGTGTCTGGTCCACTTGTACCAGCACAACACAGTGTAGAAACAGGAGGTGGTCATAATGTTATGCCTGATCGGTGTAAATGTATAATCATAACCGATTTTTCAATCAAGAGGTGACCGTGACAAATGACACAGAGCTGTTTGTGTGTAACTGACATTGCCTCATTTCTCCCCTCCAGATTGGCTGACATTGGTCTAGAGACGTTTAAACTGTCTGAGCTCTTCACCAGCATCATGATCCCCGGTTTCTTCCTCCTGGCCTGCATCCTGCAGCTGCACTACTTCCACAAACGCTTCATGAAGATCACTGACCTGGAGCACGTCACACCCCTGAACAGGCAAAGACCTTTTATTTCTGAAACATTTAGTACACTTACTAATGAATATTGAGTCTGTACTGTTGAATCAAGGACAACATTGAGAGCTACACATTGATCTGACAAATCTAAGAGGTCAGCTTTCATCTAGTTTACCCAGTTGTGGCGCTGTAATACCCCTGTTCTGCTGATTTTGGTCTTTTCCTAGCTCTGTCACACCTGATCTAATGACTCGGTTCTTCATCAAGCCTGAGTTGAGGTGGATGTTTTGGTCCTGGAGTCTTGGAACATTTTAGTGCAGGACTTCAGGACCCGGGGTGGCAAGCACTGATCTGGTTTGCATGTTTGGGCAAAGATAAAATTGTTTCATTGAAAGAAAAAAAAACTTTATTTATGGCACTCAGGGGTTTTCGGCAGTCCTGGACAGTAGATTTAACACAGCAGCACAGTGTAAAAAGGAGGCCTTGCCCTTATAAATGCAAAGGCACCTTGCTTGCACAAACATGGTGCCACTTTATGGCTGAGGCAGGTACTCAGCCATAAAGTGGCACCATATTTATCAAGCCTTAGAACGCCAAACTAAACAAAAAGCTTCCAGGAGGTGTCACTGTTTAACGGTTGACATATGGCTCCTTCAAGAATAGCTTAGCCAAACTTGAAATATCATGATACTGTTGCTGCCTTCAAGTCGTGTTGGAAATACTATATTAATGAGATGAGCACACGTGAACGCCACCGCAGTGTCGGATTTACTGGTAAAAAACTCAGATTTTTCAATAAACCCTGAGTTTTCATGTTGTGGCCGCGTCAACAGAAGAAGCAGTGGTAGCTGCTGACAGTTGCATTGTAAAGTGGTTGTATTTGTTACCCAGCAGTTGCACACAAACACTGATAAAATCATCCACATGCAAAAATATGAGCATGTCATGTGATGCTTCTCACTGGATAAAACTCACCTCATTAGCATCCTCTGCTTATCGTTTTGTTGCAGTAATACAAAATAAACAGAAAAACTAAAGTAACCAAAATAGCATTATGTCCAGAGTGTCTTGTCTAGAGTCTGACCAAAAGTCTCACCACTTGAACACAAATAAAGTCATACTTCCAAACTCCAAAGATGTAAGTAGGAACTTCTGAAGAGGATTGTTATAATATAAATTGATAATAATGGCTATAATTGGAACTGAAGTCTCTGTATTTACTCGCCTCACTATCCTGCACTCTCTCATAAAACGCTACGTCATCACTAACATTGGTTTCAGATGTCCTTCTGTTATAAACTGCATTTCCCATGCTTCTTCACAAGCTCTTTGCAGTTGAACTGGCTCCTATAGGTGTGTTTTGTTGGTACGTGCAGAAAGCGATCTGTCCCGAAGCCAGAGGTGCTCCAGAGTTCAGAGGGAGGAGGCTTTGAGGAGGAGGACCTGCATACGGAGCTGGGAGATGATGAGTCAGAAGATGGCGGTAAGAGCACAGAGACTTATATGAAGTTCTCTCTCTGGTGTCATGAAAAACGCTCTGATTTGCAAACTACACACTTAAAAATGATGCTTATTCTTCTCATTCTTTGGTAAAGAAACGGTTCTATATAGAACCATGAACTCTCAAAGAACCCTCTGTGTGATTAAAGGGTTTTTTTGCATTATTGAAGGGTTCTTCAGATTGATGCAGACTGTGTTTTTGAAAAGGGTTCTAAAAAGGGTTTTTGAAAAGGGTTCTATATAGTGTTTTTCTGTTGTTACAGTCTTGATATCATGACAATATAAGAACCCTTTTTGGTGCTGTGTAGAACCCTTTTCAAAAAGGTTCTATATAGAACCATCTACAGCACATTCTCTGTCAATCTGAAGATTCTTTCACGATGCAAAGAACCCTTTAATCATGCAAAGGGTTCTTTGAGTTCTCATTGTTCTATATAGAACCATTATCTTTACTAAACAACCCTTGAAGAACCATAATTTTTAAGTGTGTACAGTGTATGAAGATGAACACTGTAGACTGAGTTCTAAAGCCAGGGTAGATTGTACATTTCTAAGTGGAATCTAGCTGGAGCCTCACAGATCAAACCACAGGGCCCTCGGGTGTAGCTAGAGAAGCTAGATAGCAAGCTAAAGTGTTGGTGAGGTAGCTAACATTAACCCTTGTGTGCTGTGCAGGTCTGTGGGACCCGTTTTCAATGTTTACTGAAATAAATGAAGCAATTTTATTACTATATCAACCTCAGATTCTTGTTCTTTGCTCATTTTCTGTGAAGAACATATAAAATAACCCATTTTCAGTGTCTTCACTCTGTTCACCCCCCACACATTTATATTACACATGTGGTGTTGGGCTGAACCCGCGGGGAGTAAAAGTGTGGAGGTGCTGTGTCCTTCGCTCTGTTCTCCTCCTACATGGCCTGCTGTTAGTGTGTGTGTGTGTGTGTGAGGGTGGACAGCATGGACAGGCTGCTGACTGGCTACAGCTGCTAAAGGAGAACCCTACACTGGCTGCTTGTGATATTTTAAACGTCTGGTATTTTTACATAAATTATTATGGTTATTATATAAAAAAAACAATAATGAGGTGGGTCACTGAGTAACAAAAGCATGAACGCCACACAAGGGTTAAAGGGGCACTCCAGAAAGAAAACTATAACCATTGTTGCACCTGTTACAGACATGCCTGCAGTCTTCCTGCAGTGGCGGAACTAACGTCTACAGTGTTGAAGACTAGAAAAACCCCCTTCTCTTTGAAGGTGGGAGGAACTTTTGAAGAACTACAATTTGTGGATACATCTGACCAGGCTGATTGAATTGTTTTCTTTCCTGCTGGCTTGCAAATGCAGACGGAAGCCAGATAACTGTTTGCCAGTGTTTGTTATACGAGTGAAATATTGTTGCACTGTGGTATGAAATTCTGTAAAAACCATTTTATGATTTGATTTTTCGTCTGTATTGTCTGAACCTGCTCTGTACTTAAAATCTTATATCTAATAAAATATCAATGCAAGCTAATAAGCTCTTCTCTGCTGCCCATCTGCTCTCAGTGATGGTGCCCAGTAAGTGGGGGCTGGTGATGGACAGGCTGATGGTGCTCTGTAGGAAGTTTTCAGACATACTGACCCTGATTCAGGCCTTTATCTGGAGGATCCTGGAGCTCCACATCCTAAAGATCGTCGCCTTCTTTGTCGTCTGGGTGGCGCTGTTGGAGGTATGAAAGCCTACTGTTGTCTCTGGTCTCTTTATTCAAGGGAATATTCCACTGATGTTATTAAACTGAATGAGGGTTGGTTGGTAATGTGCGTCGGCCCCACTAGCTTTTATTGTTATTGTTACACCAAAAAGAGAAATGCACATTGTTATTGTAGCAGTCATATTAATAACTGCAGTAGCAGTAAAAACGACAAAAGACAGACTTACTGCAAAATGCTAATGTCTAACAACTACAGTTAAAACAATGAATAATTTTTTATCTAAGACAGTCATTTCGTGCTGTGCCTAACAATGCCTCTTAACTGTGGTAAAATCACTGTAATGCACGGCCTCACATGGCTAATTGCAATTATAAAAAATACACCAGTGTTCTGTTAAAATACATTTCGCTCAATTGAAAATGTAATTTTCCAGTTTTTAAAGTGACAAGTTTAATGAAGTACGTGAACATTTTTAAAGTTTAAAAACATACATACCTTTCACTTCCCTTTCAATATGGTCCATAAATGGAAACTAAGCTGCAAAAACAGCATGTTTTGAATTCGTTGTTGCTTTGATGTCATGAAAACTCATCCACACCCATTCATAAGGAAGTTTTTTTCAGCTTTCTGAATAAGGCACAATACAGCCAATAAGGTGAGGTCATTTACAAACATCACAGTAACAGAAACAGCTGGTTTAATGCTACGGTGTGAGAAGGAAAATAGTCATGCAAAATGAATCATAGAACATAAAAATATACAGGTCTTGTTAAAGGGCCTTAGGGGGAAAAACAAAATACAAGAAAAATGTACAAAATAGGCCCTTTAAAAGTTTTGTTTATTATTAATAGTTTCAATGACGTTTTTCTTTTATGGGGTGCAGTTTACAGTCATAGTCTGTTAACAGTAAGCTGTGGTTACCAAGCAACATTACGCTCAAAGATCATTCTACAAACAGCACGATTGTTTATTAATAACTTGGCACATTAATGCGGAATTCAGTTGGTGTGTATTAAAATTTTCCATAGTTTCCTAAAGTAATAACAAAATACAGTGGTATCCACTTTATCCAGTTTTTAACTGTTTGATTCAGTGACAACCTTGAGGGACGAGCTCTGTCTTTTTTTTGTTTTTTTTTGTTTTTTTTAATTAGTTGTAGTGAATGTTTGTCCCACAAGGAGCGAAGCAGCTGTTGTGCATCTGCACTGTTTGTAATGTGTTTGTAATGAGGTGTTAATTTGTAAATGTTGTCTCACTCGCCCACTCTCTCTCTCTCTCTCTCTCTCTCTCTCTGTTCTATCTCTATGTCTCTTTCTCATGCAGCCATCTGTGATGAACCTGGTGTTGGTGGTGTTGTGGTCCTTTGCCATGCCGTACACTCGTTTCAGACCTATGGCCTCCTGTCTGTCCACCGTTTGGGTCTGCGTCATCATCGTCTGCAAAATGCTCTACCAGCTCAGCATCGTTAGTCCTAGTGAATACTCCAACAACTGCACCGTGGTGAGCGATCCGCAGCCACACATATGCACTGTAACTCAGACTCTCTCATGTTTACAGACATATTTTAAAATGATTTTCAACTGCTAAAAGTTTCAGTTATGGCCACTTTCAGTTATGGCCAGCAATAGCAAAGCTGGTGTATATATAGCCACTACATTTATGACACATTTTCCTAGTTTGATTATTCGAACCGTCTGTAGTTCCAGGCTGAAGTGCAGTAAATGTAATTCATCATGCAAATAACGTTCATTAATGTTGTAATTACATTTGAATAGTAACACAAACTGACAGTAATGTTTATACACCCAGACATATTGCACAACTATTAATATATGCTATTGTTTACAGTGTATAGTCACTCAGTTCATCCGCTGGATGTGACATGCACCTCTGCATTGTCACCTGCATAATATTTATTTGATTTTACTTACTCATTCTTGTACTGTACACTGTTTTACGGTTGTTTTAGTATATTTTATTATATATCTTCTTCTATTTATGCATCTGTATAATAGCAAACAACATTTGCTCGTTTTGCTTTTTACTGTACTTTGTGCTGCTTTATCTTGCTTTATCTATCTATCTATCTATCTATCTATCTATCTATCTAATAACACAAAACAACCAAGAGTGAATTAACACACATTCTGTGCTCTGTATAGCCACCTTTCTTTAAATGTGTGTTTCTCTCTCTCTATCCACCCTCAGTCCTTCCCCACACTTACTCTGTAATACATGTAGGTGCACATGTTTGCCATCAGTGGCTCGGCTTGTGTGGAAGCTAGTTTGGCACTGGTTTGATTTCTTTCTCTCTCTCTCTCTCTCTCTCTCTCTCTCTCTCTCTCTCTCTCTCTCAGCTCCCTGTTGGGAGGATAATCCTCGCTCTAATTACCCACCCACCCCCTGTGCTTACTTTTTGTTGATGCGTTTAGACTCAAACTTTACGGCTGTTGAAGGAAAGCAGTAAACAGTGAGGCGTTTGGCTCTCAGGTGATTAGCGCTTCTTTATGAGCACTCGTTACTGCCACATTAGCACAGACCTCGCCTCATCTTCCCTGCCTACGTTAGTTTACTAGAGCTGAACCGTTCATCACTTTTAGATTAAAAGCAGTTTTCAAATCGCAGAAGCTGCAATTTTATTTGTATCCTGCATTATTCAGTGTTATCTTAACTGGGAGAATTTAACCTGATGACGTAGAGCTTGAACATCGGACAAAGTAGTTTTACTTTGGTAACTATTTTGCCTCACAATGCCCTGCATGTATCCCTCCACCATATATTTTAAAGTTAGGTTTTAAAATAAGTCCAAAATCAGGCAGCGTATTCATAACCATTTTGTGGAATAACTGTGAGGAAGCTTTTAGAGGCATTAAACTCTTCAGACATCTGGTTTCTAACTTCTGACTCCCCTTAGAGGGCAGCGTTGAGTAATGTTTGTTTTTTTGAGCTTGAGCTGTTTCTGTCGTCAGTTGGGAGCTAATAAGTATCAACAGTTAAAAAAGAATTAGCTGATCATCCAGTTTACCCGCTTTAGATTTCACTGTTGTTGGAAGAAAACCTCGTATCTCCACAATGGTGACTTTACAGGAGAAGAAAAAAAACCTACTCTACTTTTATGTAAGTCAGTGGAACCAGACGTCTTTCCAAGTCATTTTGGGTCATTTCTTTTGGTCCATTCATCATGAAATTTGACACACAATGTAAAGGGCAGCAGGTATTTTCAGACTGTCAAAAACTGAGAAACGATATACGAGGTTTTCTTCTGACAGCAGCGATTTATTCTTTGAAAATAGATGATTGAGTTGTGAGTCACAATTATCCATATGGCAGTTAATCATCAGCTAAAATTCCATGATCGTGATCGTGTGTACAGAAAAGACAGAGCAAACTTGGCTGTGAAAAATAAAGCATACAGTGGGGTAGAAACTCACGCATGCTGATAGATACTGTATGTATTGTTTGTAGAGCACAGTGCCGTTTCAGATGCCCTATTGTGTCTCTTCTGCTGCCTTTCATAATATTCCCCCTCCCTGATCTCTGTTGAGGTCTTTCTTTGCCATTATTTTGTGCTGGACTTTGATGCTCTGCAGTCACGCGATGGTCTGCAGTCTTTTCAGACTGCTTTGTTTCATGTTCTTTGAAGTTTGTGGAGTTGTAGAGTAGTTTTGAGTGACCAAACATCACGAATGTACGCTTTTGATACAACACTGTATGTCCAGCAGTTCCTGCTTATCCAACATTTCTTCTGAAAAAATCCTTATTAATAGGGAGTTTGTCCCCCTTTGCTGCACTTCCCTGAAGACTCTACTCTTCTAGATGTTGGAACGTTGCTGTGGGGATTTGATTGACCATTAGTGAGGTCAGGCACTGATGTTGGATGGTCAGTTCTGGATCATTCCAACTCATTCCAGAGATATTGGATGCAGCTTCATCACTCCAGAGAATGCACATCCACTGCTCCACAGACCAACGCTGGGGGGCTTTATAGCCCTCTAACTGAGGGGCATGGTGACCATAGGCTCGCATGGCTGGTCCAGAGCATTCCATTCTATTGTTCAGTGCGTCTTTATGGAGATTATACAAGCTGTGTGGCTCTTTAAGACTTTCTCTCTGTGTCCTTCTCTGTCTTCTAGCCTCTTCCCAATGAGACCAGCCTAGAGAGCAACGAGGTACAGAACTCCATACTTTACAAAGATCCAGTGGATCCAGCTAACTGGTTTGGCTTCAGAAAGGATGCCACTGCTTTAGGCTACAGTAAGGTGAGATATTAGTGGTCCAAGTATATTTTCATATTCAAGGAATTTGGGTTTAATGCACTTGTAATAAACATAAATGATCAATGCAGCATATACAGAAATAATACAAATAAATGAAATGCACAGCTAGGCTGTCACAAGATATAAACATGTTTAATTTTTGGGGTGAGACAACAAGATGTTTACTCATTAAATGATAAATAGTGCAGAAAGGGGTCATTTTTGTGACCTCTGCGTCCAGATCTGTTCAGCACATTGCAGTTATGTTGAGTTAGTTTTATTATAACTTTGTTCTCAGGGTTGTTCAGCTTTCTCAGTTACTACAGAATCTTATTAGAATATTTTTAAACATTTTTCTGCTTTTATATTATTGAAAACATAAGTTCCAAACTTTTCAATGATGTTTCTAAACTTTTGAACGCTGGTGTATCCAGTATGCATCTATACACCGATCAGGCTCCACTTACTGTATAGGTGCACTTTGTAGTTCTACAGTTACAGACTGTAGTCCATCTGTTTCTCTGCATACTTTGTTAGCCCCCTTTTTCCCTGTTCTTCAGTGGTCAGGACCCTCATGGACCCTCACAGAGCAGGTACTATTTGGGTGGTGGATCATTCTCAGCACTGCAGTCACACTGACGTGGTGTAGGTCTGTTAGTGTGTGTTGCGCTGGTCTGAGTGGACCAGACACAGCAGTGCTGCTGGAGTTTTTAAACACTGTGTCCACTCACTGTCCACTTTATTAGACACTCCTACCTTGTCAGTCCACCTTGTAGATGTAAAGTCAGAGACGATAGCTCATCTGCTGCTGCACAGTTTGTGTTGGTCATCCTCTAGTCCTTCATCAGTGGTCACAGGACGCTGCCCACAGGACGCTGTTGGCTGGATATTTTTGGTTGGTGGACTATTCTCAGTCCAGCAGTGACACTGATGTGTTTAAAAACTCCAGCAGCACTGCTGTGTCTGATCCACTCAGACCAGCACAACACACACTAACACACCACCACCACGTCAGTGTTACTGCAGTGCTGAGAATGATCCACCACCCAAATAGTACCTGCTCTGTGAGGGTCCATGGGGGTCCTGACCACTGAAGAACAGGGTAAAAGGGGGCTAACAAAGTATGCAGAGAAACAGATGGACTACAGTCTGTAACTGTAGAACTACAAAGTGCACCTATAGAGTAAGTGGAGCTGATAAAACGGACAATGAGTGTAGAAACAAGGAGGTGGTCATAATGTTATGCCTGATCGGTATGTGTGCAGGTTATTTATTACAGTATAGGACAGGGGGGTTTGGACCGTAGCAAATGCAGATGTGCAGCCACATGTGCCGTTCAAGACATACAAAGATACATATCTGAGTCAAGAGTCCTGCAGAAGTGCAGTTAAACTGTCGTTATTGGGGAAAAAGATAGCAGAGTGTTTCTCATTTGCTCACCTGTCTGTTCTGTTCTGTAGAATCATCTGCTGGTGCTGCTGCTGCTGGTGTTTGAGGCGACGGTCTATCGGCACCAGGTACATCACTACAAGCAGCTTCAGCGCTCTCCTCCAACTATCCCAGCCATCTTCCCCCAGGCCACGCGGGACAAACTGGACCAGGGCCTGCTCCCCTGCATCAAATACCTGCTCAACTACAGCTTCTACAAGTTCGGCCTGGAGGTGAGCCCCCTGCTATGTCTCTCTCTCTTCCTGTGTGTCTCTCTCTCTTCCTCTCTCTCTCTCTCTCTCTCTCTCTCTCTCTCTCTCTCTCTCTCACTATTTTGTTTGTACCCATGTGATGATACCAGTTAGAAGGTCGATGTTGAGTTCAAAGTTTTAAGTAATATTAAACCAAATTGGTTGCAAAAAATGTATGAAATTATCATCTTCACTTCAAATAATTAATAATAAAATAACAATTAATTTTAGATGTGTCCAGAATGGTAAACAGAGCTGTAGATGACTCCAAAGCTGTAAAATCAAGAATGAAATTGTAATAAAATGAATCCAGAATGCCTCGTATTGGGCAGATAACTTGAGAAGAACTCACTATAATGTATATTTACAGCGTGTATATAATCCCCAGCATATTATTTATCGTTTAATATGCACTTGGCCATTCTTCATTTACTATTTCAGAATATTTCCACTGACTCTCTGCGTGCTCTTCTTTCCCTCTCCAGATCTGCTTCCTGATGACGGTGAATGTGATCGGCCAGCGCATGAACTTCCTGGTCATTATCCACGGCTGCTGGTTGGTTGCGATCATGGTGCGGCGGCGCAGGGCGGCCATCGCCAAAATCTGGTCCAAGTACTGCCTCTTCCTGGTCATCTTCATGATCTACCAGTACATCCTATGTGTGGGAATCCCCCCGGCTCTCTGCATCGGTCAGTTCCTGCCACATAGGTTTTTGAGTTGTCAGTGCAATCTGGTGTTTTCTAACACATCTAAGCTAGACTCGTCTTTCACAACCCTTATTACATGGTTTACAGGTCCTTTAGAGATTGAAATCAAGTTTTCAGAGGTTGAATAAGAAAAACTGAAGACTGCCTGGGTTTTTCCAAGGACTAGATCTGTGCTCAGGCAGTTAAAGTTAACCCTGTCAGTCATACATCCATGATCTTACTGTGTAAATGTGTGTGTTTGTGGCTTTCCCTCTGTTAAAGATACACTATATGGACAAAATTATTGGGATACCTCGCCTAATTATTGAGTTCAGGTGTTTCAACCACACCCTTTGCTAATAGGGGGATAAAATTAAGCACATAGCCTTGCAGTCTCGATAGACAAACACTAGCAGTATAATGGGTCTGAAGTGCACAGTGCCTATCCTCTGTTTAATCACTCACTAAAGCGTTCCAAATCGCCTCTGGAAGCAACATCAGCAAAAGAACTGCGTGAAAAGAGGCTTCACAAAATGAGTTTCCATGGCTGAGCAGCTACACACAAGCCTAAGATCAAAATGCACAATGCCCAGTGTCGACTGGAGTGGTGTAAAGCACCGCCTCTGGACGCGTTCTGTGGAGTGACGAATCACACTTCTCTATCTGTTAGTCTGATGGACAATCTGGGTTTGGCGAATGCCGGGAGAACGTTACCTGCCTGACTGCACTGTGCCAGCTGTAAAGTTTGGTGGAGGAGGGATGATGATATGGGGTTGTTTTTCAGGGGTTGGTCTAGAACCCTTAGTTCTGTGGGGAAAGTTTGCAGAAGGCCCTTTCCTGTTCCAGCATGACTGAGCCCCAGTGCACTAAGCAGGGTCCATAAAGACATGGTCGGGAGAGTTTGTTGTGGAAGAATTCGACTGACCCTCACAGAGCCCTGACCTCAACCACATCAACACCTTTGGGTTGAACTAGAACGGAGACGGTAAGCCAGGCCCTCTCGTCCAACATCAGTGTCTGACCTCACAAATGCTCTTCTGGATGAATGGGCAGAAATTCCTACAGACACTCTCCAACATCTTGTAGAAAGCTTCCCAGAAGAGTGGAAGCTGCAAAGGCGGACCAACTGCATATTAATGCCTATGGATTTAGAATGGGAGTCATAAAAGCTCCTGCAGGTGTGATGTGTAGGTGTCCCAATACTTTTGTCCTTTTAGTGTATTATTCAGTGGAACTGCATGACTGAATTTGTAGGTGTTTTTGTCTAGATTATCCATGGAGATGGAAAACTTCAGTCACCGTCAACTCAGCACTGATCAAATGGATCTACCTGCCTGATTTCTACACCATCCCCAACTCCAAAAACCTCATCGGTGAGTGGGTGACTTTTTACAGCAGGAGTTAGAGGGGCATTGTGTTTATCTCATTGACTCAAGAGCTGACCGGTCCAGCAGTGCACTCAGTGTTTATGGCTGTGTTGATACAAGCCTTATTGCTCATTTTGGAGTTTTATGCTCAGATCTGGTCTTTCTGTTGATGTTTCACTGTTCATGTTTATCTTTGTATTTGAGCCACATCTGTCATTAATTTGAACACACTGTGCTGCGATAGGACTCGCATATGCATTATCAATGCATTGCCACTGCTGATCTGCTGCCCACGCTGGATAATGACCATAGTGATATGCATGCACAGTGAAACGCGCAGTAAATATAATTCTGATGGGATTGATCTCGTTACGGTCACGTGCATTGAATATACAGTCTAGGAGCACATATGTGCACTACTGTTCAGAAGTTTTCAGTCATATAAAACCAATTTGGGTAAAAGTTCCCTTTTTATATAATTAGTAGGACATTAGAAAGCTGAATTAAATGAATGAGTCCATGAATAAGATGAGTCCATAATGATGAACAGATCCATAGATTATTCAAAAATGACTGCATAGCAAAGCTGTAAACCACTGCCAATTAAATTATAATGAAACGAATATCCAGAATTCATCGTACATCAGAAATGGAGACCAAATCTCAAGGCGAAACAAATCCTCAATAAATAGCTACAATATTTTATCATTTTATTCATTTCTTGTCCAATTCTTGACAAGTCTTATGTCGAATAGCATGTAGTATTTACATTTTTGTTATGTTGTACATAAAAAGTGATTCAAATTTATGAGCCATAATAGTGTAATAGTAAATAGTGTAAGTGGGCGTAAGTGAATAGGTAGGATTTTGTTATGATTCCTTTTCTGAAAAAAATCATATCTGTGTCAAATTTAGTGTCGTAATGTTAGTGTAGCCAATTTTAAACTGAGCAGATTGCAGCAAAGGGTCACCTACAGATCAAGCCTGTGGTCAGAGGGAGTATAAACAGTGTAATTAAAACGTTTTGAACCATTTGCTTGCTTGCGCAGCGGATTTCCTGCTGCTGATGTGCGCCTCTCAGCAGTGGAAGGTGTTTGAGAATGAGAAGAAGGAGGAGTGGATGGTGATGGGAGGAGAAAACAATGATAACCCGGACCCCATGGAGGGAATCCCCTTTAACCCTGCCCCAAACTTCATCAACTGCAGGTACTGCCTCTGATCCTTCTGCACCCATTGTAGCACCCCCTTCAGTGCATATGTAAAAGTGCAGGTTTGCAGCTTCTTGTGTTGTAATTCGGCGACCTTCGTAATGATTGTTAGCCTGTTAAAATCATTCGCACAAGCTGCTTCCATATAAATGAATCATGAAAAGTGAATAATAGTTATGGTTCAGATCAATTGCTGCTGCACAGAACCCAAAGATTTAACTAATGAAAAAAACTTCCTCTTCATTCATTCATTCTTTCTTTCTTTCTTTCTTTTTTCTTATTCTTTTTTTCTTTTTCTTTCTTTCCTTATTTTTTGTTTTACTAAACTCTCTCTTGCTGTCTTTTTCTTATTTTCTTTTTCTTTCTTTTTCATTCTTTTTCTCTTAATGAACTCCATCTCTCTGTCTCTCCCCTACCCCACCCCTCACCCCACCCCTCACCCTACCCCACCCCACCCCTTACCCCACCCCACCCCTTACCCCACCCCTTACCCCACAACACTCTTCACCCTACCCCACCCCTAACCGCACCCCTCTCTGTCTCAGGTCATATCTGGACATGGCGAAGGTCCTGGTGTTCCGGTATATGTTCTGGTTCGTGTTGGCTGTGGTGTTTGTGACGGGTTCTACCCGGATCAGTGTTTTTGGTCTGGGTTATCTGCTGGCCTGCTTCTTCTTCCTGCTGTTCGGCACTCAGCTGCTGATCAAACGGTCCCGCACCAGGCTGCTGATGTGGGACTGCCTCATCATCTACAACGTCACCGTCATCATCTCCAAAAACATCCTGTCTGTGAGTGAACACTGTGTGTGTGTGTGTGTGTGTGTGTGTGTGTGTCTCTGTGTCTATGTACACCCTCACCTGGACTGGTTTTAATGGACATGAACATCAGCGATATCTACATGTCAATTAGTAGTTAATAAAAGAGTACCAGTTGAGTCTTGAGTGGGTGGGGTTTCAGAGTTAAGTCTCAAGTCTTTAGTAGAAGAATGAAGCCTCTACTAAACCTGTCAGGTTCAACAGGTCACAGGTTGGTTACAGGTGCCAGAATATCAATGAGTGCGTATGCATGCACTCAGTAATCTGATCATAATCGGATTTCTGCAGTTATCCGATTATTCAAATAGTCATGTAAACACCATACTCCAATCTAGAAATCCGATTAAGAAATCCGATAAAGAGGCTGGATTCTAGCTCAGTAATTAGATTTCTCAACTCTTGCTTCGATTTCTGTCGGATTTCTCAGTCTGCGCATGCGCTGAGATCAGACGGTGGATGTCTCGAGACGCAGCAAAACACTGTTGGAGCGGCGCTGAAACCAAAAACGAAATAAAGGATTTAAATATTCTTCATCTTCTGGATGATGTATGTTCATATTTTCAGGTAAAGGGGGTCGATGTTAAAAAAAAAAATCTGTTACATTACTTTTATGTTACGTCGTCTTCTGTGATGTTTATTGGCTGGTTGTAAAACAGAAATCTGATTACTACCTGACTCATGTAGACCCAGAATTTCCCCATTATCTGATTACTCAAGTGCATGCAAACGCATTGATCAGATTACTGACAAAATCTGATTTTCTGCAGTTATCGGATTATTAAGTACATGTAAACACACTCATTGTTGCACCATTTAAAGTGGAACTTAAAATTTGAAAAGGCTGAGCAGGAATCTCACTTCAGTTTGATGTGAAACGGTTGGTTAGTCTGTAATTTGTGCAGCACATAAGGTAGGTAGCTGGTGTAGTACAGTCATATGTAAAAGTTTGGTTGCCCTGATCAAATAACATTTTGTTGTTTGTTTGTTTTACAGAATGTAACTTTTGCACAGGCCACATTTTATGTTGTTAAAAATACAATATAAAATGTGGCCTTTGCGAAGGTTATGGCACAGTTTATGTTTGGCACATTTGGCAGAAACAAAAGGTTTTATTTATTCAACACATGAAAGTTGGCGCTCCTAATTTGATCGGTTCATTTGTGTTTTTTTCTCAGGCTGAATTTTCATGAGTTGTAAGTCTTGTTGTGAGTCACTGACTTATGTCCTCAGTTCTGATGTGCTTGTCTGCTGGTGTTTATGTATTTATGTGTCTCTATCAGATCCTGGCCTGTGTGTTTGTAGCTGAGATGCAGTCTCGCTTCTGCTGGGTGATCCAGCTCTTCAGTCTGGTCTGCACAGTCAAAGGCTATTATGACCGTAAGTCTACTAATTTTTAAAAATGTGGTGTTAAACCCCTTACAGTAATATCCCATAAAGTACAGTATTGTGTGTGAACCTCTTAGGCATCAATACAAACAACACTAATGCAATGAGTCGTGATCTGTTAGCATAACATTTTCCAAATCTGTCCTTGTTACCTGGTATTAAGTGTAGGTATCATCAGATACCTGGTTTGGATGGACAGTATTTCATTATGGTAAATCAGATGTACTGCTGGTGGAATTTAACATGTATACAATGATTGAGGGTGTTGAAGAGAAGCCTGAGACTATGTTTTTGTTACCAGCTCCACTTTTTTTGAAAACAGGAAGGTTTTTACTGTATTTATGTTTATTTGTATATATTCTGATGTTAAACAGTGTTTTTACTGGCACAAACTGCCACAATAAATAAAACACTATGCTAAGGTCCTGTTTTTGGCCAAACATATATATTTTAGGCGTAAATAAAATCCCCCCAAAAAGTTGTATGGTTATTATCTGTATTTGTATCTGTATTATATATACAGTTCAGTGTTAATAGACCTCTTGAGTGTATTTTTTTTGAATTATTCAAAATAATGTAATACATCAAAGTATCGTAATCGGATTAGGACTTTGTGAAGTCAGAGTTGTTTCCCCTTTAAAAAATAATATTCAGTGTTTTGTAGAACTGTCTGCTTGAAGAGGTCTTCTACAGCTGTGACTGGGCTAAACCTGAGCTAATTCTGCCTGTGCACATCTGTATGCGTACGTACATACCTGTGTCCATTTGTATGTGTGTTTGTGACTCTACAGCTGAGTCTCTGAGCGATAAGGACTGCAGTTTGCCCGTAGAGGAGGCCGGCATTATCTGGGACAGCATCTGCTTCTTCTTCCTCCTGCTGCAGAGGAGAGTCTTCCTCAGCTTTTACTTCCTGCACGTCACAGCGGACCTGCAGGCTTCAGCGCGACAGGCCTCCAGGTGAGAGCACCCCCTGCTGGAGCTTACCAGTGGGGCAAAACGAGAGGGGTCTGGTTGTGCAGTCAGTAAGCTGCTGGTACTAATGATTTCAGTCTAGTGCAGGGGTGTCAAACTCAGCCACTAAAAGGGCCATACTAAAAAATCTCAACACATCCGAAGGCCAGAGAGAGTCAACAGCAAAATGTAGCCAGGTACACCTTCAAATATTCCATGTGAATAGTAAATAAGTAAGTAAGTAAAGTTTATTTATATAGCGCTTTTTACAGCAGGTGTTGTCACAAAGCAGCTTTACAAGGAAATCAGCATTACAGAAAGAAATCCGGGTCCAAGCCCCCATGAGCGTCGCCAGTGGCGACAGTGGCAAGGAAAAACTCCCTAAGAAACAGGAAGAAACCTTGAGAGGAACCAAGACTCAGAAGGGGAACCCATCCTCCTCTGGTTGACACCGGATAATAAACATTGTTAGTACAAAAACAGGGAAAACAGGTGGAGCAAATGATTAATTTAATTAGTTTAGTTCATGCAGCAGCGTCAGTGGGGTCAGGTTGTGAGGGTGAGGTTTGCACGGCGTAGTACAGCATGGACCTTGATGGTGGTCAAGCCGCTCCAGAGGGCTGGCGAGCAGTGGCACCCGATCAAGGCAGAAGAGGCAGCAGCATCAGACGCACAGGATGGGCAGTTGTTCAACTCGGCAAAGGAAAGAAAGAAAGGAAAAACACACAGAGTCAGTTCTGTAATGGGTGATTGATTAATTTGATTAGTTTAAATGATTGATATATGTAGGCTACATTAGCTACAGATGAATTTTAAATCTCTTTAAATGTGCCCAGGATGTAGGTCTGTGCTTGGTCTCAACGCCTGACATCTTTTCTGCTACAAGTTCATTGATTCTTAATCAGTTTCTGAGCTGCTGAGTGTTTACAGTGTTAATAGTGTTTATGTTGGTTGTGCTGCAGCTAAAACGCAGCTGGTGTGTTTGGTGGTATGACATTGGCAATAGGGTGTAAAACTACTCTCCTATAGACTGCTGTTGGGGGAAGGGGGTGAAAATATTTTCGAGTGCTGAATTGGATTGTTCCACGGGCCTGATCTGACCCGCGGGCCTTGCGTTTGACACATGGGGTCTAGTGTAAGACAGGGTTCCCAACCGTCCAACCTTCCAAAACGTGGACTGAGCTAAAGCCCATAGTGGCTTTAATTTGGCGGGGGGGTGTGTTGTTGTTGTTGAGGCATGTTTTAGCTTTTAATGGGAACGAGTTTGTATGAGTAGTCTCATTTCTCACCGTGTACAACGTTTCGCCACATTAGCATATCTAGGGGCGGGAAATCTGTGCTTTGTGTAGTTATGTTTTAGATGCTTGTTTTTAATCGTTCTTGTCTTCAATTTTTTTTTAAAATAAAAATCAGTATTGGGAGTTTCTTGGTTTTTGACTATAAGCTTTAAATACACTGCCAAAATAGATATAGATATATATATATATATATATATATATATAGAGAGAGAGAGAGAGAGAGAGAGAGAGAAATATAGAAATTTGGTTTTTTTTTAAAAAAATACCCATTTTGAATTTGATGCCAACATATATATATTTACCACTGCGACCCAGAAGGATAAGTGGTTTAGATGATGTGTGTATGTATGTATATATATTTATATACATATATTTTATTTAATTATAAGCTAGTGGATTTCAGCAGTTATGTTACCTCACTGCTGCATTGTTGCAGCCCATTGTCAAACAATCCAGTGCGCATCCCAGTGTTTGGGAACCTCTGATCTTAAAAACAAGCTAGAGATATTGACACATGTGTTCATTTAAGCACCTAAACTTATATTCGGTTGACTGATTGCATTTCCATACTGAATTTCTGTTTATGTGTGGACAGGGGTTTTGAGCTGTTCAGAGCCAGCATCATAAAGAACATGCGTTTCCATCAACAAGCAGAGAAGAAATCCATCCAGCAACTGAAAAGCTCGTGAGTTACTGTTCCTTTCCAGAAACAGAGATGTCCCTCACATTCTAGTCCTGCCTCGATATATTTGCAACACAAAAAGAAACCTTTGAGATGATTTGTCTAACTCCTCTGGTGCAGGACAGTAAAGTGCGTCAGTCTGAATGTTTGTCTGTCTCCGCAGCATGCAGCGAATCCGTGATAAGCAGCAGAAATATAAAGAAGGTCGGAAGGCGTCCGAGACAGAGGAGCACCCATCAGGTACAACGTCACTGTGACTCCCACCAAGAAATCAGGATTAGTAGCAGAAGAAGTAACACAATTGACTCTCCAAGCATATTAAGCTGCCAAATGACATTGGGTTAGCAGCAGTTTGAAATTGGCCTTAGTCCTCCTAGCCCAGGGGTCGGCAACGCAAATGTTAAGAAGAGCCAGTTTGTCCTTTCAACAAAAATTCTCAACATTTTATGTCCATTTTACCATCTTGGCTGTAAATATGTCTCGGTATGTGCTGATGCACTAGTCTAGCCTAAAATATAATATAAATGAAAGCGCACTTACTTTGCTCTGCTTTAAGCTTTTGCTCAGCTACAGCTGCTTTTCTCACATCTCCAGCAGGAAACATTTTTGCAAAAATAGAATAGTTTCTTGTAAAATGTCTCTCAACATTCATCTTTTTACTAGTCTGAAGTCGCTTCTCATTTGCAAGATTCATATTCAAAGTTTCCCATTTCGACCTTAAATGCCGCCAGATTGTAACTGCTGCACCATTTAAGAAGAATTCGAGTGAGAAGCTGGCGAATAAGAAACTGACTTTGTGACTTTTTAGTGTTTGACAGTTTCGTATTGCAGATTAAACAACCAGCTGGAGTGATTTTATTAATGCAAATAAATCCATTCGTCTCTAAATTATCGATATTCATCTTAAATCTCTCTTGCCGTTTTATTAGCTACTAGCTAGGTGACATTGTCTGCGTTGCTATGGTGACCAGCAGTCTGGGTGCCGATCTTCAGGGTTAAAGGGTGAATTAGCAGTTCTACATTAACTCCAGATTTAAGACCATTTATTGTTAAACTGTGTTGAACGATCAGCAGAGCTTTATTTTACTGTAAAGGAGGATTATTTTATTTTTACCTACAAACCTAATTCTGCTGTGGAGCCACAACAGGACAGTAAAAGTGCTGCATGTTGCCGACCCCTGTCCCAGCCCCTCCTAGCTTGATAGCAGTGTGTGACGGGGGAAACCTAGTGAGCTGGTGAAAATGGCAATAACTTAACATACATTAACTATTGTTTCTATAGTTGATTAATCCACCACCTATTATTTGAGTAATTGGCTAATGGAACTGTTATGCTTTGAATTCTGTTGTCACCAATATTTTACATTCCACATGCCCAGTCTACCCAATCTAATCTCTCGTCTTTGCCAAACTGGCACACACATTGCACATTACTAAGAAAATGTTTGGGGCTGTAGAGCTGTGTGATTGTGCCTTTTGTCTAGAATCCTGGGCTTCAGCACACTTAGTTTGTGGAAATCCTTCAAATTTATAGCAAACACACACATCACATGAATAAAATGAGAAGAGATCAGTACAAAAAAAGTAAAATAAAAGTGTTTGGCAAACTTTATGAGCAAATTTGTCCTTATAAATGCAGTAAAACAACGAAAGCCCTCGATGCGTCCTAAAGTGAATTACACTCGGTCACGATGAGTGTGTGAGTCAGCTTTTTTCCATAATCAACATCATTGACAGCTAATTGACTATCAGATTATCAGTGCAGTCCAACACACATACAGAAAGCAGAATAAAAAGATGCTACTTGCTTTGTGTGAACCCTCAATCCTGCTCTGCTGTTCCACAGAGTTGCAGGAGGAGAGGACAGAGAGGAAGGAAAAGAAGGAAGGGTCCTCTAGTCAGAAAGAGTGGTACCGGCCCTGGATAGACCACGCAACGGGTACACCAACAACACACTGTCTCCAGTATATTCCACACCCACAGGCTGAATGTGCAAAAGTCAGAGACCACCTTTCATTTATTTAGTTTCCAGAACAAAACAACCATTAAGTATTTATTTCTCAGATGATGTTTCTGAGGAGATCAGACATAAGATAATCCACTTGCACAAGGAAAGAGAAAGTCTGATCCACTCAGACCGGCGCAACACACACTAACACAACACCACCACGTCAGTGTTACTTCAGTGCTGAGAATGATCCACCACCCAAATAGTACCTGCTCTGTGACGGTCCATGAGGGTCCTGACCACTGAAGAACAGGGTAAAAGGGGGCTAACAAAGTATGCAGAGAAACGGATGGACTGTAACTGTAGAACTACAAAGTGCACCTATATAATAAGTGGAGCTAAAATGGACAATGAGTGTAGAAACAAGGAGGTGGTCATAAAGTAACGCCTGATCGGTGCAAGTGAAAACAAGAGTTTTGAAAACTGGAGTTTAAAAAAATGATTGAAAGCTACAGAGAAAAATGGGACTCCTAACAACCACCTGGAAAACCTGGTAGACACCAAAACTGTCCCCATCAGATAAACAGCACCTAAAGCTTTCATCTATGAGAGAGAGGAGAAAATCAAGCTCCACTCTTGTTAGTGCAGTCGTGCTAACTGGGTCTGCATTAGTTTTTAATTCATCCATACCTCTGATTTTAATTATACCTGCTGCCGCCTGATGTGTCGTTCTTTTTGTGTATGTGGATCTCTTGTAGTGTTGCATTCTGGAGATTATTACCTGTTTGAGTCTGACAGTGAAGAGGAGGAGGACGTCTCAGTTGAAGAGCAGAAACAACGTAAACAGACTGCATTTCAGGTGACACATGCGCACCAGCCCCAGTTAACTAGTACTAACCATTAAACAATCATCTTGGATAGCTAGTGACTCGGTACCTCATTTTTCCTCCTCTGCCTCATCCAGTTTTTCCAGATACACTCTTAGAATTAAAAATGTTACTGAATGGTTCTTGGCTTGGATTTACAGTTTAATTAATATATAACCTTTACATCAAGTGGAGGTTCTTTACATGTTGAAATGATTCTTCACACATTTACAGAAATAGTTCTGTACATCAGAATCAGAATCGGAATACTTTATTGATCCCAGAGGGAAATTGCAGTTGTTACAGTTGCAACCATTAATGTAAAAGAATAAACACTCTAATAATTTAAAACAAATAATTTAAAACAAGAGAGAAATCCAGAACAACTTACAATTTGATCAGTTTTACACAGGTAGGCAAAGGTAGTGTTAGGAGTCTTGCCCAAGGACTCTTATAGGTATAGTATAGGGTGCCTGCCTAAGCAGGGAATTGAACCCCAGTCTACAGCACAGAAGGCCTTACCCACTACACCATACCAACCACAACCTCTTTGAAGAACAATCATTTGAAAGGTTCTTCAGAGAAACAAATATGGCTCTTCCATGACTTTGCTTTCAAAATGTGTTTTATTTTTTTTTTCATTATTGTCAGTAAAATGTTGCAGATAAATATATGAAATTATTTATATAATTATACTACAACTGTACAACTGATTTCAGCATCATTAACAGAGGCACAGGTTGTTGTAAAATTGCTGAGAAACGTCAAAAAGTTTTAAAGAAGTTAAAATATTAAATAAGGCATCAAAGTAAATAAACAGTGTCAAAGTCAGCTGTATTGTCATTTATTTGCATGACAGATTGTTGTTTTGGGAGAGGAATGTAATGTAGTTTCTCCAGCTCACAGTGCTACATTTAACACAGAACAGCAGCAGATAAAGAGCAGAGAGACAAAAAGTACAATAAATACAAACGATACAAACATACAAGCACTGCACCATAACTACAGCTATACAAGCACTAAGCACAGGACGTAGAGACTAACCATTGAACAAAGAGAAACTAGACCAGCTGTTGGTTCACAGCAGCAATAATTGTCGTGTATGTATTATTATTAGTGCACTGATAATTAATAAAAGTCTTTAGTTGCCCATCCACAAAGATTAATAAAACTGCAGACAGTGTACAGATTAAAGTGACTGCATTTCAAGTGAGTGAGATTAATTTTTCACATTAAAGTGAATGGATGCAGAAGGTAAAGTGCAGCAGATGAAAGTCAGGAGTATTGATATACCTTCAAGTTTATAGGATTTCACACTGTTTAAGTTTTTCCACTCTGTATAAGTTAACATTTAAGAAAATAACATCAGTTATTAATATGATGATTCAAACTTTTGAATGCTAGAATATATGTTGAATTTGTTGGAGAAACAGTGTGTTTAGAGGTTAAAGGTTCAGGCCAGACGATGAAAGCCCCTGTGGTGCTGTTAGTGAGGCAGTATTTGTGTGTGTGTGTGTGTGTGTGTGTGTGTGTGTGTGTGTGTGTGTGTGTGACTCCACAGCTGGCGTACCAGGCGTGGGTGCGCAGTGCTAAACAGGCACTGAGAGAGCGGCAGCAGAGACAGAGAGAGCAAAGACTGGAGAGAGAAAGACAACAGGCCAGCTCACGAGCCTCAGGTCAGACTAGTCACACACATATATACATTTATATACACACATGAGGTATAGGGTTTTTGTACCTTGTGGTATATACAGTCATATAGGTATCCCATATGTGTATATATAAGTATGTACGTGTAATACTGACGTATTGTATATATTATACAGCCATATACAGAAGTTTGAACGCCCCCAGTCAAATGATATGTTTTTTGATTTTCTAAGTGAAAATAAACACATTCTCTACAGAGGACACACTTGGCACTTGGCAAAAATATGGCATTTTCTGAAAATTGTAGTCCACAATTTCTGTTTATTTGCTGAATTTAAAATATTGGGGGAAAAAAATAAAACTTACAATTAAACATGTGCCATAACTTTTTTGCGCAGGCCACATTTTAGGTTATAATTTTTTCAATAGGTTAAATAATTCATCAAATAAACAGTAATTATGCATGAAATTGTGCATATATATATATATATATACATATATATATATATATATATATATATATATATATATATGTATGTATATATATATATATATATATATATATATGTATGTATATGTATACACACACACACATTCACACACACATATATGTACCCTTATGTAATAATATGTTCCATATGTATTACATATATGTAAGTAATTCTATCAATAATAATAACTGTATGTAATATTTCATTTAATCAGGTGATGGTGAGGAGGCTGGTGCTGGGACGTCACAGGTGGAGGAGCAGGAGCTGGGAGAGGAAGCGGAGGAGTCAGGTAAATTACTCACCTGTAAAAACCCTAAAACCCAAGCTTCTTCAGTGCTGCATCATTCATCTGTCTATGCCCCTCCTATGTCTATGAGCTGCTGTTGCGAGGTTGGACAAGCTTTACAGACTGGATTTACAGTGAGCACACAACTCAGTTCCTGTCAAATTACCCACGTTTAGAGTGTGTTATTAAATTCAAATGATATTTATTTTGTTTGTGTGTGAAAGGTCACACTGGGGGGGGGGATTGAATGTGGGTCTTCTGTGTAATTTTGTGTAAGGTTTTTAGGGATGAACTTTTGACAGTCTTGATAGGCTTAAGTTCACTAGCTTCTGCAGTTGTAATACTACAAACTATTAAACCATGTGGTAAACAAAAATGTGCGTCCTCTGAATTATGAGGTCATTAATTAGTCGAAATATTAATATTGCTGCATATGTGAACACCGGACTGAAGTCTACTAATAAAATTCAATAATATTATACTTCACTGGCTACTCAAAATGTAGGCTGCTACTGGCAAAGTCACTTAACACCTATATATAAAGGTACCAAACTGTCACTGGGGCAGTGCCCCTCTTGTCACTGGGGTGGGACCCTAAAGGGTACATCTCAGTACCTTTAGTCAGGGAACATAACTGAACCATAATCCATTGAAATTATATTTTCTGAGTTGTACTGACTCCACACACCCCGTCTCGTCTCCAGGCTTTTATTTTATTGCTCTGTTTTAAAACATTTGGTTATGAAAAGGTACAAATATGGAAAAACCTTATTTAAGGTTCACAACTGGACTTTAAAACCACTGTTGTGCCTTTAAAGGTATATTTGTCATTGTTTGTACCTTGATGAATGAAAAAGGTACCTGCACAGAACCTTTATTTCTAACAGGGGGGTTAGCATGTATGTAATTTCAGGCCTGTTAGTAAAATTTTTAAGCACTTAGTACAACTTTTTTAGCACCAAGATAAAAACTACATAAAATGTTTCTAAAAAGTATAAATCTTAACAAGTGAAACAAGTTATTATTTAACTGTTGAAAAACAGAAGCATGTGAAAGGTTTGTGATTTAATGTAAACTTTGCAGATAATTCCTTTTCTCCTATGAGAGGGTTGCTATTAGCACTCAAGTAGTGTTTTTTCTGTATCTTTTAGTGCAAGAAAAGCCCCCAACAGCAGTTATGCATGTGTAGTTGAAGTCATACATTTTAAAATGTGAAGCAAAATAATCAATACCTAAAACAGGGTTTCTCAACCTTTTCCACCCCAAGGACCACCTGTTCATATATGCAAATCAGAGCACTTCCTTTTCCTGAGTGCTGATACTGGAAACCTGAGAATCAGAGCCTGAAAAAGATCAGACATAAAAACCAAAATTTGCAGTTATGTTAAAAAAACAAAACCTAACGTTAAAAATGATTGATGTTTGCAGTGATGTTTAAAAAAAAACAAAAAAGAAATGTAAGAGGTAGATGTGGACTGTGCTTTGAGGCGCAGTCCATCGTATTCTCACTGAAAATACTCCACTGGCTTTCCCACAAGAAAATTGTTTGGTCTTGATGTCTTTTTAGTTTTGAGGGTTTTTTGTGGTTAAACCTCACTCCACTCACTGGGCTTTTGGATTAGCGTCATCATAATTAACAATAATAATAAAGCTTACTTTCTGTCTGCCTCTCTGTTTCTGGTTTATCCATTTGAGTTTAACCACTCTGGTTGCTGATGCTCAGCCAAAATGACACTCATGAGCTCAAATCAAACACATCTCTTCTATTGTTTTATGGCTCGTCTGTCATTTTTAACAGCTGCAGCTCGAGCTGCAGGAACAATATGAGAGCAAATGAGGGTCTGTAAAGAGTCAAACACTAAAACAGGCAGATTATGCTGACAGGACAGCACTGATGTGCTGCTAGAAGGAAAGGAAAGAAAGTTCTATTGATGAATTCCCTTGTTTGATCATAGAACGTGTTCCCTGAACTGAAGCAGGGTTCATGTGGAAGCGGAACGAGGCCCGCGGTTCACTACACCTACCATAAGCCCAGGAACTTAACCTGCGCTGATGACTCTGCTGTGGGGAAACGTTTAAAATCATACCCACCAAGTTGTTATAGCTCACAAATAACTGAATATAAATAACTGACCACAACCTCAGTGAGCTCTTAGACCTGGCAGAATATTTGAATGAAGATGGTTCATCACACAAGTTTAACTGTGACCTTCTATATATTTGTACAGGATTCATTTCTCATAGCGTTTGCAAAAATATTGTCCCATTGTATTTTTATCTCTACTCTTCAATAACTTAGTACTTCAGATGACCCAACGACATTTGGAGAGAAATGCATGCATAGGACAAAACGAAACATACTGACTTTAGAATATTTCTTTTAATCACATGATGCAAATCGTCAGTGTTCAAAGAAAAACAAGTGTCTCCAAAATAGTAACTTTACAGGAGAACACAAAAACATTCTTTACTTTCAATGTAAGTTAATGGAAAGAGAATTTATTCTAATCAATTTTGGAGCATTTCTATTGGTCCAATAATCATGAAATTTTCACATAATGTAAGGCACATCTGCTGAGCTCAAATGATGCAGAAAAATAAAAATCGCAAAAAATGGAGATACATGTTTTTCATTGGACAGCGACGAAATGTTTATGATAACATATAGTAAATGGGACCGACATCTGGGCTGGACACACATACACCACACCAGAGACAGGTCAGTAGAGCTCTGAGACGTTATTACAAACTCAAAAATAGACAGTTTTGCAAGAGGGAAAGAGCTCAGAGCGTGGGGGATGAGTAGAGCCGGCTGGGATCTGCTTATGGGTCCGAGTCTGTCGTTGAACCTGGTTAGAGAGAGAGAAAAAGAGTGGTTAGTCGGCATCTTTTCTCTGGGAGAGCCTCTCCACGACTGCTGCCCACATGGCCCTTTTGGTCTCTCTCCCTTGGCGTTGCAGCTTCTCTCCTCATTGGCCGACAGCCGTGTATGATCAGTTAGCCCCACCCTTCCTCTGCATGTGCTGTGGTCCACAACAAAGGTGCTGATGTTTGTTTTGGTCTGTTTTTTCAGCACCTTGGCAAGCGCTTTGGAGCAGCGTTGTGGCTCAACTGTCAGTCTCTTCCAGTGGACCTTGCGTCCACCATCACAACATACATTCATAGCATTTGGCAGATGCTTTTATCCATATCGATGTAGAATTGAGTTATATTACAGAGGTAGGCGCATGCAGCATTAGGAGTCTTGCCCAAGGACTCTTACTGGTATTGCGAGGGAAGCTTGCTCGGAAAAGCGATCTTAGGTGTGGGACTCGTCCACACTACTAAATGGCCACACATCCTCAGAGCTCTGTGGAATTTTTGCCAACATTCCATAAAGCTTGTCCAACCTTGGAACAGGTTATGCATAAATAGATTAAATGCTGTTATTTGAGACTCTGTTGTTTTTCCAGGGACTGGCAGTGATACAGTGCAGCGGATTCTGGACATCCTGAAGTTCCTCTGGGTTCTGTGTCTGGCCATGGTGGACGGTTTCACCCTCTGGCTCAACATGTTCACCAAACAATATGTAGACACGTCCACTGTTCTGTGTGATGAGCGCTACATGCTCACTCACAACATCAGCCAGGTAAGACAGCACAAAGCTACACAAATACGCTCAAAACCAACTTAGCTGAGCTTCTCTGTTAATCTCGCTTAATCTCACTTGAAGGCCCAGTCCCATTCCTTATTTTTACCCCCCTGTTTTTGAGATTCACCTTACCTATTGGAACCAAGTTACAAGGGGTAGTGGTTGAAATCTTCCGCTATAAAATGGGACCCTCAAATAAAAAGAGCATTACTTCATTCACAGCTACCAGCACTGCTCTGTAGGCGACCCTGCCAGTCTGCAGTGACAGCAGAGGAGGGTAAAGTTCAGCTTCTCATTGCTGGGCTTTAGTTACATTTAGGTCATCATATGCCTTCAAAGAGGGGGCAATTATTTATTATCACCCACCCCTAATTCTTCAGTGATATGAAGCTGAAGTCAGATATTCACCAGATTCTTGTTTGAATTTTCCTGTTCTATCTTAAATGGAGCAGCAGTTACAGTCTTGCGCTGCAGGCATCAGAACTGCTAGATTATTTAAGGTGGAACAGGAAATTTAGCTATTAGCAACCCAGACATTAGCATGCTATTAGCGATTTTTATGCTTGTTATGAAGAAAAGGACCATAATACATTGAAATTACATTAAACTAAGATAAAACAGTGATTAATTAACTTTTTAACAGATAAAAATTCTCACGTTTGTGCCGGTTTTTCTTTTTATCTCATGTCACTCTGTTTGGAGTCTCTGAAAATCCTCCGTTTGGAGGGCCATGTAGCTCTAACACTTCGCCCCACCCCTCTATCTCAACAAATTATCGGGACACCCTACCCATCGGCCTGAACACAAAAACAGAGGGGTAAGGGCTAAGTGGTAGGGGTGAGGGGTGAAATAGGATTGGGTCTTAATTTTCTGCTCTAAACATATGCACCTTTTATTTTAATCACTTGTGCTGTATTGTAACTAAACTATCCGGTACGGCCCAAAGGAGGATGACTTCTGCTTTCTGTCTGCAGTTCTTCCTCATGCTCTTGTTCCTAGATGGATAAAAATACTGTGTGCTGTCAAACAACATCCCCAACATTTTTGACTACTCCATAATGTGCTGATATAACAGATGTTGGCCTTCACCTGTTTAATCCTGAAACTTTGTTTCTTTACATAGAACATGTCAAATAAAACATATTTAACATATATAAAATACTTTAGCAACAGGTTTTTTTGTCTTCACCAAGCTGTAATTTCCTGAATCAGTTTGCTGTTGAATTTCATGCAGATCTGTTTTTGTGTGGACCTTCACACTCGTGAGAAAACTCGTCAGTGCTGAAACTCGTCAGTGCTGAATTCTGTCAAAAACACGAGTGGGCGACACCAGCATTACACATTTATAACTATTTTAAGGTGATGAAAGTGTGAAAAATGAATAAAGCAAAGAGTAAAACTAAAGCAGGTGGAAATGAAGAGTAATACTGTTAAAAGCAGGAGGCAGGCTGAGAGAACATGAACGTGAAATTTGAACCCGACCCGATCCAGACACATATTTGAGAAGTGACGTCTAAACCCTGACAAATGGAGGGGTTTTTCAGGCTCTTCTCATTAGGGGTTTGCTCTGAGACAACATCTGTTGTTAAAAGTGCTACATAAATCAAATAATATCCATTAAATTGAACTAAATAGTCCGTCTGAGTTATGCTGTTACAGCATGAAGCTGTGTCTGTTTGTTCTGTAGATGCCCTCCAGGGAGCCCATGGATGACCAGCTGTCCCAGGGCAGTGAGAGCCCCACTCTGGAGACGTGTCTAGATGAGACCGATACAGACATTAATGTCAGTGGAGCTGTGAGGTGGGTCCAGTATTTCATGGTTATGTGCCAGATAGAGTTCAGGTTATTCTTTATTCATTCCAGTAATAAAAGACAAAACCTTTCTGACAAAATTTCTGACTTCACGATGATTCAGTTTGATTCCTTAGCAAAGGGTTCAGTGAATAATAAAATATCAAATTTAATTTTAGTTTGATTCAGTTCATTTATTATGGTATGATTCAGAATTGAACATGCTTTTTATGTAAATGTGACTTGAAGAATTATGTATGTAGTAGAGGAATAAAGGCAATAAAAACAACAGATTTTCCATCATAATACGTGGCACCAATAGCCAGAGATTTTTTTTAAGGCCCAAAAAATTCTGCACACATTATTGAATAATGTAGTAAATGATTAGAGCCCATGTCTCAAACACAAGGCCCGGCACACAATCCTGTCCGGCCCACAAAAGTGTTTTAATTTTCTGTTAATATTAATATTATTTCACATTGTGCTGCACTACAGTCCCCAGCATGCACTGCAACATAATGTGCTCCGACTCTCCTGTCTCAACAACAATCTATGACAGTGGTTACACCTCAATTCTACACAATTCTACACAATTTCACACCAGTCATATCACCAAAATGTGTTTCAGCTGCAGTTTATGCAGTTTAACCAATATAAACACTTAACTTGAGCTCAGCAGCTCAGAAATTGAGCACAAGCGTTAATGAACTTGCAGCAAAGAAAGGATGTCAGGTGTCCAGTTCAAGCAGATAGGTAGGTTTAAAAGACTGAGCACCTGGGGACATTTAAATTTTGAATATTTCAAGTGTCCACGTAATGGTTTCCATTTAGAAATGGTCATCATTTAAAAACACTTCTACACTTTGTTGTGAACTGTCTTTGTGTTGGTAATGAAGCTGGATCGGCTCGTGTTTTGTACATTTCTGGCTGTAGTTCTGCTGGGCTGGAGGAAATCAGCGAGTTGGATGGTGCGCAGGGCTGCAGCAGCACCAGTCTAAGCTCCCAGCCGACTCTGCAGCTGGAGGCGGACTCACGTGCCTACCGACGCCAGCGCCGCTCCAGGACAGCCAGCGAGCTGCTCTCAGACGGGTACGACCTGCAGCCTGCACACACCTGCATACTGGTATTCTGCAGGCAGACAGTCTGAAGTCTGACCTGAACCTCTGCACAAAGATTGATTTGAAGGATTTTACTGTCCTCTCAACTGTTTAAAGACTACAGGGACATGATTTAGGAATAAAACAGTAATTCTCTGCTTTTATGACGCATGTATTCCATTCAGAAATGGATCTCACTCAAGAACATTTGGTTCTACATTTTGTTTTGAGTGATTTTTCATCGGCAGTAAATAAAACACCAGCACTCACAAGAGGGGAAAGAAGAAAAATGTCTGAGCTTTCCACTTTTTTGGCCCAATTATCAGTAAATTTCAAGATGTTTTTCAGTGTCATGGTTATAGAATTGAAGGAGCAGACACTTGGCAATACATGTTTTAGAAAAAAGAAGGAAAGATTAACAAACTCAAATCTGTTAATGAAAGAAAAAGGACATTTGCATGACATCATGAATGTCTTAAAGCGAAAGTTCAGCCAAAAATCAGATTTGCAGTTTTCCCATTTCCACAAAGGTAGTGGATCGGCCAAGACGTGTTTAGTATCAAAACGCAGGCTTCAGTATGGCTGCTACTGGAGTTTCTACCTACAGTGCTGGACAAAAAGTTTTAAAAACCTGAGAAAGTTAACAATTTAAAAAGCTATTTATTGGGCCAGTTAGCATGTTTAGAACAAATGCAAATTATAATAAAAGGTCAATGTCATGCCACACCAGATTTTTCTCACTTTTTTGTAGTTAGAGTTTAATGTAGTATGTAAAAGCTGTTTAGATTTCAACAAACCTACAGAAAACTACACTCCAAAAACAGCCTGTTTAATATTTGTTCTGCAATGTCATGAAAAACTAAATAATTCATGTATATCCTCCTCTTTAGCCTACAGCAGTTTAGCCCCGCCCATTCACGCTGAAGTTATAAGGAGGGTTTAAACTCTGAGTGCTTCTTGAATAAGGTGCAATACAGGACAGCCAATCAGAACGGAGCTCATTTACATATATCTGTCTTAGACGCAGAAACGAAAACAGCCTGTTTAATTCTAAGGGATAAAGAGAGGTTGGAAAACGGTCATGTAAAAATGAATTATTACTGGTTTTAGTTTATAAATCAATACAAACATATTAAGGGGACCTCAGGGGGGACAGTGAAATGCAAGAAAAATGTAGGATGTGCTCTTTATTAGAACCATTTCCAAACCTCTCCTCAAGTGAGCTCAGTATTGTTTTTAGTTATCGTCCAACACTTTTGCTGATCACTTTATTAAGCTAAATCAGGTCAGCTGCTGATGGATTTGAATAAATCCATGTGATGCGAAAAGGATGGCTGGGGACGTTGAGGAGAAATCTGGAACCAAGCCTGTGTTCTTCTGTTTAGGTCAAAAGATCAACTGCTTTTTGAACACAAGCAAAAACACAGTTATTACCCAGATAAATGGTTTTTAACAAGTGCTTAGGTGCCTAAGACTTTTACACAGTACTGTATCACATACTTTATTCCATATTTACAGACATCGGTGTGTCATACATTGTCAGAAAGCACATAAGCAAGTCTACTAAAGATTACTGAACAACTGGACACAGCTTGGAGCAAATGTGCAATGATTTATTGGTGGGATATAAGCTTCCATTTAGTGTTATAGTGAAGACCACTAAAGGTGAGAACAAATCAAGACTGAGACCTCTTATTGACCAGGGTATATTTTGGTTTGTCCATCTGAATTTACATGACCAAATTGTAAGGCAAATTATTCAGTAACTGCATGAAATGAATGTAAATTTTTATTTGATTTGTTTATTTTTGTTTTTGTTAAGGTTACTCTCAAATTAACAGAACATGTGTTTTATGATCACACATATTCCTATATGCTTACAATTCACTGCTGAAAGCCAAAAATCTTAGACGCTCTTTGTATTATTTTATAAAAATAATTTTTACAGAGCAGATCACTGAAGAGACGCCATCTGTTTATAGTTTATAGCCCAGATTTGTGGAAAAATGGGTCGAATTTCGGTAGAAAAAAAACAATGAGTTCAGCTTCTTTTATTATAAGGGTTTAAAATTACATCACCCATCTATTTGACTGGAAAGAAGACAGTTACTCTCATACGACCCCCACCTTTTGAATGTAGCTTATGAAATATGAAAGTTATGAAGAATATGACGAAGTGTGTTTTGGAACCACCGGTGGTCTCAAGGAGTTGAAAAGGTTAAGATTTTTACAGAATTTTAAAAAAAAAGAAGAAAGGGAAAAAAATGAAATTTGTTCGTAGTTCATTGTTCTTTCAGTATACATGACATATATTAATAAGTAATATTATATAAAAAATATAACACTCAATAATACATACCTTAAAAATATTATTAATTATTATTATTGTGTTGTACTGTTAGTCTGACTTTGCTTTGTACCTTTTGGAAGCAGATGACTGTGAGGTTCTTCTCTGTCTCTTCAAGTGAACTGAACATAAACCAAACAACATATTCCACATTTCTTATTAAAAAAAATAACAAAATAAAAAAAAACCATAGTAATAAAAACATTCCTGTCTGCTCTCAGGGGACGTTTGAATTTTGGATTCAGTGAACGTCAACAAACAAAATCTAATTAAGCCACCAGGAAAAAACCAAAAGGTCCTCAACAAGCAGGTTGTATTTAAACATATAGAGAAAGGACTGTTTTATTATGTTTGAAGGTTTTGATCAAATTCAGTAATGATCGTTATTGATTTCTCAGCTGGTCTCGAGAATCCGAGTTTCCGAAATCGAGACAAGACCAAGTCCAAATGATCTTGAGACTGACACAGTTCTTTTAGAACCACTAGTTATTTTATGGTACAAGACCAGTCTTGAGTACCACAACACTTCTTCCATTGCTTGTGAGCAGCATTAGCATTTATTTATTTATTTATTTATTTATTTAACTTCAGAGCTATCACCTTAACGTTCTCCTGTGTTCTGTTCCAGGCCTTACTGCATACAGGAGCTGGTACAGAGTCGAGAGTTCTACAGCACTCAGAATCGGCTGCTTAAGCTCCTCTTCGCTCTCTACAACGTCCTGGCCGCCCACTCGGAGCTGGTGTGTTATTTCATCATTGTGCTGAATAACGTGGTGACCGCCTCGGTCATCTCTCTGGTCCTACCCATCCTGACCTTCCTCTGGGCCATGCTGGCTGTGCCTCGGCCCTCGAAGAGCTTCTGGATGACCGCCATCGTTTACACAGAGGTGGGAGCAGATGGAGGCAGGATTGAGCTCTATTGTGCTGTGCTGTAAACAGATGTGTAGATATGGGAACTGTTTATCAGCAATTTCTGCAAAGTCAACCCACACATTTGGCTCTGGGACGTTGTTGATGCGTAGCTTGTATGTATATTTAGGTTTAAAACAAGCAACATTTATGATTTTGTTTTAATAGACATCTGTGTTTTAACAAGATCTGGAGTCCAACTTGGCTTTTTGTCTTCGTTGTAAAGGATTATATTGCTTTATCACTTTTGGCGATCTGGCGGCTGCTGCCTTTTAGCCAGTCTGAGGTCTGTGCTTCATTTGTAAGCATGGCTATGTGTCAAATCATCCATTCATTCTGTATATAGTAAATGATGAGCTCAAGAGTGGTGTTCTCTGGGCAGAATAGATCCATACTAGCACTGGGATACTCATAAAACCATAATTGATGCTTATTTTCCTGTAATCAGAACTTCCCAATAAAGATGACACTGTCACCAGTTTTAAAGTCAACATGTATCATATCAAAACATTGGACTGCTGGTCCACAGTGACATAATCAAAAAACAGAATATGTTTTACAGGCAGGGCAAAAGTCCTTACATTTTGATGGAACATTACAGGAAAATAACAATTTTGTCTTTTTTACATGATCTTACGTGACTGATGATAAATCATGCCTAATATGACCAAGGACATGAACGGATAAAGTAAAAAAAATGACCATTTGAATGTTTTCAGGTCTTTTTAACAAGATACTACCGATAATAATGATAAAGTTTCATAATCTCTCTGCAAATCACACACCAAGACAACATGTTCACATAGTTGTTCAGATAGAGGTTCAGAAAAAATTGGGATGAAGATGGTCAGAAGCGGCACTTTCGGGAAGAGAACAATGTTTTAGTAATTTTAAATTTGCGATTTTTATTAGTGCTCATTTTTAAAGCTGGTAATATGAACATGTGTGTTCCTGCTGAGGTCTATGGCTGTTTCTTCTCTAAACAACAAACACTAATGTGACTTGCGTGCTCATCACACCCCCAGCTGGAGAAACCTCAGCCTGCTAAACGGGGGTTCCAAAGCCCTGTGCAGAGGTTTTACATGTTAAAAACAAGCTGTTTTCCATTGTTATAGTGGAATTCAGCTTAAGATGCCTTTGGGAAATCATGAGGATCTGTATTTCTATATTTATACAACTTTTAATATTATTTAACAAGCTTTTTTAAGTTAAATTAGTTCTCTGATTCTGGAATTCTTGCATTTATTGCCTTCAAAGTGGCATCAGCATTATTACGTTAAATCAAAACCATAAATAAAACACCAAATTATATGTAGAAGAACCCTTTCGTACTGTTTTGGTTTCCGGCTGGGTGTATCTTGAGCTTCAGCTTTGGTTCAGTCAACAATGTTTATTCGATGCTTTTTAAATATTTTTTAGCATGTTTCAACAATACCACGATTCATTTTGTTCACTATCTTCATACCATCCCACACTTACTTCCCACATCACTTCTTTCACATGCACAGCTGAGACCTGTAGCAGAGCCACTGCAGCTTTTGGCCTTTGCTTTAGATTGGCTATTTGCATAGCACACTGTCCAGCTCAACATGTGAATCTATGGGGCTGAAAATGACTTTTTCTCAAAAGCGATTATTTTGCAAAGACCTAATGTGAGTCTGGACTTCTCCTCTCTTTTAAGGTCATGGTTGTGGTGAAGTACTTGTTCCAGTTTGGCTTCTACCCTTGGAACAGTGTACGCGTGACCAATATGAACAAGAACGATCCCTTTTTCATTCCACGGATCCTCGGCCTGGAGAAAACTGATAACTACATTCGCTACGACCTGCTGCAGCTGCTGGCTCTGTTCTTCCACCGCTCACTGCTCCAGGTATAGCACGTGCCAGTCATGAGGCCTGGCCGCTGCCAAGCATGGGAAATGAAGTTTTTATCTGATCTTAGGAATTACAAGTTATGGATTTTTGAGAGTCTTTCAAGTCACGTGGCCTAAACTCACACAGGTTTAGGTAATAACTCAAGTAGAAGTAAAAGTAACCTAAAAATAATCTGAAAATGTGTTAGATCAACTCAAAACTGGATTTGCTGAGTTCCTTATAGAACTTTTTGCCTAAAATTAAATGCTAAAGCTCAAAAATGACATGTAAGAGCAACTGTAAAGCATTCCAGGACTCAACCAACACAACAGAATGAAATTAAACCTTAAAATAGGTTTGGAAGCTCTGTGTTAATGACTAAAATGAAGCAGAGGTAAAAGTAAGTTTTTCCTCAGAAATACTGTTTGTAAGTACAAATCCATCATTTTTATTTACATACATGTTGCTGAGTGAGTTGTTATTTAAGCAATAGAACACAAGAGGGAGTGTGTTATTGTTAGCCTTCGGCTCGTGCCTGAGACCAAATCACAGCCGTGATGTTATTCACAATAACACACTCCTCGAGTGTTCTATTGCTTTTATACAACAGTTAAATAAATAAAGTAATAAATTAATAAACTGGGCTGTGAACGCGGCGATTAATATGTTTTAATGTTCGCAGTTCCTTCACCAAATTATAGTTCCTTAACAAGCAGCTTGTTGCTACGTCAGAGTAACGAACTTCGCTCAGTCGCTGCACAGCCGACATTCACCAAACGTGTAGTCTGATCTTCAGAGTCTGATCAAATCAGACTGAGCCATAAAACTGCCACAATATCAAGTTCAGCTCAGTTTTGTCATTTTTTGCCAGATCAGTATTAATGTTGTTTTGTTCCAGCCAGTCTGTAAAGCATCTTACAGCCCATTTAGTTTGGCGAATGGTGTTGGGTTCATTTCTGGCTGATTCCAGGTTGTTTAGCTGTTCTTCTGTCTCAGCTGCCGACTGAAAAGCTGCTCAGTGGTGATGACAGTTTGGGAATTTAGTGTCGTCTCATCTTCAGAGTCTGACCAAATCGGCTGTCGGTCCAATGTGATCTTAAAAGTATCCATTTTCTGTTTGTGGCAAAGTAAGAAGTAAAAACGTTCAAATGGCTGAGCGTCTCCTGTAGCTGTCAAAGTCGTTGCTTAGCAACGGCGTCTCAGCAGAGTGATGCAGTGTTTGTGAAAAAAACATGCTGTTATGGTGAAACAGCACGGTTAGAATCAGCTTTAAACCAAATATCAGCCGCCTTTACGTTGTGTGAACATGTCGTGATAAATCAACCACTATAAATGTTTTTAAATTACTTGGAGTAAAATATTGTTACATTTAAAATGTTTATATACCTTCTTCTATAAATTCATCATATTGGAGATATGGCTAAGCTTGGTTCTGGATGTGGTTTTAATAGTTTGCTTCTGTTCCCCTCAGCGCTATGGGCTGTGGGATCAGGAGGGCCCTCTGGAGGAGAAGGCCAGTCCATCCTCAGAGCAGGAGAAGGCGAAGAAGGAGGGAGAGGAGATGGACGCTAGTGTCTTTGAGCTGGATGACGAGACTCCAGGGCCTGACCAGGAGGCTCAGACACACACAGATACGCAGACAGAAACACAGACTGACCCTGAGCAGAACCAGAGTGCAGAGATAACCCCCGAACCGCCCAGTCCACACAAGGAAACAGGGCAAGAGGAAGGGCCTGCTGCGGTTCCGCAAGAAGAAACCATCAAACAAAGGTTAGTGTACTAACCCTGGTGTGGACCCTCTGCAAGACTAAGTTACCATCCCGTAGTGTTGATGCTCTAAGACCCCTCTAACCTCCTAATCCAGCTCGAGTCACAAAACATCAGGTCAAGTTGAGATTGTCTTCCCATGACCCTTTTATCAGTGTATTACAGTGAATTTAATCTAAGTGATCAATTTTCTTCTGATTGCACAGCTAATATTGCAACAGACGGGGCTTTTATGTGTATTAAGTGTTCAATAGGCCAGAAAATAGTGACCAAGATTTCTTGTTTCGTATATTTAACCTATTAGAAACCAGAGGGGAGTCCATGAGGAGAAAGCAAAGGAATAAAGCATTGTCACTCCAGACAAAGCAACAGCAAGACTACATACACCTCAATGAGAACCAGTAACACCCATCACAGTAAAGCATGTGTCCACTTACGACCGGCATAGCTTTTACCCCATTGAAGAGGACATTTACACAACAAGACCAGAAAAATAAAAGTCTAAACTGTCAATAATCCGAAACTAAACAGACGGCGAGCGTGAAGAATGTTTGTAGACCTTTATCTTACCTTTGATGACTTTTTGTGTGGGATGAAACATTTGCATTGTCATTTTAAGGAGCCTACTTAGTTATTTTAGTGAAAGAGCATCATTAAGTACCAGTTCGCGAAATACTGACGACAGTGATGCAGCAACCTTTTAACATAAGCTGACATTGTTCTCTTTATTCTTGGCTTTGAAATGGGTAGAATAAACACCCTCTACTCTGTGAGGGTCAGCTAAAGCTTGATGAAGGCGATGCCAAATAGCAATGGATATTAAAGGGGACTTCGACCAGTTTTTCAGAATTTAAGAATAATTCACTCATTAAGATGTAAACAAAGTTATTGAGAGTGGTTTGATGTGAAATACTCACTCACTGAGTTAGAACTGTTCACAGTGGTTATGATAACCAGACATCTAAAAGGTTTAACACCTTTAAAAAAACTGTTACAAAAAGCCATTACCATTAAAATGCTATTTTTTGGTTGATTTATCACTATTTTATCATCATCAACAGTACATTTAATGGTGACATATTATTTGGATGGCCCCCTATAGATGGTCTCCGGTTCCTCAAGTCATTCACAAACTTTCTGATGATATTCAGTTGATTATCAACAACGTTAGGGTTAGGGTTAGGAGTAGGGATACATTTAATAAAATCTTTCACACTGAACTTGAAGTTCATCTGCATTTAATGGATAATTAGTGAAATGTTACTTATATTATGTTGTGTGTAAGATTTACTCAGTATTTACAAAGCATCTACAGGGGACCATCCAAAAAGTGTTAACCAGAAAAAAAGACCCAGAAAACAGTTTCTCTAGGAAACAAATCAGAAAACAAATCAAATTTCATTCTCTTTAAAAATGCAGCATGGAAAAAATGCTGCTGTCCGTTTGATTGGATAGGCCTGTGATCAGTCTAGGCACATTTATAGCTGCGTGCCTGGTAAGCAAGTATGCTATTTAGTGTTACTGCGAGTATAAACACATGATTTTTCCTGATTCAGTAGGATTTTTCTCATTTAAACTAAAAGCCCTTTGGCCCACAGTGCTCATGCAAGTCGCCCTGATGGTAGATCTGGCCGTGACCCTCTGATAACACACAGTTTGCACGTCTTTCATCTATTCTAGATACCACAGCGAAAGAGACTAAGAAGAAGAAGAAGGCCAAAGCGAAGCGTGGCGAGGAAGCCAGTAAAAAGCTGAAGGCCTTTGGAGAAAAACTCAAGGGCTTTTTCATCTCTGTGTAAGTGAAACATCTCCTGGGTTTGCTCAGTGTCTGCATCACTTGACCCAGTTAGAATGCTGCTGCTACAGCACAGCTCTGATACATGATGTGAAATGATGGTATGTGATACATTCTTGAATACAGTATGCTCTCTCTCTCTCTCTCTCTCTCTCTCTCTGTCTGTCTCTCTCTCTATGTCTCTCTCTCTAACTGTAACTCTCTTCCTTTGTCTCAGAGTGAGGAACGTCTATAGGCCGCCCTACAGATTCTTCCAGAATATCCTGCATGCAGAGTATCGCGCTGCCACTGACGTGTACGCTCTGATGTTCCTCACTGATGTGGTGGATTTCATCATCATCGTGTTTGGCTTCTGGGCTTTTGGGGTGAGCACCATCAGCCTCCTTTTTTTTTTTAAATAGATTTGCAGTGTTTATCCACTGACTACAGCAGCAGCAGTCAGACTGTGATGGTCTGCTGCAGAAGGTGTGAGGATTGAATTAACCCCTTAAACCTCCATCGGCCGGTCCAGAGTTCAGTTCCTTCCTGATGATACGTAGCAGTTACTGGATAATAAGCCTTAAAGTGCCCATGTCTTATTTTCCTCTTGGTTTTTATTTATTTCTAGGAGGCCTGTTTATAACATTTGTCTTGTTTTACATACCAGAAATGGTCGTAATTCATTTTCACAAGACCACTTTCCAACCTCTCTTTATCCCTTAGAAATAAACAGGCTGTTTTTGTTACTGTGTGTTCAAGATTGATATATATAAATCAGCTCTGCTGTCCCGTAATGTGCCTCATTGAAAAAGCATTCCAGGCTGAAACCCCTTATAACTTTGGTGTAAATAGGCAGAGCTAAACTGCTGTAGGCTGAGTAGGTGAATATATGTATGTGGGTTTTGTGACAACCAAAAACAGTATGTTTTGAGACTTTAACGTTGTTTACATTCTGCATCAAATACTTTTATTAAAAAAAAAATGTAGTTTTTATTATAAGAGCCCTTTAAGATTAATAACTGACGAATAACTCTGCAGTTTAGGGGATTAAACAAAAACTTTGTGGTATCAACATTTTGAGAAAGAAACTTTTACGTTCGCAACAACTTTTCTGAAAGATATGTGAGGCTTCACCCATATATTGCATAACGTCTAAATGTTCAGAGCAGAGATGCACCGATTTAAGAATCCTTGGTCAAAACCAAAATTTTGGACACACTGGGTCGAAAACAGGTACCAAAAAAGGACAAAGCTGACAATAAATTAAAACAGTTTACATAAAATAAGCTTACTAAGCTGATTATAGTATGTAGGCTACAGTATGTGCCGCGGAATGTGCCTCGACAACGGAGAACGTCTGTCCATTCAAGACAATGAATTCCGTTATTTTTTAGTGGCTGTCGTTCGTGTTCTTTTCAAAAACTGAGGCTATGGACAGCATCAGTGTGCTCACAGGGTATTTCCTATCTGCTTCTGTTTTGCTATATTCTGTGTATCAAGCAGAAATTATATCAGCTCTTTATTGTTTAAACCGGCCTTTTAGGTTTTTTTTTTCCCCCTTACCAAATTAATATTTTGTCAGTTCTAGCAAGTGCCACATTTATTGCTTATTGCACTGCGTTTGTGTCCAGATTGAGCATTTTTCTTACTTTTCTTACTTATTTTCAGTCTAAAACTGGTGTTACTTGAAGCCATACCAGAGCCAATTTAAGGAGTGAGCCTGGCCACTTCCTCTTTCTCCAGTTATACCACAAACATGTCGTTTGTGTGTTGTTTTTTTTTTTGTGTGCTCGAAAAAGAACTTCCTTTCTGCTTCTGTTTTGCTATATTCTGCATATCAAGCAGGATGTTGTACTGTGGTGGTGTTAAATCTGTACTGCAAAAGTCTTTGACCTTTGATTCTGGGCATGATTTGTGATTAGAAATCTGTGTAAAAAGTCCCTCGAACTAACGGGGAAATAGTTCCACATGGTCAGCTTTTTACTGTTGATCTGCTGCTCAGACACACCTGTGCTATCAAAGGGAACAGACAGCGTTGTAAACGTTGTTTCTCATTTTCATTTCAGTGACAATCATTTATGAAGTGTTAGGTTTCGACACTGCGACACTATTTAATCTTTGGTTTTGTTCGGCCAAAGTTCTCTTTCGGCAGAAAAACGAGTCATTTTTGACCATTTTTCGGCTGAAGATTTTTAGTATCTGGTATTTTGGTGCGTCTTTAGTGAGATAAACAGATGCACTCTAAAGTGAATGAAACCTCTCTGCTCCAGAAACACTCAGCGGCGACCGACATCGCCTCCACTCTGTCGGAGGATCAGGTGCCCGAGGCTTTCCTGGTCATGCTCCTCATCCAGTTCAGCACCATGGTCATCGACCGAGCCCTCTACCTGCGCAAAGCCATGCTCGGAAAACTCATCTTTCAGGTCATTCTGGTATTCGGCATCCACCTGTGGATGTTCTTCATCCTGCCTGGAGTCACAGAGAGGTGAGAAGTTTACTCTTATTGTGCTATGAATCATTTAATATGCATTCTTGTGTGCTATAGTAACTACATTAGTTCTGTTGGTTGGAATAACAGTCTGGAAGAGCAGGGTTACTATATTATTTCTAAGGATTAGAATAGCATCAAGTCGACTACTGTTGCCTTGCTTTGCCGGACACCGTGCTGTCTACGATCAGAGAGCTTTTAGTTCGTGATTAATTTGTGTAATTAGACCAGACTGAATATGCTCATCATTCTCTCCAGTGTTTCTTCAGCACTTATTTAATTTTAATGTCTGTAGATGAAGCTTCAGAGGAAACTCTCTGCAACAGAGCTGGAAAAAAGGCTAATTTACTCTTTGAGCCAAAGCCACTTTAGTTTGAAAGCTAACAGTTTTCCCCCCTTTATCCTTCCAGGATGTTCAATCAGAACTTTGTGGCTCAGCTCTGGTACTTCGTCAAATGCATCTACTTCACTCTGTCGGCCTATCAGATCCGCTGTGGCTACCCCACTCGCATCCTCGGAAACTTCCTTACTAAGAAGTACAACCATCTCAACCTCTTCCTCTTCCAAGGGTGAGACTTTTTTCCTTCTTTTTTATTTAACAAAAACATTTTTTTATCCATATTCAACATCAACCATTACTAATTAGTGGCACAGTTACTTTGTATGAACCTTATACACCGATCAGGCATAACATTATGACCTCCTTGTTTCTACGCTCATTGTCCATTGTATCAGCTCCACTTACTATATAGGTGCACTTTGTAGTTCTGCAGTTACAGACTGTAGTCCATCTGTTTCTCTGCATACTTTGTTAGCCCCCTTTTACCCTGTTCTTCAGTGGTCAGGACCCCCATGGACCCTCACAGAGCAGGTACCATTTGGGTGGTGGATCATTCTCAGCACTGCAGTAACACTGACGTGGGAGTGGTGTGTTAGTGTGTGTTGCGCTGGTCTGAGTGGATCAGACACAGCAGTGCTGCTGGAGTTTTTAAACACCTCAGTGTCGCTGCTGGACTGAGAATAGTCCACCAACCAAAAATATCCAGCCAACAGCGTCCTGTGGGCAGCGTCCTGTGACCACTGATGAAGGACTAGACGATGACCAACACAAACTGTGCAGCAGCAGATGAGCTATCGTCTCTGACTTTACATCTACAAGTTAGGAGTGTCTAATAGAGTGGACAGCGAGTGGACACTGTTTGAAAACTCCAGCAGCACTGCTGTGTCTGATCCACTCAGACCAGCACAACACACACCAACACACCACCACGTCGTCAGGGTTACTGCAGTGCTGAGAATGATCCACCACCCAAATAGTACCTGCTCTGTGAGGGTCCACAAAGTATGCAGAGAAACAGATGGACTACAGTCTGTAACTGTAGAACTACAAAGTGCTCCTATATAGTAAGTGGAGCTGATAAAATGGACAATGAGCGTAGAAACAAGGAGGTGGTCATAATGTTATGCCTGATCGGTGCATGTCCTCATATAATTGAAATGGACTGACTGGCCATTAGTTTTCTATGTATCAAGTCATTAACAGTGATGATCCAGCTGCTTAATGTCAGTATATTTCCAGCTTTGAACAATTACCTTTTCCCTCAATGCAACAGATAAAAGCATTGAAACGGAATATGTAGGTAGTACTGAATCTTGACAAATTAGAGATGCTGTTCACAAATCACTTTATGCAAGTTTGAGTTCAGTCTGGAGTCTCTGATGTGCAAGTCGGAGTGAAGCTTGGGGATCAGCCCTGAGTGAGTACATGCAGTTTAGTGGCTGTCAGGCAAAGAAATAATAGAGCTTTTGTGGGGGCGAAAATGAATGGGGGTCTATGGGACAAACAAGGGATGGAAAAAAAAACACCAACAGATGAGTGCAGGTCTGAAAAACATTGAATTCATGCTCAGGAGCCTGTCCTCAGGTAGTATATGCAAAATGGTGTCTTTTGGTCAAGCAGAAGTACAGTAGATAGGCATGCCACTTTTGCACCTCATTCATTCCTATGGGGGAAAAAAATTCATAATTTAATGAAGATTGTATGAAAACCGTCCCTCGGATCAAAAAGTTGTATACAAGCGCACCATTCCCGATCAGACCAAACATTCCAGAGTTGTAACGGTGTCGATGTCTCAGAAGAAAGACAAAAATCCAGCAGAAAATGAAGAACAATATGAATTGAATAACAATAGTATTGAGTCACAAGTACAATCACTAATAAAAAGTCAGTCTTGCTCTCTTTAATTTACTCAGTGAACCTCAATCTGAAAAACTAAGAAATAAATTATATCAGCTCATTATTATTTAAAAGCTGTAACCTTTTAGCCTTGGGGCGAGTCCGCACACCATCCAAAGTACAGTCTAACCAGCCTTTTGGGGTTTTTTTCCTCTCTTATAAAATTCATATTTTGCCAGTTCTAGTTAATGCCACGTTTGTTGCTTATCACACTGCGTTTCTGTCCATCAGACTGAACGTTTTTCTTATCAAACTTGAAGCCATAACAGAACCAGTTTAAGGAGAGAGCCTGGCCACTTCCTGTTTCTCCAGTTATACCATAAACATGACTGCAGGACAGTATAAGGCTTTGTGAGCGAAATAATGAAATGTTTCTAACTATTTATGTGGGAATTTACTTCAGTCTTTGAAAGCAAACGAGAAAAATCTAAGACGACTTACGAGTGTTTTTCCATTTTCCTACAGCAAAAAAAGATTTTGGGCAGTAGGACGCTAGCATTGCACCTACTGACTGCTGATTGGTTGGTGAGCAGATCAGCTCATTCGCTCATTGAGTAATAATTTTTGCGCTCACTGAAGTCATGAATGTACAAGACACTGTTAGAAAGCGAGTTCAAAAGTCCTCAAAAACATAACAGCAGTGTTGAAATATTTTTTGCTGTTCTGTGTGCAGAAAATTTGTAAACTTCGATTTTGCACAAAAGCTCCATAGGAAACTATTTATTATGGACTCTCTCAGCAGCGCTCTCTAGTGTTTGACGAACCCTGAAGACATTAGCAGTTCTCCTCACTGTACATTCTCTGGCCAAACTGAAAAGACTGCATATGACTTGCAAATTTGACAAGTCTTATGCAGTCATTGGTTCAAAAACAAAAGGTTTATTTTACAGAGTCATGGACTGAAGTCTCCATCTCTGATTCATACTAATGGATCCATATTGAAGCCTTAATATGATCATGAGGGAGCTTTTGCCATATTTCGTCATCTGTCAAACAGCTTTGCCCAGATGTCACCCTGGAGGTAAACCGATACAGTAAAAAACGTGAAATCATAATTCCGCTGACTCTGTGTTTGCTCTCAGGTTCCGCTTGGTACCGTTTTTGGTGGAGCTTCGGGCTGTGATGGACTGGGTCTGGACTGACACCACGCTGTCTCTTTCCAACTGGATGTGTGTGGAGGACATTTATGCCAACATATTTATAATAAAGTGCAGCCGAGAGACAGAAAAGGTACTGTTCGAAATAAAGGTTCTGTTCAGGTTCATTTTTCATTCATCAAGGTACAAACAATGTAAGTGTTCCCTCAAAGGTACTACAGTGGTTTTAAGGTCCAACTGTGCACCTTAAATAAGTTTTTCCAGGTGAAAAGTACAGATTTGTTCCTTTTCATAACCGAATGTTTTAAAACAGATCAATAAAATAAAAGCCTGGAGACGAGACGGGGTGTGTGGAGTCAGCACAGCTTAGAAGATATAATTTCAGTGGATTATGGTTCAGTTATATTCCCTGACTAAAGGTACTGAGATGGTACTTGAGGGTACCACCCCAGTGAAAAGAGGGGAACTGCCCCAGTCACAGTCTCATACCTCTTTTTTGAGAGTGTAAGTGGACACACAAAGCATTTGTCAGTTGTTTATTACAGCTCACAGCTAGTGAACTGAATTCACCGCCGAACTCTGTTAAGCATTGTTTCTTACAGAATTCAGTTCATCAGCCATGTTTGTCCTCACAGCTTCTCATTATTTTTAGCTTCACGCTCTTGTGAGTCAGTCAAGCCGTGCTTATTTCAGAGTTATAGGAGAAAATTAACGAGCTGAGAGAAATGGGGCTGTTCTCCAAATCCAACTGTTTATTCCTTTTCTTCTGTCGCTACTGCTGCACTGCTCATTTGAATGCTTTCCCTACTGTAACACACCTGACTCAACTGGCCAATTAACCAGCAGTTTATGAGTCTAAAATAGGAGTTATGGAGCAGTGAAAACTCTCAAATTTGCCAAGCAATTGTACAAAGACCTCCAGGAAACAATTTTGGATAATTCTAACTTTCTCATTTTTCTGCTGTTTTAAACTCTGTATCCAGAAATATCCTCAACCGAAAGGCCAGAAAAAGAAGAAGATCGTGAAGTACGGGATGGGCGGACTCATCGTCTTCTTCCTTATCTGCATCATCTGGTTCCCACTGCTCTTCATCTCACTGGTCAGATCAGTTGTGGGTGTGGTCAACCATCCTGTGGATGTAACGGTCACAGTCAAGCTGGGAGGTTATGAGGTAACTCTGAAGCACCATGATCAGAGAACATACTTGTTAGTATTTAAATGCATGGAATTCAAAAACTCATTTACAAAAACCGCCCAGCGTTCTCTGGTCAACACCATCGTTCCAATGTTGGAAAATGTCTTTGGAAAGTTGTGGGAAAAACCGACAAGCCAAATGGACCAGCATAAATGGGAGAGAACGTTCTAGGAATTCTCAGCAGAGCCACAGACAAATATGGCACACTGATGTTTGGGCGAGTTGGTGTTTGTTGGAGAGCGGTGGTGTGTTCTGGGTAGAAAGGAGAGGATAAGGAAAACTGAAAATGTGTCTGCCTCTCTCTCTCTCCAGCCCCTGTTTACGATGAGCGTCCAGCAGCAGTCTATACAGCCGTATACGCAAGAGCAATACGTCGGCCTCACGAAGTGGTTTGGAGATAACGCAGTGAGTGCTACACTTCCTCTTTATCCTCTATACATGTATACCACTGATGACGTGTTGAGACTGTGTAGCAAACAGGAAATCCGATCACTGATTAACCAGTAGTTTGTTTCTGTTCTCTTTTTTTGGAGACAGTTAAAAGATGAAATCAAATATATAGAAAATAGACATGCAGAAAATAGACATGCAGTGAAAAACGATCTGTGAAGGTTTGGGGCTGCATGATGTAAAATAGCCTTACATTAAAACTGAACGATTTTTAGTCCATTTAAAAAGTAACTAATGTTTATTTTAATGTGTTTGTGGTTTTCACAGGTGGCAATGCAGTTCATTACACTGTACAGTTATGAGGACATCGTTACAGCCAACATCGAGGGCAGCTCAGGGTCAGTCTGGAGGATCAGCCCACCAAGCAGAGGGGAACTCATTAAGGAGCTGCTGGGCAGCGCAGACATGACCCTGCGACTGGCCTGGAACTTTCAGAGGTCAGTCTGAGAGTCAGAACTTTCTTGCTCATTCAGGATGTTTACATTTCACAATTTATGCATTTATTTTTACAATGTTTAAACAAAGTAATCAAATATCACAAGGGATTTTTATATAGTTATTGAATAATCCGACGAAAATGTAGAAGGTATAATATTTGTTTAATGCATAGTTTTGTGTTTTAGACATTTTGTGCATACTTTTTTTTTTTTTTAAATAATTCCATATATCAGTGTCCATTTCATACTGCATGAGATGCAGCATTAACTGCTTGTGTCCTCATGTTCTCTGTGGATGAATGAAGACAACACAAAGTTCATGTCATTTTTTGAAGAATTCCAAACTACAGGTTCCTTGTCTATCATACACAAATCCATATATTCGAATAACCAGCCCGTCCCAGTTATTTAAATTTCTTTGTTTCACAGGGACCTGAGTAAAGGTGGGACAGTGGAGAACACTTTTGATAAACACTCCATCAATCTGGAGCGTGGAAACCCAGTGAGGGCAGATTTGGCCTCATTGCTGGTGGGGAATCGCACAGAGCCAGTGTAAGTTCCAAAGCGTGTCCTACCATTTAAACCCTGTTTGCCACTGCGTACAGTGTGATGATCCAGCCTGTGCTCCTCTCTCCCTCAGTCTAGTGCCGCACATGTTCCCCAACTTCATCAGAGCACCAAACGGAGCCGAGGCCAAGCCGGTCAGCCAGCTGTACGAGGGTGAGGTTTATTTTAAATTAACAATAATTCACTGCAAAACAATCAGTGTCAAAAAAAAGACAAATAAAAACAAATAAAAAAGTAAAATTATCTGCCAATATGATGAGAAAATGTTACGATTTTTTAAAATAAGGAAAGCTCTTGCTGTGAAAAAAAATCTATAATGATGTAAATGTAAGTATAATAACTTACAATCAGTTAATATTTTATCGATTTAAGGCATTGTGGGTAGATTTAAATAAGACTAATTTGATCTGATGCCATCATAATCATCATTTAAAATTAGAAAAAAAACCTAGCATATGAATCTTGTTTTGACCTTGTCCTGAAATCTCGTTTGGTACAAAATGTCTTGAACTGAGAAATTTGAGCTCAATACTAGAGAAATCTTGCTTTTAAATAAGCCAAAATGTCTTTAAAACAGTCTGAATACTGTACTGTAGGCTTATAGTAAGACTCCTGAAAATACTTCTCAAAATGAGGCATGAAATGTAAAAAAAAAAAAATGCATATGATGATAATCTGCTTTATTAACTCGATAGTTGCTTATAAAGGGCAGAAACAAAATAAAACTGCTCATGTTCTGATCCCTGCAAAAAAATCTAATCTTAACAAGCCAGTAAATCTTAAAAATTACAGAACCCCTGAGGGGCCGTGGTTAAAAGTGAATGACATTGCGTTCCCTCGCAAATGTTTTGCATTACGATGCAACAACTTGCATTCACTTGCAAAAGCTGTGCTTTGCTTTAGCTCAGACATGAAGCAGCTCATTAAATTTTTACGTTGATCTTGGATTGAAATATAAAGACATAGTGACGCTTCTCAAAATCAAACATGATTCTGCTGTTAGTGACGCAAACTGAACCTGAGGTCGAGGGTCCTCGTACAGTAAAAGCTACATTTACAGAGCCTGCAGAGAACAACAGCTGAATAAACTCAGCACAGACTGGCGAAACTGAGAAAACAGCTTTTAATGTAAGCTATGCTAAAAACAAAGCTCTAATGTAGGCAGTGTCGTCGGGAACCTCTGGTCCTATGTTCGCTTGCTGTCTGACAAGCATATATTTTGCGAGGGAACGCAAAACATTTGCAAGGGAACGCATTTTTTTTGCAAGAGACACAATGTCATTAACTTTTTTTTCTTTTTTTACCACGGCCCCTTAGGGGCTCTGTAGAAAACGAACAAAACATCTTCATTTTTTTAAAGATTAAAACACCAGACTAGATTTATATGTAGAAGATTAATCAGCTTGAAAAGTTTTGAAGATGAAATCTTTTAACTTATTTTAAAATGCAGTGATTTGGAATGTTTTGAAGTTTGTAAAGCTCTGTCCAGGTTCTTTGAGTGTTCATGGTTCTATATAGAACCATTGTCTTTACTATGGAACCCTTGAGGAACCACTTTTTTAACAGTGTATCTAAATTGGGTAATACAGTTTTGGATAATTGTAGACTGAATTTATTCTACATGATTAATCTCACAAAGCTGGTCTAGTCTGTTAATCTTTAAATAAAAAAGCAGGGTCTGTTGTTAATTTACAAATTGACATTTTTGCAGTTTAATAGTTTAATAATTTAATTAAGAGCAAAGTTTACAATAATACTTTAGGCTAAAATGCTGACGCTGATCATGAACGAAAGTAAACAGGGACCAGTTTGGTTTCTGCAGATGAATCAAGTTAACTGGTCACCACTGTTTGTCTTTAGCTGTTAGCCATGTTAGCATTGTTGGCCAGGCTCCTCTTTAGCTGCTTCATCTAGATGCTGATGCTGCTGGTGTTTTGTGGTAGGAGATGAGGAGGGCTACCAGAACGTGACGCTGTCTTTGATGAGGGACGGCTCTCTGGAGTGGTGGGACATCAGCATTGCGGGCTGTAACAAGTCTTCAGTAGGCTGCAGGGTCTTACGCATGGACATCTTCAACGACAAAGTTAGCCCACCCAGTCTGGGCTTCCTGGCTGGATATGGGTACGGAATTCCACTTGTGTAGTGAAATGAACACAGAAGCTTGCCTTAAAGGGGAATTCCAACCCCTTTTTTAGAATTTGTGCATAATTCAAATCAAAGTCATTGGCTGTGTTTACATGCAGAGATTTTTGCAAATTTAATTGAATTCATTCCGATTACAGATAAAGACTGAGGTGTTTATTCTCACTCTACTCAACAATCTGATGAAAAATATCTGTTTACATGCTCGCTACAAGTAATCCGAGCCAGAATTACATGCATGCATAAAGCACCACTTAGTGTAGATGTTACCATGACAACCAGGATCACGTGAGTCCAGTCGGAGTGAGATGAGCAGCAGTGAGCAGTGCTTTTGTTTTTAATTACTTTAAAATGATGTCAGGCTCAGGAAAACGTCCTTCACATGTCCTTATTAAAGAAGGCCGAGAGGAAGACGTCGTGTTCTGAGACACATAAGCTGGACGTCCGTCTCACCGCTGTCTGTTAAAGATCAGAGCATAAACTTTGTCTCCTCTGCAGACCAGTTTCTGCTCCGCCATGTTGAACGGTATAAACTTTCACTATGACGCGACGAACAGAACGTACTTAAACTTTCCGATCGGGAATGTTATCAGAAACGGGCGTTTGCATGGTTATTATTCTTCTATTTAATGGATTATTTACAGGATTACCCACCTCACTGAATTGGATACAAATTGTATTCCAAATGGCCTCAATTGGACTAGTCTATTCCAACTGAGGTGTTTACATGGACGCATTCTATTCCGATTGAGCTATTAGTCGGATTATTAACAGATGATTAGGCTGCAAGTAAACATGGCTATTGAGTGGCTTGGTATAAAGTGGTGCATTGTAGAAAAACTTAGTAGCTCAGATTACTTCACAATAATGGCGATAGGAACCAGAGGTCGCAATGTGTACAATCAAATATAGAAGCTTTATTTACTATCCAAAAGCACCAGTGAATCTACACAAGTCTTCTGAGTTCGTTATGCAGTGTTGATGATGGTAAAACAGTGTTGAATCTAAAAAATAAAGACAATTTTTCTTTGGATACCAAATCTTACATCTTAACAATTTAATAAGCAGAAATGATTTTTAATCAGTGGAATTCCCTGTTAAGAACACTGCAGAGTTCATTTTCTTTGCACTGACATGCTTTACTGTTTTTATGATGTCATGAAAAACCAAATCATTTACATACACTGATCAGGCATAACATTATGACCACCTCCTTGTTTCTACGCTCACTGTCCATTTTATCAGCTCCACTTACTATATAGGAGCACTTTGTAGTTCTACAGTTACAGACTATAGTCCATCTGTTTCTCTGCATACTTTGTTAGCCCCCTTTTACCCTGTTCTTCAGTGGTCAGGACCCCCATGGACCCTCACAGAGCAGGTACTATTTGGGTGGTGGATCATTCTCAGCACTGCAGTAACACTGACGTGGTGGTGGTGTGTTAGTGTGTGTTGCGCTGGTCTGAGTGGATCAGACACAGCAGTGCAGCTGGAGTTTTTAAACACCTCAGCGTCACAGCTGGACTGAGAATAGTCCAAAAATATCCAGCCAACAGCGTCCTGTGGGCAGCGTCCTGTGACCACTGATGAAGGACTAGAGGATGACCAACACAAACTGTGCAGCAGCAGATGAGCTATCATCTCTGACTTTACATCTACAAGGTGGACTGACAAGGTAGAAGTGTCTAATACACTCAGACCAGCGCAACACACACTAACACACCACCACCACGTCAGTGTTACTGCAGTGCTGAGAATGATCCACCACTCAAATAGTACCTGCTCTGTGAGGGTCCGTGGGGGTCCTGACCACTGAAGAACAAGGTAAAAAGTATCCAGAGAAACAGATGGACTACAGTCTGTAACTGTAGAACTACAAAGTGCACCTATATAGTAAGTGGAGCTGATAAAATGGACAATGAGTGTAGAAACAAGGAGGTGGTCATAATGTTATGCCTGATTGGTGTATATCTGCCTACATCAGCTTAGCTCTGCCCATTTGTGGTGAGGTTAAAAGAAACGTTTCAGCCTGTTTTTTGAATGAGGCACAATACAGAGCAGCCAATCAAAACAGAGGCACTTTAAATACATCAGTCTTAAACACCCAGTAATAAGTGCTTTTGGTACATAAACCCATACAAACATCATAAGTGGACCTCAGAAGGAAAATAAAATGAATTTTATATGTAATAAAAGAACAGTTTGACCAAAATCTTAATGTGGCTAACAGTGCATAATCCATTCATGTTAGCCACGTTACCGCATTTTGGCCAGACTGTTCCGTTACAATTGATGATGAGTGTTAATTCTTCTTCTTCTCCCACTGTAGGATCATGGGGCTGTACGTGTCAGTGGTTCTGGTGATCGGTAAGTTTGTGCGAGGCTTCTTCAGCGAGATTTCGCACTCCATCATGTTCGAGGAGCTTCCGTGCGTGGACCGCATCCTCAAACTGTGCACGGACATCTTCCTCGTCCGAGAGACGGGCGAGCTGGAGCTGGAGGAGGAGCTCTACTCGAAACTCATCTTCCTGTACCGCTCCCCAGAGACCATGATCAAATGGACCAGGGAGAAGAACAAAGACTAGACTCGTATTCGTCCACCTGAACTACCTGTCCTTTTCGTAGCGTCACCTGGTGCAGGTGAGGCGCTCTTATTCAAAGTGCCTTCGTTTAGACGTGGCCTTTCTGTGGGCCCAGCTGGAACGAGTGGAGCTTCAGTGTTAACGCTCATCCGTGACGTGGCACTTGCTGAGGCTGTAACGATGTTTTATGAGCACAGAAATGAGCACATAGCGATTTCTTCTCAATGCTGCTGAGCTATGCTGACACAGTGCATGTTTGAGAGAGAGAGAGAGAGAGTGAAAGTGAAAGAGAGAGAGTAAGAGAGAGTGTTAGATGGGCTCTCTGAACCTAAAGGCTTGGGTATGCAGGGGTTTACTAGGTTTCTGTTCATTAAGGCTGAGCCATGCTTACATAATCCAGTTTCCAGCAGAGCCCCAGGCTCAAACAGCCTTATTGAGTGAATGTGACCTTATCCCAATTCTGACCTTGAATACGTTACTGTCTGGGATTTTCCTTTCAATACACTCTGAAAATGGACAAGAGGTCAGGCGGAGATTTCCTGATAGGACCTTTTACGCTCCAAAACAAACACTATTGTAATGTTATTTGATCATGTAGATGATAAACACACCAAAAAACTGTTTACAAACAAAAACACCCGACAAACGGAAAGGGTTCCTCGCACGATGCCATAGGAGAACCACTTTCCCAAAAAACCTTTCCGTGGATGATCCTTTACAGAACCATTTTCAGAAATGAGATGTTTGAGTGAGAAGCATATTTATAGGTTAAAGAACCTCCACGTAATATACAAGGTTCTAACCCTTAAACTGGTACCGAACCTTTATATTATGTGAAGGTTCATTAAGACTTTTAAACATGGCTGCCCAAAGTGGCCCGCCAGAAAGTTACCTAATGCCGTCCCCTCACTGACTGAGAGAACAGACCTATTTTGACACTATTTAATTCTTATTTTCCATCTGAAAATGTATTTTTGAAGTATTTTAGCTTCGTGGTGTAATTTTATGATATACATTTTTAGGTTTCAAAATTTGAAACCTTCTAACCTTCTTCATGTGTATACTGTTCTGTCTTTTTGGCCTTTGGCCCAACACAAACATTGCACCCCGCCCCCCGCCCCCCCTCACCCAACCCCCAAGACAAAAAAGAACACCCCGGCTTTAAAAGATCATTAACATTTCACAGATCTCCTTTCCAGACATGGTTCTTTACTGAACCAGAAGCGGTTCTTCTATGGCATCACTCATTAAGGCACCTTTATTTATTATTATTGAGCGTAATTAAAAATGGTTATTATAAAATTCTAGTAAGTCAAAAGACTTGAAGTTGTGTTTAGTTGCAGCTAGGGCTGGGTATCATTCAGAACTTTTCAATAAAGGTAGCCTGATCTTTTTTCAGTACCTTATTTTAAACGGAAAGTGGGTGTGGCTTAAACAAGAAATTAGTAAGAGGTGTTGGAAGTGGGTATATATGGATCGCAGACTAATCAATGAGTGCGTTTATATGCACTTAATAATCCGATAACTGCAGAAAATCCGATTTTTATCAGTGATCTGATCGTGTTTACATGCACTTGAGTAATCAGATAATGGGGAAACTCCGGGTCTACATAAGTCAGGCAGTGATCAGATTTCTGCTTTAGAACCAGCCAGTAAACTCACAGAAGACGACGTGACGTAAACGTAACGTAAACTCAAACTTTATACTGCGGCTTTTTAAAAAAACACTGCGCCTCTTTACCTGAACATATGAACTTACATCATCTAGAAGATCAGAAATATATAAATCCTTCAGTTCGTTAAGAATGTAGTCGTTTCCGCACACGTGCAGACTGAGAAATGCGAAAGAAATCAGAGTAAGAGTTCACATGCACTGAGAAATCTGATTACTGAGCTAAAATCCAGCTCTCTTTATCGGATTTCTTGATCAGATTTCTAGATCGGAGTATGGTGTTAACATGTCCATTTGAACGATCGGATAACTGCAGACATCCGATTATGATCGGATTATTGAGTGCATGTAAACGCACTGTGTTAATAACGTGAATGTAGAATGTAATGTAAGACTGACTACTTTGGTTATTGAGTTTTGGTATTGACTCGCATGGAATGTTTTGATTCTCTGTAGTATTGAGGCAGTTAGATGGTATTGAGGCAGTTAGATAGTATTGAGGCAGTTAGATAGTATTGAGGCAGCTGCTGCCACAGAAGTATTGAGTTTTGATACCCAGCTCTAATTGCCAGAGGCTGAAAGACTATTGCCCTTTTCCTGTAGAGCTACGTTCATAAGAAATAATGGAAAATGACACTTAAAATTGCTGTCTACTAGATTGACATGTTTACCATATAAAACAACATTATCATGTAACATCTGTCTAGAATACTTTTACACATTCTTGTTTGATTTTTCTTACCTGCCAATTTCGGTAGCGCATTATTTTGCGAGTCCACTGTAGATGATCATGCTGTCTTAGCGAAATGCCACATAAGGTAAACGTAATAGAGTCTGTTAAGCCTAATGGCAAAGCTAAACCTAATCCTAACCTTTACTTCAGCCTAGATCATAAACCTGACCCTAACCCTGATGCCTTTGATAACCAAGTTTCTCCAGATGGTTTAACAGTTTGAGAACTTGTACGGTATCTATAGGGGGCTCCCAAAATATAGCGTGACCTCAAATTCAAATAATTAAATCAGTGATGGCTGGAATTGTTACTGTATGGACACTCAAGAGCAAAAACATCCTTTTCTAACTTTCATACCTTTCAAAAGACCTGTAACTTTCTATTTATTCATATTTTCATGAGTCTATTTTCAGAAATCAAATGTGATGTGACAAATCTTGGTGACAATTGACATTTTGCAAATTTACAGTACATATTAAAATCAATGTTGCACATCTGCGTATGATTCCTTGATTTCTGTTATGTTTCGTAAAACACGCAAAGGCGGCCTTCTCTGTAAAACAGCCGGCCTTTATTGAGACTGTGCAATAAAACATTGAGCTGTGTAGTAGCGGAAAGGAATTTACAATTTATTCACTTTAAAATTATTTTAAAAAGGATAAAATTAAGCTGTTAATGGTTTGTTTAAGCAGCTTCTAGTGGAGGAACAAAGTGGGTCCCAGCTGTGCAATGAAAGGTCCAAACAATTCATGGTGTGCCACTGAAACGTGACCCACGTTTGGCTGGACATCTGAACAGGCCAGCTATTCTTGGTCATCATCCTCATCCTCCAGAAGGAACTCACTGATCTCCTGCTTCATCTGGGCCCTGCGAGGCAACAAGGAGATCCTTTTTCAGCAGAGCAACCAGAAAAATCACATTTTTTTGGCCAAAACGGAATTTGACAGAATTCCAGACTCATCTTCAAACATAAAAATCCTAAAATAACCTCGTTTTTAATGGTCTATATTCTATTCCTATGTAGTAACTCTAGTTATGGTTGCGCATTGCAAATTCCTAATTTTTTCCCCATAGGAATGAATGGGATGAAAAACTGTACGACCACCTACTGTATTTCTGCTTGACCGAAAACACTGTTTCGCGTATACTGTCTCAGGGCAGGTCCCCAAGCACAAATTCAATGTTCTGCTGACCCACACTCATCTGCTTGTCTCCCCCCACCCCCATCCCTCGTTTCTCCCATAGACTCCCATTCATTTTGCCACCACACAAACTCTATTACTTCATTGCCCTACAGCCACCAAACTACATGTACTCACTAAGTGTAGGAACTCAAACTCTAATCCACAGCCATACTGACCTGCACTCCTCTATATGTCATTTGTCCATCCCTCGTTCCTCTCATAGACTTCCACTCATTTTCACCCATAAACAAGACATATTCTTTTGATTTGTCTGACAGCCAGCAAAATGCATGTACTCACTCAGGGCAGGTCCCTAAGCTCTAATCCACAGCCATACTGATCCCGCACTCCTCTATATGTCATTTATCCATCCCTCGTTTCTCTCATAGACTCCTGTTCATTTTCAACAACACGTAGCTAACACTTGGCAGCTCCCTACGAACAACTAAACACCCCATACACCATGTCATAGCAGCAATTAAGCATCCGCATGGGATACCACAGCAACACCTTAGCAACCACCTGGATACCATAATAACTGCCTAGCAACACGTAGCAGTACACTGCGCAACCATTCTGCGTTTCCTTCAGGAAATGCACGTTTCTATTTACATTTGTGGATTTAATCTATTAAACAAACTCAATCATATACAGAAATAATCATTTTGGAAATGTATGACTCACCTCCTCTGCCGCTTTTCAGCCTCCGACATAATGTACTGTGGTAGGGAGTTCACTGCTGTCTACAAGACAAACTCAAATTAGCTGACTGCATCAGTATTTCCCCAATCCTGCTCCTTCAGCACCTCTGCACTGCACTTTTTTGCATCCTCCCTGCTCCAACACACCTGCCTTAGAGCATCAGCTTCATGAATTTGAAGTAGGTGTGTTGGAGCAGCAGAAACTCTGAAATGTGCAGTGCAGGGTACTCGAGGACCAGCAGTGGGGGAACACTGGCCTACATCATAAAAAATACAAGAGCTCTCAGTGTATAACTGACTGTTTAGCCAGAGAAACAGGCCACCGGTACTACAGGAGGCTTTTATGTTGGAAACATGCCGTATTTCACTCACCATGTCTTTAATAGTCAGCCTACAACTGTAACACAAGAGGCTTTTCAGGTCTGCAGATGCAGGTGCCCTGAAAAACAAAATCAGCATAGTAATGACCAGGAATGTCCCGATGAAGTTTTCAGCCGAGTGCTTTTTTATTTTCCACTTTAAAATAATTAAAAACACAGCAGACGCTCAAAGGAGAATTCCACAGTTTTCAAAATTTCTGCATTATTCAGTCATTAAGATGTGAAACAGCGATTCTGAGTTGCTTGACGTGAAACTTTCCGTTTCAGAGAAACTGAGTCAGACTTGCTCACAGTGGTGGTGATAAGAACCAGATGGATGAAGAGTTTAAAGCCTCTAAAAGCTCCTCACAGAAAGTTATCGTATGAAGTGGTTATGAATACACTGCCTGATGCTTTAGACATTGTTTTGAAAAGGTTTTGCTGTTTTTTAAAATCCATCATGGCATTTATTCAGAGGTTAAGATGTACCACTCTTTTACTATTGAAAGCATCCTGAACAAAAACTCAAACATATGTAAGGTCACTGTTCATTTTGGAGAGTAAATAAATGGTTATGTTCGTGTTGTAGACGGTGTGTCCTCAGGGGTCTGTCTCCCAAGGCAGGATTTATGGCTTAGCCAGCTAACTTTAAGCTTTGATCTAATCCTGGATTTTCTGTCTCGCAATGGTGGATCATTTTCTACCTGCCATGGCAACTTATACTACAAACAGAGTCGGTCAAGGTCGGGATTTTGTTTTCTTTATGACTTTTGTGCTGCCAGTTACATGAAGAATATCGCTTTTTTACAGAGGAGGCAAATCATACTAGATAGATATTAATTTAAAGTGATTATTAGTCCAATAAGTGCTGCTTTTTACTGTTATAAATGTTGTAGTTTCTACGGAAAAAAGCTTCTTCGGAAAAAAAAAAAAAACCTCTAGACTCCTCACGTTTCACCCGATTGGCTGTTCATCATAAATGTTATGCACATGCACAAGGATTAATTATCATAGCTTAAATATATAAACATGGTTATTAACCGTCTTCATAAAACGAGTTAACCACTGTTCCTTTTGTTAGGTTTTGAGCCATTTCACATCAAACCACCCTCAATCAATGATTGAACTATGGAGAAATTTTGAAAAATGGGTGGAATTCCCCTTTAAACCTACTGCAGCTTAAGTTACAATTTCTACCACTCTTTTTTCTTATCTAGTAAAGTGATTCAGAGCTTTCTGAAGACCGAACACCACAGTTCAATGTACAGATTTAGAGAAAATAAATGCTGCATCTTGTTAAACTGATCACTGGTAGTGTATAAAATCACAAATGGGTTCAAACTTCTAAACCAATCAGTTAAAGTAAGGCATGACTGGCTCTGATACTTTCAACTAAGACTGAGTCATCCCTATTAACGAAGGAACGCTGGTGTTCCCCCCTCACCTGGATGTAGAGCAGCAACCTCCAGCCCCACAGCCGCTCTCCTGACAGCAGGACAGGCCTGGGGGCTCTGCGGTGTTCGAGGAGGGTGGGTCACTTTGGGCCTTTCTCACAGACAGCCGCTCAGACAGCAGAGTGGCTTGGAAGGCAGAGGCTTCATCTACAAAAATACAGCGTTAGCATTCGGAATAAAACGATAATAATGCTTCATTTATATTTCCAAGAACATCCTTTCAGGACACAACTGATGACAGACAGTATGAGTATTTTTAGCGCCTGTTAGCGTCACTACGTGCCTGCTTTGGTGTCGAGAGCACAGAGACAGAGAAGGCACTTGACAGCAGGCTCAGCGCTGGAGTTCTGAGGAGGACAGGCCGTGTGGAGCTTCTCGCTTGTTCTAGAGAGGAACCGATGAGGAACAAACAAGTACAATGACTTGCATGTGTGAGGAAAGAGGAAATTGTTCTATATAAATAGCAAATACAGTGTACACGCAATAAACACATGCAAATAAATACAATACAAAGCTACTCAGGGGACCACAAAATATGAAGAGATTAATTCCAGAACTCTGTATATTTGTAACAAGTTTGGAGGATCGTCTAAGTAAGTGGTCTATTAAAGCAATAAGCCATGAGAGACCGTGGGTTACAGCGATTTTATCATGGGAAGGGTGTTTTTACACTAAAACTAAAGTCTAAAACTCCCTTCCTTGTGAAAGATCAACAGTAACGCACAGCCTCAAGTGGCTTATTGCTTTTATAAAACGGCGGCCAACATAAAATATGATAAAATCCACAATTTTTCAGAAAATTATAAAAGTTATTATTAATAATAATCAACATAAGTATACCGCCAAGAAATGTAGTTCCTTTAGAGTATGGTATCGTTACCAAGCAACCATGGACTGCTGAGGATATATATATATATATATATATATATATATATATATATATATATATGAAAAATTGTGAATTTTATCATTTTATGTTGGCCGCCATTTTATAAAAGCAATAAGCCACTTGAGGCTGTGCGTTACTGTTAATCTTTCACAAGGAAGGGAGTTTTAGACTCTCCACGGTGTAAAAACGCCCTTCCCGTGATAAAATTGCAGTAACCCATGGTCTCTCATGGCTTCTTATATTATATATAATGCCTTTTTGGTCATCTAACAATGAATACATCGCTGTTGTCAGAAGAAAACCTTGTATCTCCGTTTTTGTTGTTTTTCATTTTTTGGCATAATTGGAAAAAGCCTGTTGTCCTTTATATTGTGTGTAAATTTCATGCTGAATGGACCAAAAGAAAAAAAGACTTGGTAAAAATTCTGGTTCCATTGACTTACATTAAAAGTAAAGTAGGTTTCTTCCTTCTCTTGTAAAGTCACCACTATGGAGATATGAGGTTTTCTTCCAACAGCAGCGATAAGATAACACAGCACTAAACTTTCATAGCACACTGTTTAGGGAGTATGGAGCCGTTTGGGACTCAGCCTGGGTTTGACTGAAACATGAACATTTAAAGGGTGTCATCCATTCAAGTGGCATGTTTTAGACTTTTCTACTGCCGCTTTACAGTTAATCACACCATAAGTGCTTTAATTCAAGCCTGTGATATTAATGATGGAGTTTAGGCTGTTGGCTATCTTTTAGCCCAGGGGTGCACAACTCCAGTCCTGGGGGGCCGGTGTCCAGCACAGTTTTGAGGTTTCCCTACTCACACACACCCATTAAACCTGCCAATTAACAGAAAAGTGTAATCAGGTGTGGTTGAGCAGGTTGATCACCAACCCTCCAGGACCGGAGTTGTGCACCCCTTTCTTAGCCTGTTAGCCAGCTGACCAGCCTAGTTCTAGTTAAGAACATTTTACCCTGTTCTACAATGGTCAGGACCCCCACAGTACATGTATTCTTTGGGGAGTGGGTCAATCTCAACACTGCAGTAACACTGATGTGTGTTGCGCTGGTCTGAGTGGATCAGACACAGCAGTGCTGCTGGAGTTTTTAAACGCCTCAGTGTCGCTGCTGGACTGAGAATAGTCCACCAACCAAAAATATCCAGCCAGCAGCGTCCTGTGACCACTGATGAAGGACTAGAGGATGACCAACACAAACTGTGCAGCAGCAGATGAGCTATCGTCTCTGACTTTACATCTACAAGGTACACTGACAAGGTAGGAGTGTCTAATAGAGTGGACAGTGAGTGGACACAGTGTTTAAAAACTCCAGCAGCACTGCTGTGTCTGATCCACTCGTACCAACACAACACACACTAACACACCACCACATCAGTGTCACTTATATATTTATAAAAATGAATTTTGTTTTAAGAGACGTCCATGTTCTGTGCTGTACCTGTAGATGGTGCTGACAGTGGAGGGGAAGTCGGCTTGCAGTTTGATGATGAAACTCTCAGTCAGTCGCTGGATACTCGCCTTATCAGGAACCTGGGGACAAAAACACAAAGCATTTATGTGACATTTCACCAAAAAGAGAAATCTAGCAGAGACTAGATAGCATGACCTCATTTGCGTAATGCTAACAGGCTCCCTGTCAGCGGTCTCTTCTTATTGGCAATGTTGGGTGATACATTCATGCAATATCTGTGCCAAGATGTGCCTGTGTGTTTCTCTGATAAACGAGGCAGACCCCACTGTCCTTCTGTAGTTCACTGGAGCAAAACCACAGAGGCGCAGTGGAGTGGAGGAAGTCCCAACACTTCCACTAATGTAAAGAGGAATCGGCCTCCAGGCGTTTGGGGTGGTAAGAAAGACAGAGTGAGGCAGTAATGAGAGCTGTCGGCCCAATGACTCTCTCTCTCTCCCTCTGCTGGATGACCCCTCACCCTCACCCTCACCCTCACCCCAAAAACTTCCATGTTAACTTTTACCAGTCACAGTTATCATGTGATAACAAAAGCATGTCAATTCGACATTAATTATATTAAAATTGTCATTTAAATAAAGATTTCAGATTCAGAGTTTTCCAACAGGTCTGAAATAAACCTGGGAGAAGCACTGAGGAGAGGCGGGTGGGTTTAAATATATACAGATATCCGAACTCGTCTCAATATTCTTTCCACTTAAAGGAGAATTCCACCAATTTTTCAAAAATTCTGCATAATTCAATCTTGAGAGGTAAAACAGTCATTCAGAGTGGTTTGGTGTGAAATGATTAATTGTAGAGAAATGTATTGACTCTTTACAGTGCTGGTGATAGGAACCAGGGGTCACCATGACTGCAACCCAAATATACAGCTGCAGTTGTGGACTGGAGGTTAGGGAACCAGCCTTGTGATCAGAAGGTCACCGGGTCAATCCCCTGAGCTGACAGGACATGACTGAAGTGGCCTTGAGCAAGGCACCTAACCCCCAACTACTCCCCGGGCACCGTGGATAGGTCTTCCCACCGCTCCGGGCAAGTGTGCTCACCGTCTCCTGAGGTCTTAAATATAGTGTTGAAAACGGCGAAATAATGTGGAATCTTAAAAAAAAGCATTTCTTTAGGGATTATTTTGCCTTGCAACACGTTACATTTTCCTCTACATCAAATTTTAAAAACAGGCCAAAACTTTCGTAAACAACACTTTGGGCATCAGGCAACTTATTTGTAACCATTAAGTGTGATAACTTTAAGGTGAGGGAGCTTTTAGAGACAGTAAACCCTTCTGGTTCTTATCACCACTGTGTATGTAATGTTGATGATGGTAAAACAGTGATGAATCTGAAAAAATACATTTTCTTTGCGGGCTATTTTTGCCGTACGACACCCTGCAAGTACCTTCAGACGTCTGGTTCCCATCACCACCACTGCGAACAACTGACTGGGTAAGTTTCTCTAGAATTGTGCAGTTCACATCAAACCGCTCTGAATGATTTTGTACAGAGCTCCGCTGGTGAGATCCTGTATAAATAAGAATAGTGCATAGCCACGACTTAGTAAAGCGTGGGAACGAGATCCTCATGCGTAGCCACGACTTAGTAAGCGATGATCTCGTTCCCACACCTTACTAAGTCATGGCCACGACTTAATCATCTCATTCCCATGCCTAACTAAGTCGTGGCCACGCATTAGGCCATGCATTATTTTTATTTATGCGGGATGTCATCATCAGGGCTCTGTAATTTTGTTCACATCTTAAAGATTTAATTAAGCAGAAATTTGAAAAATTGGTGGAACTCCCCTTTAATTGGTTACTCAAATAAAGCATGGCTTAGAATAAACAAAAATAAGCCTAATGTGCAGAACTGATAGAGCTGCTATTGAATTTTATGTTGTGTGAAGTGAGACCTTGCTTATTCATAACAAATGAGACGAAATATACTCGGGTGGCTGTCAGTGTTCTTGATGGGAGCATCCAAGTATAGCCAATGTGTGGAAAACAATGGGACTCTAAACTTTCAATCAGTATCACATTTGTGATTATAAGTAGGAGTTTTTTGTCCTCCAGTCTTGAAAGTAAAACCATCTCTTACATTTGTACCATGTTTTCGTCTTTTCCTGATATCAGCACAAATGGAAAGTAAATGAAATATACTAGGTAACTACATAAGTGCACTCAAAGGGCCCATATCCTACGTTTTTCTTGCAATTTATTTTTCCACTTATAACATTTGTGCGTTTTGTACCAAAAACATAATCCATTATTATATGACCAATTCCCAACCTCTCATTATCCCTTTATTAAACAGGCTGTTTCTGTTACTGCACCTTTAAGACTTCTGACCTCTGTTCTGATTGGCTGTCCTGTGTTGTGCCAGATCAAAAAGCACTCAGAGCTGAAACAAGTGTAAGTGGGTGGAACTAAACTGCTGAAAGCGGAATAGGTGGATTTATGTAAATGAGTGGGGTGTTGTGACATCACACAATGAATTCTGCAGCAACCTGAACGGACAGGGTAGAGAATGCCTTTTTAAACTTTATCAATGTTTACATATTTTTTCAAACTCCTTTATTTTAAAAATGAAGGAAGAGTTTTTTCCATTATATGGACCCTTTAAAAATAGAGCAAAATGATTGTAATAATGACTTTAATAACTGTAATAACTTCGACAAGGTTCCTGAATGCAGAGAACGGAGTTATAGTGGACCCATGGCCCTGGGTCTGATGTATGAGGAGGGCAGCTCTTTTGCCTTTGTGACCTCCACACACTCACAAAGCCTTGATAAATTCTATAATTACAGCCTCGCAGTAATAACAGAGCTCGGGACTGAAGGGGTAGTAAGTCCTATCACTGAAGGAGTTTTCGGTTGCTAAGGTAGCCAGTGTTGAGAGTCTTACCCTTGACTGAGACAGACTCACCTTGGTGTCCAATCCTGGGATGAAAACAGATTGCACGCCAAACAGCCTGTTGTAGAAGGCAATCTCTTTGGAGGAATAGTCCCTCATAGGCCGCACAATCACCACATCACCATAGCGAGGGTCAGAGAAACCCTGAAAACAGTGGAGGCCAATTGCACAGGAAGATATAAAGCGATACTTTCAGTGAAAAAGCAACCGAACACAAAAGAAAACAGAAAAGTACAGACAAAAAATTCAGGCTTCAGGATAGGGCCGAACTATTTGGGGAAAAAAAAATCAAACGCGATTTTTCTGACTAATATTGCGACTGCGATCTAAATTTCGATTACTTTTCTATAAATTAAAGTTCAGACCTGTACTTTTTACCAAAAAGACCAGAACATCCACCTTTTCTGGCTTGAGGCCTGACCCCTTAATGCAGTGTTCCAGAAAGCCAGTAAGTTGTGGTTGTGATGTCACAACACACGGAGGTTTGGTTGCGTCTGAGTGGTCTTAACTCTACAGGCACCACACAACTCTGTGTTAATAGGATACACTGGATACAAGTTTTAAGAGGGGAAATGTTTTTGATAATGTACTGTATAATTTTTAAAATTGCTGCTCTGTGATTTAAAAACTGTTCTCTTAAATTGCGATTTCTTTCAGCCCCACTTCAGAATGGCTGCTGCTACTGTTTTTAACCATGCATTGCAGTTTTGTCCATTTTTAGATTGCAGTATGTCATACAGAGTCAGAAACAATGTAAGCAAGAAATTAGAGTTTCTGTATTATTCCATCATTAAGATGTAAACAAAGTAAAAATTCAGAGTGGTCTGATGTGAAACTGTGCCTTGCAGAGAAACTCAGTGACTCAGATGTCATTATAGTGGTGGTGATAGGAACCAGGGTGTCTACAATACAAATAAAGCCAGATGATGGTAAAACAGGGTGAAATCTTAAAAAAATACATTTCTTTAGGAATTATTTTGTCTTGCAACACCTGTATTTACCTCTCTACCATAATCATTTCAAAAGTATATATGATAGCTCGGAAAGCAATCACACATTCAGCAACATATCTAGAACCATTTTGTGAGATAACTTTCTGTGAGGGAGCTTGTAGAGACAGACGTCTGGTTCCTATCACCACCACTGTGAACAATTATGACTCAGAGCTCATTGGTGTACATAAGCTTCCATTAGGCTTTAGCTCTATTAGCCTTGCAGCTCCAGTGCAAAACTTAAGAAGTGACTTTCAGACACCAAACTGATTGACAAACTTGGCTGATTGACTACACTTTATATCAGTAGTCTGAGGTCACATGGCCACAAAACGGTTATGTAGCCAATGTAGGAACTTTCATCAGTAGATCTGGTTTGAAAAGATCAGATTCTTCTGTTCACACGACTCAGATTAAGGCAAAAACTCAGCAATGTGAGAGTAGAATAACTCTCACCGTATCGGCGGCCAGAGCCGCTCCTCGTCCCAGAGAGATGTTACTGAGCAGCTTGATGGCCAGACGCGTACAGCTGTCCCCCATCATCACCTTGGAGTAGCCGTTGATGCGGGCAGTGTGCAGGATCAGGTGCTGCCTACAAACCAAAACACACACAGATAAACCCGATCAAACTCGGGTGGGACGAGTGAGCAGGTGGCCAAAATAGAGGCACCCACTGAAACATCCCACAGCAGCTTTATCACTGTCTGTCTGTCTGTCTGTCTGTCTGTCTGTCTGTCTAATCTCTTCACTCCGTTTCTCTCTCTCTTCTCTATTTTTCCTTCCTTTTCTTCCTCTCTTTTTCCATGTCTCACTTTTCTTTTTTCTCTCCCGTTCTCTCTCTCTCCATTTCCATTTCTTTTCTGCCTCTCTCTCTCCCTCCCCACACTTTTCTGTCTTTCTTTTTCTCTCTCCTTCTCTTTTTATCACTCTTTCCATCTCTCTCTGCCCTTTTCCCCTTTTCCCCTCTCTTCTCTCCCTCTTTCACTCCCTCTCCACTTCTCTTGTTTCTTTCTCTGTCTCCCCATTTCTTTCTACCCCCCCACTTTTTTTCTTTCTCTCTCTCTCTCTCTCTCTCTCTCTCTCACCCTTTCCATCTCTCTCTGCCTGTTCTCTTTTTTCTCTCTCCCTGCTCTCTTTCCATCTCTCTGCCTGTTCTTTTTTCCCTTTTCTTTTTTCTCTGTCCCTGCTCTTTCTCTCTTTCTTTTTCTCTCTCCCTCTCTCTCCTCCTCTTTCCATCTCTCTCTGCCTGTTCTTTTTTCTTTCTTTCTTTTTTCTCTCTCCCTGCTCTCTCTCTATCTTTCCCTCTTTCCATCTCTCTCTGCCTGTTCTCTCTTTTTTCTCTCTCCCCGCTCTCTCTCTCTCTGTTCTCTCTCTCTCTCTGTTCTTGCTGATTAAACTGTGCAGCTCTCTGAGTTATCGACTGAAACCGAGAACTCAGTGCACTTGAAGGCCCAGCGCTTTCTCTGATGACTCACACAGCACTGACAAAGAGTTGTGATCAGAGTGAGAGAACGAAATATGGAGAGATACTGAGTGGAGCCGGCATTATGAAAATGAATAAAAATGGAAAAGAAGACGAAAGTAAGAGACATTGAAATCTTTGAAGTGACTCAGTGAGCACGGACTGTTTACCGTGGGGACAAACTTAGGGAAACTTGATATTTCATAATGTGCTGTTTAATTTCCTGAAGAATCGCTGTGAGGTCACCCCTATTCGATACTGGCCAGTATGCACAGAACCATTTAAATGTTTGGAATCGCCATTTTGAATAATACACATGCCATTTTGGCTGCAGACAGATGTATGAAATGATTCTAATATGCTGGTCCCACAGAATTCCACTGCATAAAAGACTCTGCATAATTAAATAGTTAAGACATAAACAGTCATTCAGAAAAGCTCAGTGTGAAATACTCCATTCTAGAGAAACTTAGAAGAATTGTTCACAGTGGTGGTGATGGGAACCAGACATCTGAAGAGTTTAATGCCTCTAAAACCTCCCTCACAGAAACTTAGTACATGATATAGTTATGAATATGCTGCCTGATGTCTGAGACCCTGTTTTACTACAGTTTTGAGATAAGACTCAAACATCCATTCATGACAGCAGCACATGCACATACAATATAGTCCAGATTTTCCAGTATAGATTTTCCATGATTTTATCATCATCAGCATCACATATAAAAACCCAGAAGACATGTGTAGGTTCACTGGTGGACCAACACCGCTGTAAAGAGTTGGTAAGTTTCTCTACAATGAAGCATTTTACATCAAACCACTCTGAATGACTTTGCTTACATCTCAAAGATTTAATTATGCAGAAATCTGAGGAATTTTCCTTTATGAAATATTAGATGTGTCCAAGATTATGAACAGAGCTGTAGAGGATTCTAAAATGAGAAAGCTGTATAGCATTGGCAAAATAATATGCAGAATTCATCATATCCAAAAAGTGGAGATCAAATCTTAAGGCAGATAACTTAAATAGATCATTACAGTATATTATTTACCATTTTATTCACTTTTATTTACATGATTCTTGAAACATATATAACCCCGTTTGCAAAAAAACCCATGTTTTTATTTATTCATATTTTATTTGTTATTACTGAATAAAACTAGTAACTGAAAAAATGGTTAACATGGTAGGTGATTCAGTAGTAATGTACATGCGAAATGATGCTGAACGGCATCCTGAAGCTTTTACGTCACTGAATCTCACCTCAGGGTCTGCAGCATGTCCTCTTTGGCTGTCAGAGTCTTTAAGGAGGAGAAAAGCCTCTCCAGTGCCTGTCTGTGCTCAGGACCGTACTGGGAGTGGACACTGAGACGGGCCATCGCGTCTTGGGCTTCCTCTCCTGCAGACTCACTGTGTCTCTGCTTTACTTCACTCTGCTGAATATACTGATCCACTGCTGCTTTATAGCTGAGACCTGACCTCTCTGGGCCACAGGACACAGGCTGCAGCACAGAGTCAGGCAGACTGAAGACCTAAAACACAGCCACAAACACAACACCATACCAGTTAAAGGGAAATTACACAAAATTTTCGAAATTGGACCTGAAAAATTGTGACGGTGAGATGTAAAGAGAGTCATTCAGAGTGGTTTGCTGTGAATGTAGAGAACATTTCCGACTCCAATTTCTTTACAGTGGTGGTGAAGGGAACCAGGGGTCACCATGACTGCAACACAAATATATTTGATTTACTATTCCAAACTACCAGTGGACCTACACGGGTCTTCTGAGTTTTTATATGCAGTGTTGATGATGGTATAATAAACTACAACGTCTTGCGTGTACCTCCGACATCAGGCAGTGTATTCATAATCATTTCAAGTAATAACTGTCTGTGACGGAGCTTTTAGAGGCATTGAACTCTTCAGACGTCGGGTTCCCATCACCACCACTGACTCAGTAAGTTTCTCTCCAACATAGCATTTTATATCAAACCACTCTGAATAACTTTGTTCACATCATAATGATTAAATCATGCAGACATTTTGGGGAAAAATATGAAATTCTTTCTTTTTAAGATTAGCTGGTGCCAAAACACACACTATACGTCCAACAGTATCCAGACATCTCTTCTAATTAGTGAATTCAACTCTGGAGCAGCTGCATATGAACCTAAGGGCACCAGGCCCAAAACCAAGCAAGGGGCTACAGGGCTATAAAGCTGGGCTGGGTTGTGGAGCAGTGGAACTATGATCCAACATCAGTACCTGACCTCATTAATGTTCTTGTAGCAGCAATCAAATCCTCACAGCAATGTTCTGACACCTAGTATAAAGATTTCTCAGATGAGCACAGGCTGTTTCTACAGCAAAGAGGGACAAACACCCTTCATTTCAGAAGAGCAGGTGTCTTTTGGACATACAGTGTAGCTTAGTTGCCGAGGATGAAGGTAAAAATATGTTTTTCATTGATAATAGCAACAATTCCACGCTACCATCAAAGGAGGCTATTTGGGACCGCAGGAGATAATGGACAAGGTGATGCAATTCCCTGAAATGAGTCAGAAAAAAAGAGCATTTGGCTTCAAAAAAACCCCCCCAAAAACAGATAAGATGAAATAATGAGGCACAGCAGATAAGTTACAAAGATCAAAGCAATAACAAACATGGAGACGAGTAACGTCTGATTATACTGTAATTAGATCTGGGTAGTTTCAGCGGCGTGACTCTATAAAAAGACGTCTGACAGAGCAGACTGTCATCTCCCCTGCACAAGTTTGAGGGAGGGATCGCTTATGTTTCGTGAAGTCTGAGATACTTCAGACGAACTACAGTGCAAAGAGCAGAAACTCCAGATGAGAAAAACAGTATTACAGAAACATCCTAACCAGACTTTGGCCCAATCCCATTTCTTCTTTTTACCCCTACCCCTTGTTTTCGAGTGTCACCCTAACCCCTTGGAACTGAGTTACAAGGGGTAGTGGTTGAAATCTTCCCCTATGAAATGGGACCCTCAAATAAAAAGAGCATTCCTTCATTAACAGCTACAAGCGCTGCTCTGTAGGCGACCCTGCCAGTCTGCAGTGACAGCAGAGGAGGGTAAAGTTCAGCTCCTCACTGCTGGGCTTTAGTTACATTTAGGACATCATATGATTTCAAAGAGGGGCAATAATTTATTATCACCCACCACTAATTCTTTGGTGATACAAAGCTGAAGTCAGATATTCACCAGCTTCTTGTTTAAATTTTCCCGTTCCACCTTAAACGGTGCAGCAGTTACATTCTGGCGCTTCAGGAGTCAGAACTGCTGGACTATTTAAGGTGGAACGGGAAAGTTAGCTAGCTAGCTACCAAAACATTAGCATGCTATTAGCGATTTTTATGCTTGTTATGAAGAAAAGGACCATAATACATTGAAATGACATTAAACTAAGGTAAAACAGTGGCTATCGTAATTTTTTAACGGAGAAAATTCTCACATTTGTGGGTTTCTTTGGTCTCTTGTTCAGCCGTCATGCTGGTTTTTCTTTTTTCCTCATATCACTCTGTTTGGAGTCTCTGAAAAACCTCCGTTTGGAGGGCCATGCAGCCCTAACACTTCACCCTGCCCCTCTATCTCAACAAAAAAAATTGAGAAATCGATCAAGTAGGTTAGGATTTCTTAACTCGAGATAAGATGCTGTGAGATAATATAAGATTCCTAAATCAAGATCAGATTTGCTTCTGTAATATTAATTTGTGAAAAACCTTATCTTGACCTGTGAGAACTTAAGTTGAGACAAAAAGAGAGGAAGTTTCTGTAATACGGCCCCTGGTTCACAGTAACAGTGGCTTGCTCACTCCTCTATCGCCTGGTTACCTGCTCCAAGGGGACTACGTGGTAAGGGAATCCTGTCTTTCTGAAGATGTTCTCCAACAGGGCGACAGCATTCTCCCTCTCTTCAGCACTCTGACCACAGGCACCACCCTCTGTATTATGAAATCATATCAATCAGCCATTCAGCCACAATGTTGCCATTATGTAAAGAGAAGACTATGTGCTATGAATCTGTCAATCCTTAAAATGACCGAGTCTGCAGTTACCATCAATGTAGATGATGCCAGGCACAAATCGCAACTTCTTGGGCGCGTCCCGACTCAAACCCTGCATAAAGCAAATAATTATATAAAACTCAGCCAAACAACATTGAAAATGTATCACCTGACATTATTCATGATTTAAATGACTGAGGATGGTCGTCATCTGGAGTAAGTGAACCAATACCTCTTGAACTTGTGCTAGCATGGAGCTGGACGCTGGCCCACCAGAAACAGCCAGCAGTACCTGAAAGAAAAGACGTGAAATGCTTCAGTGAGAATTTTGTGTAAAATAGTGTCTAAATTGAGTGTCTCAGTTATGTTTATGCCTGCCTTCTCTCCAGGAAAGATGACACGATTCTTCCCCAACATGGCTCGAAATTTGTGTATAAAGTACTCCTTGAAGCAGCCCCTAAATCAGAGATGATAAGAAAAGTTTGGCAGATTATGGCAGGAAGTATCATCTATACCTGTATACTCTGATATACATACCATGATAATGCTTTTTAGATTTAGCAATATATTTGATAGATAATGACCATTATATCCATGATGTAATGACCATACAATAGCAATGTCACCACTGCCATGCAGTTTGTTGTTGTTCTGAGAACTTCATTCATTATATCCAGGACCTGACAGCTAAAATTCATAAAATTAAAGAAGTTTTCTTTCTGGAAATCAATTTTCTGTCTGGTTAATGTTTAAAGTGAGCAAATCCTTATGGTGTCCACTGTTTGTCACTGTTTACCTGATTTAATCTGACGTGGCAGATATAAAGTAAGATGTAAAGTAGACATTATTAGTGAAAACATGACTCTCCGGCGGACATAAATGGATGTCAATAATCAACATCATGGTATCCAGCATCTGACAGTTATCTACAATGGATGCTTCTGAATGTTTTAAAAGGACAGTTTATAATCCATACAATTAAATAACTTTCAAATTTCATAATAACTTTACATTAAATTTTAAGAAAAGAAAAAAAAGAACAAAACAGTCCAGTCAAAACAAGCAGATCTGTAAGACCTTGTTTTAACTGAGACTAGCAGTAGGAAGCATGGTTTCATTAAAGAGGAATTCCACTTTTTTCCTTTATAATTAAATGGTTAGGACATAAACAAAGTCATTCGAAGTGGTCTGACATAAAATACTCTGAAACTTACCGAGTCAGAATTGTTCAGACGTCTGAAAAGCTTAATGCCTTTAAAAGCTCCCTCACAGAAAGTTATTACATGAATTGGTTATGAATAGACTGCCTGACGCCTGATGAATTGTTTAAAAATAGTTTTGAGATTATGGCTTAAAATCTCTAACATTATTTTTTTTAACCCATTATTATTAGAGAGGTAAACAGAGGCTGTTGTAAGGCAAAACAGTGCCCAAAGAAAACACCACAGTTCAACACAGGTTATTTTACACAGGAAATAAAATGACTATATTTGAATTATGCCATATTCAAACGCCCTGGTCCTTGTTACCATCATCATAAAGAAATCCGAGTCAATAAGTTTCTCTACAATGAACTATTTTATATCAAACCACTCTGAATGACTTTGTTTACATCTCAACAATCAAACTATATAGACATTTTGAAAGATTAGTGGACGTCCCCACTTATTAAAGCTAACCTCAAATATTATGTGATACCATGATAGATTTGGGAAATACTTGTAATATTAAATGTAATCAATATCACCCAGCGCTTTGGATGACAGATTTATAGGTTGCTTTGTCTGTACTCACCTGCAAAAGGCATCTCCAACCCGGATGATGAGCACCGCAGTGCTCTCTTTACACTTCACACAAGTCTTAGAGACCCTATAAACGTGAACATGAAAGATGAGGAAACATGACACTCAGGTAGACAGGTAGCTGTAGATCAGTGTGTCTCAGCCCTGGTCCTGGAGGCCCACTGCCCTGCCCCTTTTTACTGCTTTCCCTGCTCTCAACACACCTGATCCAACTAATCAGCTCACCAACAGCCCAGAATTGAGTTAAAGATGCTGTGTTGAGGCAGATAAAGCACCAAATTATGCAAGGTAATGGGCTTCTTCCAGGCCCAGGGTTGAGAAACACTGCTCTAGATTATATGAAACCTTAACTATAATCCTAGATTCAAAGCAGGACTGTACTGGCTCGAGTAATGAACTCACCCTGGCACAGATCTCCTCTCTAGATGTCCACTGTACTCTTCATCAACCTGACACATGGCTGGACTGAGTGTCTACTCTTAATTATACGGCTCAGTGAGAGAAACCTGAGGTGAAAAATTAAAAAACAGAGCTAAAACAGCCAACATAAACAGCCCAGCCTGCTTCCACGCCTTCCATCCATGCTGCTGGCCCTTTTTGATGACGTGCACAGCGTAGCCGTACCGTGTCCACTGTTTGTACGATTTTCGGGTCGAATCTGATCAGAATAGACGCGAAATAAACGCTATTAGCGCAAGAAAGTGTCTCAGACTTACGCAAATGCGTAACAAAAATTAACAACACAAGATTAATTTTGTCAAGTCGGCTGTGCGTCTATTGTCTGTGAAATCGTCGCGGAGGATCCTGGGAGTGTAGTTCTTTCGCGTTCGTGCGCCGTTCAAAGCAACGGTCGGGAAAACTACATTGCCCAGCATGCACCTCGTGCGAAGGAGCTCCGAGGCGTTTGGTTAAAGCTCCGTTGTAATGTTTACTTCTCGGATATAACGGCGTGTGCTGCTGATGGCGCTGATGGGGGGCAGATGCGATTTTTAATGCCCCTCGAGCCCTTTATTTGCCACAACGCTTGGTTTTAAACGCTTCACACTTCGGGCTGAGGGAGAAACGGGGCCGCGTTCATGATGGCGATGTTCCGCAGTTTCGTCTCGGCCGCCCAGCTGAGGCAGCAGCAGCAGCAGCAGGGGCAACAGAGCGGGGCAGTTGGGGGGGACAGCCTGGAGAGCCAGTTCTCCTGCCCCATCTGCCTGGAGGTCTACCACAAACCCGTCAGCATCGCCAGCTGCGCCCATACGTGAGTAATACATATACACTGTTCTGTGTGTTATTCACTCTTAAAAACAGATGGTTCTTTAGTAGAGACAATGGTTCTGTAGAACCATGAGCACTCAAAGAACCATTTTCATGACTGACTGGTTCTTTGCATGGTGAAATGGTTCTTCAGAATGATGGAGAATGTGTTGCTTATGGTTCCATAAAGAACCTTTTTGAAAATGGGTCAGTGTAGCACCTGAAAGGGTTCTAGCTTTGACATTATAACAATAGCAGAGCCCTTTTTGGTGCCATACAAAACCATTTTTAAGATGTTTCCATGTAGAACCACCATGTATAACACATTCACCACCAGTCTGAAGAGCCATTTCACCGTCCAGAGAACATTCTCAGCATGAAATGGTTATTTGAGTGTTCGTGGTTCCACAGAACCATTGTCTTTAGTAAAGAACCCTTGAAGAACCATCTTTTTTATGAGTGTAGCCTCTTGACAGCTTGCTTTGTTTATTTCAATGCAGGATATCTGATCACATAAAACTGTGTGCGTCTTATAAAATGCAATAAAAACGTGTCGTGTCTGTTTTTTATGTCGGCCCTGCTTTGTTGGGTCCAGTGCTGGACATCTGACGAAGCTGAAGTTGGCTTCGAATTATTCGAATTTTCCGTTCCACCTTAAATGGTGCAGCACTTACATGCTGGCTCATGTACAGGCAGCAGAATCTGCTGCACCATTTAAGGTGGAACGGAAAATTAGACCCCAAATTCAGCCTAATGGACATTTTTATATCTTCATCACTACACGAAAAGGAGATGTTTGGCTAATTTAATGGAAATTCAGGTTTTCCTTTCGCACACTGGACCTCGACATGCCTTTTGGTCACACTGGATATGAAGAAACAGCCTAGCTACTCTTAACTTGTTCTTTAATCTGTCAAAAGTGAGCTGAACTTCATGGCTGTGTGAAGCCGTAAGTAGAGCTGCTGCTGCTTTTCCTTTGTGCCTCTGTTCTTCTTGCCTACAGGCTCATACTAACACAGCACTGCTGCTCCTTTGTTACTGTAGTCTATCTGTCTGCCTGTCAGCAGGCCGGTTTCAGGGGCTTAGGAAGTGAAACGGTCTTCAGCAGGATGTCCACTGACCTTTTCAGATGTTTTTTTTTGGACACATGAAGGTTTATTAGTGATGTAATTTCTGCCCAAGTGTGTCAGATACGTGCACTCCAGGCTTCAGAGATGCGTAGTGGGATTACATTGTGTAAATCAGGGGGAGGAAAAAAGAACAAAGCAAGCGAAGTATGTGTGGGACGCGAGATGCCCTGCTGTCCTGTGTCTGCATCTAGACAAACGGCGACAGCACACAAAGTGAAAGTGAGGTGACTGTTGCGCAGGATGAAGTAAAAAGAGGAAGTGGATTTCCTGCAGTCGAGCTCTACAATGCTGGGACAGTCTGTTTACACAGCTGCTGTCAAATCGCAGTGGTCAAATTTGGGTTAGTGCATGTGTCATTTCTGATCAACTTGTTCATGGCTTATGTCCTACAGGTCCACTGGTGGTCCACTGATGACCTTTGTATGGTTTTATGTACATAAAAACAGTCTTAACTGACTCTACATGACTGCTTTCCTGCCTCTTTATTCACTGGAATTAAACTGTTTTTGTTACTGTGCCTTTAAGATTGACTAATGTAAATGAGCTCTGTTCTGATTGGCTGCTCTGTATTGTGTCTTATTCAAAAAACAGTCCAGGCTAAAACCCTCATAACTTCAGCATGAACTGACTCGGCTCAGCTGCTGCCGGCTGAATAAGCAGATATCTGTCCAAATGCTTTGTTGTTGTTTATTTCTGACATCACAAAAATAATCAGTTTAAAATGGGCTGTTTTTGATCTGCGGTGGTTCATTGTTCACGTTCAAAAGACCTTGTTTATGTTTCATGGTCAGTATGTAATGAACCTGAATTGTGATCCCATGGCCGGCCAGATGAGGGAGCTGGACGTACTTAACCAACAAAATGTATGAATTTATGATGTAAAATGTTAAAGGTGACTTCCACTTAATCTTTTCAGAATTTTTGCTCATAATTCAGTCGGTGAGACATAAACAAAGTCATTCAGTGTGGAACCAACTTGGATATCTTTACAGTGTTGGTGATACAAACCACAATGTCTACAACAGAAATATATCCATTTTATTTACTATCCAAAACCGTCAGTGACCCGACACACGTCTGAGCTTTTGCTTGTAATGTTGATGATGTTAAAGCAAGTTTTTTTTTTTGTCTATTTTGCCTCATATTACCCTGCAAGTACCTCTCCATGAATTCATTTCATTTCCCTTTTTGGGTTTTCAAAACTACCATAAAACATTGAGCCTCATTTTCCAATATAAAGCTTTTTCTTGAGAAAGATCCTAAGAAAAAGTCTACGTCAGATTCATGACGTGCTCTCAAAGTGCATAACTGTTCTTACCCAAGAACAAATCCCAAATAAGGAAACACTGGTGAGCATCAGAATCTTCGTGAAAACTGCTTAAGTGGGTTGTAAGAAGAAAGTTCTTCCTAAGAACGGTTGGTGAATGAGGCCTAGTCACTAGTGTGAGGGAGCTTTGACACTTGTCAGACGTCTGGTTCCTATCACCACCACTGTGAACAGATAACCTAAGCCCAAAATCGAGGATTGTCCAATAGGAATGTCCCTCAGCTCTTTTCCCATTGGACAGGCTTGGCTTTAGTCTTAAGTTGTCTGTGTAGACTAAGACATCCTGCTTTGTGAAATGCCCCAATGAACAAGTTGGAACATTTCACTTCAAACCACTCTGAACAGCTTTGTTTACATCTTAACATCTGATTATTCAGATATTTAGAAGAATCTGTTATGATGGGCACAAATAATCATCTGTTGCGGCTGTGCATATTTATTTTAGGCTTGTAAAATGAACTTAATAAGGATAATAATTTTAGATAACAGTGTCAGAAATGAGTTTTGTCCGGTCTGGTTGTGAATCATGTGAATGCAAAAAGCTGTTGGCTGTTTTTTTGCATCCAGTTCAATCTAGTTTTCACTTTCACAAATAAATTTGCTCAAACAATAATGTCTTCCAATGTAACGCTGGTAATAAATCGCTATGGCTGTAGAAGTGAGACATGGAATAATCCATTTGTTGGTGCATTATTTATAAGAAAGTGTATTAAAAAATATTGCAAAGCTGCTTTTTTTGAGCTCAGCTTTGAACCAGGTCTTTCTTCAGCCTTTATGTTGTCTAATCTGAATTAAAGATCCACAGTCAAAAATGATGTTGCTGCAAAACTGACGGTAAATTGAAGTTTCAGAAGTTCTAAATGAAGTGGTGAATTGTGTAATGTTGTGCGTTTTGGCTTTGTTGCTACGTGTTTTTGACATTTGAGTTCCTGTCATGCTGCTTTTGTTAAGTATCTTGCTTCTGCTTTGACTTCCTCTTCTTAAGGCCTTACATTCTCCGTTTGAGGAGGTGAAGTGTCACTCACAACGGTGTCGTGGAAAGTGTTAGACCTCCTGAAATACGGCACTAGTGTCTCACCGATGAGACAGTGTTGTGTTGTCACTATCACCCACGACTTCCCTTTAGGAGAGTAAATCTTTTTAGTGTTTAATATAGACGATTGGCCACGCTGGGGTGTTGTGAATGACTTCATTTTCTACACGGCTGCAGCGTTTCATTTTGTCTTTATACACTTCAGATGTGATGTCACTCGTGTGGGCTGAGGGTCAGTGTGAGCAGCAGCCTTCATCGTTTCCCCGAGAGAGCGCATGTTTACAGAGGCTGAAAGATCGTTGTGTGCCAGAATCTCAAATTGCTCACTCCTTCACCATAAAACGGGCCGCGGTCTTCCATCCAGTCGAAGGAAATGCCCGACTGCCTGTCCCAGGAGCAATTTGAGACGGAGCACTGGTGCCGGGTGGGGGGCTTCTATAGTCAACGTAGTACTTAATAAAGCATTCTCTAACATTCGTATCGCTGCTGTCAGAAGAAAACCTCGTATCTCAATTTTTGATTTTTTCAGTTTTTGACATAATTTGAAAATGCCTGTTGTCCTTTACATTGTGTGTAAATTTCATGATGAATGCACTAAAAGAAACGGCCCAAAGTGAACTGGAAAAACGTCTGGTTCCATTGACTTACATTAAAAGTAAAGTAGGTTTTTTCCTTTTCCTGTAAAGTTACCATTTTGGAGATAAGAGGTTTTCTTCTGACAGCAGCGATATGATATATGCAGTCGTTCTGATAGATTGCAGTACGATACAGGAAGTCTAGGGGCGGTGTATACTATAAAAGAGGAAACTCTCGCAGGCAGCAGAGAACTTGTAGAGAGGAGAATTACCGCTCTGGGTTTCTTAAACGCTAGAGGGCGCCCCCGAGTGAGTCCGAAACGAACAAGCTAATATGGAGCATTTGGACAAAATCATAGTTTAGAAATGCTTAAACGTTTTTTAATGTAAAAGAATACAATCATTTCCTGAACACAGAACAGCATAAAACATTTGAACACTGCTTTTATATTTTAAGAGCTTTTGAACTCGAGTTATAGGAGTTTAAAACGGCGCCTCATGTACGTCCATAACGTCAGTGAGCGCAAACAGCCAATGAGCTGCTCCGCTCGCCAACCAATCAGCACTCAGTAGCAGAAATGCTAGCATTGTACTGCCCAAAACCTGTTTGCTGTAGAAAAAAGGAAACATACAGGTGAGTTTTCATTGCTTTTTTAGTGAAATGCATCCTTCTGCTTTCTAAAATTAAAGAAAAGGTCTAGTAAAGTGACTAGAAACTATTTTAACTTTTCATTTTAACAGTTTAGCTTCATTCACCCCCGTTCATTGTGGACTCGCTCATGGGCACCCTCTGCTGTTTTCGCAGTGCTGAGTTTGATATAACAGGGGAAATAGGAAGTGGCCAGGCTCCTTATAAACCAGCTCTGCAGGCGGTTTGAATGACTGTGTCAGCAAAGGCAGAGAATCCAAAGAAGGCACAACAGTTAAAATCGAGTAATA